CAGCAGCATCGTCTTCAGCCACTACACACCTCGTTAAGTGGGTGTCCAATTTTGGGGCGGGCGGGCTGACGGCTTTGGCATGCCGTTCGTTGGTTGAGACGGTCTTCCCACTCTCTTGCCCAAGGCCCTCCGCCATTCGTCGCTACTTGGCACTCTTCAAGGTTCATCTTCCGTATCGATCCACCAGATGGGTTTTCGCTTCTCCACCATGATGGTATGCTCACAGACCTTGATGGGAGCGGAGCACGTCCTTGCTTTCTTCGAGGGCACGGCGCACCGCATCTACTCTGGTGTAACGGTCACTCGCAGCACACCGCTCCCGGCCGGTCCCAAATTCTTTTCTCCAGCGCACGTTTTGGGGTCATCTCGTCGCTCGCCACCATGTCGGGACTGTATCGATTGCCTAGGCGAGCGCGGAATCTACTACCACTCGCCAGTGCGCACTGATCACACACGATCGTTAGTCATACTAACTATTCTTTTCAGTACCTTCAAAAAGCATCATCTCTACACAATTACCCAACGAAAGCCCTTGCCATGGCGAACGTGTTGGCCGTACTCAATGTTGGCCCCACGGTTGGCCCAATTTTTTTTTCCCGCGGCGTTCAGCCACAAGTACCTCAGAAGCCACTTCTCGTTCTAGAAAATTGGATTATGACGAGACGATGATGTTGATTCCGTCTTGGTGCCTCAGCCAAGGCAAAGGATGCACAAGGTGATTTAGTGCTGCAAAGTAAGCCGCGAAATTATTGACTCAACCCTAGTGCTCGTATCCGAGCATCCTTTCGTACCCATGCCATCGCATGATCCGAAAACTTCAAATAATGCGCCGGCGCTTGCCAGATTCTGGGCAGAATAATCGCGCTCGTATAAGATTAGGAGATCCTCACCACACCAGCGCAAGTCAAGGAGCTTTGTGCTGCACCTAGTCCGCAGTGGTGATCAAGGTGAGGGGAAGCTGCAGTCATGATTGGCATCTGCTCCATGCACTTCGACAAGCGTCGGTGGGGATGTTTGCTGCATGCGTGTTTGCTTTGCAGCAGTCCAGACGCAGCCTTGCACTGAGCCTTCCACTGACCAACATGCAGCTACTAATATTTGCCTGTGTATGGCGCGCTTCTGCTGAACAAAAGGCAAAAATGCAACTACATTCCTACACTTCACCAGGGACAGTTGACCTGACTACCGCTACGCTGATCTTCCGACCCAGTGTCGAGGATACGGCATCTTCGAGTGGTTCATGTAAGGTGTATTTCTTCTTCCCATGCGGCTACCGTTAGACAGGTGTCCGCAGTATCCGTAGCCAGGGCAAACAGCATCGCAAAACACTACAAAGTGTTGTCGGGGAGACTCACAGTAGACCAAACCCTACTTACCGCAGTAAGTCCGTCTCGAGAGTTCGCAGCTACCATTCCATCACATGGATCGCCTGCAGTGTCTACACTCAAAATATCTCACGTAACTTCACTGGGATCTCGAACGTTGCCGACCTTGTTTACATGGGCACAGCCTCATGTTCCGCACAGAGATACCCCGGTCACAGATCGAGTAAAGAGGGGGCTCGTCCGACAACGGTGGAGTGCTGCATGTGCGAACTTCGGATTGTGGGGCAGACACTGATGGCTGAGGCACCGAAACGTCTGTCGTCAACCGCGAACCGCGTTTCATCACAGCGCCAACTCGGTGAAGGGAACCCCGAAGATCTTCCAATGTTTCGGATATGAGGCGCATCCTTCCCGTCGCAGCCTGATTTAGATGAGTTGCCTCATCACCGCAGCGTACGAAGACTAGCGCAAGGTGCCGTAGCGAATGTACTTGCCAGCGCAAAGGTAAGGATACCGCCGGTGAGCAGTTCTCTAGTCGCGACAACGCAGGTCAGCCTGTGTGAGGTGCAAACAAGCTGTTTTGAGGCGCGGCTGTGGTGAGCTGAGGGTGTTCTCTGGTACCTGACTTTCGTCATGTTTATGCAGGGGGATCTGCACCCCAAAACATTCCTAGTTCAACAACTGATGAAATCTCTACAGACAGCAGTCAATCAAGTCTGCGCGTCTGCGACATGACGTCTTTGGTTTTGCGCCATCCTCTCACACGAGGACATTGAATCGGGTCTTGTTAGGTGCCGAGGCGATGCCACATTAGGGCGATTGGTTCCTGCCCGATTGGCGCCTCGCAGAAGTCATGATCTCAGCCGCGACCTACCATTCCTCTTCGCCTTTTCAATCTACACCAGTCCACTGAAACTCCCCACTCTGTTCTCGTACCGCCTTGTTTGATCCCTAGCGCCCTATCACCATGCCTATCCGCAATCCCTTCCGTCGCGCGGGTGTGCCTGAGGCCGTTGATGAGGCCCAGCGGAGCGCGCCGGAGAACGGTTTCAAGAGCACAGCTGTCTCGGGCGCCGCACCCGTGCAGGTTAAGGACCCTGTCGAATACAAATTGAGTGGTGAGATTCCCTGCGAATGCGCCTGGGGCTCAAACATGAGCATGTTCCTGGGGCGGCATCACTGCACCGGCTGAATGGGCGCTTACCATGTGATAGAAATAAACGACAGCGGCGTGTACCTACCGGTAAGCCATGTCGACCCTGTGTGATGGTGGATGCAGGATGCTCAGACGGCGACACGCGCGCATGGCATAGCGTGGGACATTCATTGACATTGCGACAGCCCAGTCCTCAACAAGAGAAGCCCACCTTCTGGCACTCCAAGTCCAATGTCTCGACCACATCTTCAAATCACCGCAGTCTGCTCGCCGAGAACGAGCCGTTCAGTATCTCGCGCGAGAGCTTCGACTCGTACAGGCGGTCATTTGTATGTTATGCGACCAGTGGCAAGACCCCGCTAATCAGTACAGGACATTTCCGCGCGCTCCCCAATCCAAGACAATGTCCATGAGACGTACCCCCGCCAGTCGCTCGATGCGCGCCGCTCCGTAGATACCAGACGTTCGCTCGACGTTCGCCGTTCACGCGCGACCCCTCGCTCATCGATGCAACAGCCCCGCCATAGCGAGAGCCACGAACAAGTTCCCGAGGAGGGGTTCGAGGAGGTGGGCCTGAACGACGAGCCGAAGCCGCAACCAAAGAAGCGCAGTATCTTCTCGCGCTTCGGCGACAACAGCAACAACAACGAGAAGACAGAAGAGCGACCCAGCTCGAGCCACCACTTCTCCCTCACAGGCCGGAAGCGGGCTGAAAGCGGGGCAGGCTCGGAGCTCAAGCCTATGCCAAAGCCGATGGCTGAGGTCCCCGCGGAGACGCGGTGATATACGTAGAAGATGAATAATGAATTGCGGGAAATCCAACACCGAAGAGCTATGGTAATGCTCCGGGAAAGGACGTTGGATACCGCATTACGGCGTTAAGGACTTGGATGTTTTTTACTATCATACTATGCATTATGATGAACCACATTGAAATGAGGATGCTCGCTATTATTACGAGACGGAGATTGTTGTGGCATACATATCTGTAGATCCCGTATACGAACACGTAGATAACTAATCACGAACGCTATCGCTCATGATGTTCAAGATCAAATTTCAATTCCTCGTGTTCCAAACTTTCTCAATCACAATGATGTTCGTTTCCTTGCTAGGGCTAGTTCTTAGCTGAGCCACGTGTGTCCCTGCGTGGCTTCGGAGTCCTAATCTGCCGCGATCCGATCCATCCGTCTTGATGAGGTGATGTCATAAGCGGAGTCAAGGTCTGACTCGTAGGAGCTGTGGCTGATGCGCCTGCGGCCGTTGAGGCTGACTCACAGAGTGGAAAGTCGTTGTTTTGTTGAGGGTTACTGGTGCGAAACGCGTGTTCAAATCGAGATCGCAGTTTGGGGCCTTGCTGGTCGAGGCAGCGCCGTTGAGAGCTTGGAGGCTTGGTGTAGCACTGGGTTGACTTGGCGGGGCGGCTGGCTTGGAATGGTCAGGTGATTCGGAGGCCTAAGGGATGGGTTTATGGTCGGATGGGTGTGATGGTAGGTGTACGTAGGAGATGAGGCGGGAAGTAGCTCTTGGTTGATCTCGGAGGCTGGCTTTGGGTTCTAACTAGATGTGAAGAAGAGTGATATGGATTCAGGTACCAGCAGGCACGTGATGGCACCAGCGTGGGCTGCCCCTCATCGGCCTGCAACGAGTTTCTCTATACTATACCCCATAACTACAGGTCTTTATATCCGCGTCGAGGGGGCACGCTGCGACAAGAGGATCGAACATGAGAACGAAGGTAGCCAGCTTATGACAGAGGACATGCAAGGCTACCTATGGAAAAGTGATGCATGGATAACGAAACAAGACGTGCGTTCAGGAATGAGATTGCTTGGGTAAGGAGAAGACATTGTTTGCGCTGGTAGCATCAGCAGCAGCAACCTTGGAAGAGACGGACTAGTATCAGTGAGGGCTCTTTTGGACTTGTCACCTCATCGCTGGCCGTTTGCTGTCCGTGCGCCGTTAGCGCTGTCCGATATATACAATTGTTTGGCCGCCGCTTCTTTGCTCTGCACCGCGAACATTTCGTCTCTGACACATATCCAGATGTGAAAGTCGGCGCTTTGCTCGTAGGTCACGTTTACTTGTAAACACCCTGTCGCTCTTAATTGTAGCGCCTCAGTACTGTGCTCTACGCTGTAGCACGTCTGGGCTTACAATCCCTTTGGACGCGTCTATCTGCCTAGATTCCTCCTTAGACGGTTGCACGGTTTCGTTAGTCCTTGTGGCTTGACTCCGTTTTTTTCATCTCTCCATGTCCCAACAACATGCTTCTGCTCTTTCTGGAGCCCCAGTCCCTAGGTACCATCTGTCGACCGACAATCTGGTCTTGACATGCATGAAGCCGGGGAGGCTATCAAATATCACGCAGGTATCGCAGTACATTCGGTTTTGCTTTCTTGCAGATAGCGAAGCCTATCTCGCGGCGAAGTGATGAGGTTAAGCAGCTCCGTCGTTTTGTCCTACGCTCGAGCATGTGGCGACCGCAAATTCAATCGTCGTACAGAAAGACCTCGCCATTACTTCGCTACAGCAGAACTATACGGCCATCCCCCACATCCTATCGTCATCATCGAACTATCCTTGATCTCATCCGCGCGCGCTTCCAACTCCTCGGCGTCCCAGTTCGCCCACACCATCTTTCCGTTCAGAAACTTGGTCTTTGGTTGCGACAGCCAGACCAGAAAGTTTGCGCTGAGCTCCGCTGCGAAGCACTTAGTATACAGTCTTAGCGTTTCTCACAATCACTTACCAGAGTCCATTGGCAAATGTGATGGATCCGCACCTGAGCCTCGGAAGATGCCTGTATCCACCATTCCAGGGTGCACAGCACACGCGAAAAGATCTGGGTTCTCCGCAGCAAGAAACTCGACGATCTTCGTTTGCGCGACTTTCGAGGTGAGGTAGCCAGATAGTCCAGGTGTATACGCTGGCGGAAGAGCTGCTGCTCCTGCTGCAAGCGTGTACAACGCAGCACCAGCCTTTGCACTCGGAATGAAAGCCTGTGAAGCGATAACAATAGCCTTCACATTGGTCTCATAGTCCGCCCACCAATCCTGCAGCGAACTCTTGACTATCGTAGACGGCGAAGAGATGTGCGCCGCGGCAAGGACGAGGACATCCCACGCGCCGACCTGTTTAGCTACATCATGCATCGCGGTCTCGTCTGTCGATGAAACGGAAAAAACCACACATTCTGCTTTGCTGCCTGCGAGTAGCTTCTCGCTCTCTCGAAGAGTCGACTCGGTACGTCCGATTAGTATCAGTCGTGCTGCACCTGCTTTCGCAAAGGCCAGAGCTGTCGCGCGACCAATACCGCTGCCGGCTCCAGTGATGATTACTGTCTTTCCTGCTTGGCTGAGATTGGCATTTGATGGGTCGATGGCGGCATACGACTCATTGTGCCAGGTGGATGTGGGTGAGGGGAATGGAGGCTGCATTGTTACTGGGGAATGGATTGAACGCGATATGAAGATGAAGGAGGTTGGCTCAAATATGGCCGTGGGGCTTTATGTGAGCAAGCCAGCAGCGCTGCGGGTCGGCGCAGGATTCTGACATGATCCTTGACGATCAAATTAGGGAATTCGTATACGGTTGAGGTGTACTTCGTACAAGCTGACTGGTAGATGTACCCAATGTTGTTTGGTACAGAAAGACAGCGGAGCGGCAAACAAGCGCTAGGACAGAAATAGATGAAGTGCTGACATGGGGTAGGGTGCGGCTGAGCTGGTCTACTGAGTATTTCGCGTTGTACCTTCACATGCCGAGAGGTTACCGATGTAGGTTTTCATCTAGTGAAGTGAGCTCAAGATCCCCATTGCGTAAGCAATCCGTACATCTCTACCGTACAACACTTATGATACAGATTTATGAACAATTGTATATACACCCAAATGTCCCCAAAGTGTCTCATCGCTCCTTCAAGGCCTAGTGTCATTGATACCTCGCCCTCATGTGTTTGGAGTGTGGTATGGAAAGCCCGCGGGATCTGTTTCTGGCATCTGGCTCATGGCGCCGTCCGCACCACCACCAAGATCCCACCAGTCAGTCTGCCAATTCCGCGTGACAAAGTCATTTTCCAGCGCCCTGAAGAAGCCGAGAGACTGGAAGTCGCCATCCACATTCGCGGTATAGTCCGGCATTGATGAAAAGGCCGACATATCAATGTCTGGAAGTTCGCTGGCCATCAGGTTCTGAATTGTATCGAGGCTTGTTGGTGGCATGTTCATCCCTTGAGCAACGCTGTCGCTAGAGTCTACAGTCGCTGGACCTTTGCGTCTCTCGTCTTGCAGAATTCGCGAGACCCTGTTGAGTGCGTTGATCGTCTTGGCAAACGGCACCAAGTCCTGGCGTTCTGTGCAACTCTGTGCCATGGCGACGCCAATTGTCTCGAGAGCTTGTATATCGCTTTCGCAATCATCTGGATTGGTACACGCCACAATATGTTCATAGAGTGTGAACACGACGCAGAAAGGGTAGAGCGTTATGAAGCTGGAATCAGGTCAGCAGAAGCTTCGATACATCGAGGATACAATCGCTACTGACTGATTTGTAATGCTCTTGAACTTGGCGTTGAGGTTGATGTCCGCATAAAAGTCAAGGATAATGCTCAGAACTCTTCGTGCGGCTCTGAGGGTGATGTCCTTAGGTCCAAGTCTGGTTTGGTGCTGTTGCACCAACCTCTGGATACCGATGATAGTCGCATATATGTTCACTGGATTCGAGGTTAGCTTAATAAGAACTCATCACTGGGACTCACTTACTGATATGATCTGCAAGAAGACAGCGGATATCATCTGTAGTCTCTTTGCCGTTCATCATTTCCTCTAATCTCCATTCTTTAATGAGGTCCTCCATTTGCGAGCAAGCCTCGTCGGCTTTCTGGACACAGCTGTTGCGATCGTGCGGCGGGTGATTGTCAATGTAACTGATCGCCTCCACAGTCAACAGTGTGTATCGTACCCATGCGACACTGATGGTGACATGGAGCGCCGAAGGATGCATGTTATCAGGACGGAAGAGCAGGGGTGGGCGGACTTTATTTGGTGACCATCGCAAAACAGTGGGCTTCCCATAGAACAATCGGAAAAATGTGTCGATGGACACAACATACCAGTAGGTGTAGCGACCAATATCTCTCTCGGCTTCTTCTTCGAAAGACTTTGCCGGAACTGTGTCTAGGCGATCTATGCCGATCGACTTGATGTGCTGGCATGACTTGCAGTGGAACTTCCATGCCAGTTGGTAGTCGTGCGCAGTCATCGCCGTCCATGCCGAGAGGGCTGCAATATGTACGTCCATATTTGTGTCACTCGGAGATTCAAGCCAAGCGGGTACGCTCTCCAGCATTTTCATGTATGCCTTCGTCGTAAGATCTCCTCCCGGACCGTCAGTCAGCTGCAGTCCGTAGAACAGAGCATTGTAACTTAAGATCACTTAAGTCAGCATGTGTCACACAGCCCCGATAGGTATTGGTTGCTTACTACATAACGCGGACCACAGGATCGATGTTGACGTAAGGAGACTTGATGATGTCGGGAAGCGCGTAGAGAAGATCTGTATCGATTATGGAACGAGCAAACGCGTCTGGTGCAAGCATTGAGCTCATGACGGAGATAAAGCCGTCAATACATGTCCGCGCTTCTGCTGAAGATAGATTGAGATCCACATTATGCGTCTCAGTGCGCACCCTCAGCTTTCCAAGGTCTTCGAGCGCCTCATTGAGGGACAGCATTGCGTTATCGATGCTCGGTGTCGGTGTCGCGACTGGGGTAGCTTTATGTTGAAAGCTGCGTCTTGTGTCTGTCGCAAGCCGGTAAATCTATTACGGTCAGTCAAAGCAAGAGTCGAGAGGACTTCCGAAGACGCTCGTGTATGCTGAGTCGTGTCTTGATGGCTTCTGGTATAAACGGATGCATCTTTGGAGCTGTATCGCCCAAACCAAATACATGTCCCTATATGTGCCTCAGATGCTTCGTGACATAGTAAAAAAGTAGATAGCGTATGTCTGCAGGGTACGTTCTGGCGTTGCGTACACATCTCAACGCGGATGCAGGACGTTGAGGATGTGCAAGGCTGTGAATACCTTCGGGGAGGTCGAGATATCAAGACGAAACTCCGCAAACACGAGCGTCTCCGGTTATGGCTTTTATTACCCATGAATCCTGGCCATCAGCCACAGTCAATGATGCCTCGGGGGATGGCACGGGTGTGCTCTTTCGGATGCTATCGCGCCTGGGTACAACTTCGGATACTGATGACGAACGATCGTCACCAGCGTCGCTAATCTGCTTCTCGAGTTGTTCTAGTCGCTGGCTGAGATGCTGCACGACAGCCTTTTGGTGGGCATGGCGCGGCCGTTGTCTTCGCTCTACATAATGGCATTCTTCCTTGGCGGCAATACATTGATGGCATATCGGCTCTGCTTTGTCGCATTTGATCTTTTTTCGTTTACAACGAAGACACTTCAGTAATAGCTTAGCAGACCGTTTGTGTTCGTGAATGTAGGTCTAGGACAGGTACCTACGGCAAGCTTCATCGTCATCTTAAAAGCGTTCGGTAAAAGCACGCCAAGGTCCGGAAAAAGAAGGTCGCGCGCGACAGCGGAGAATTCGGCGAGCGGATTGCCGGGGTTTTGCGCGTAGGAAATAGACAATGGGATACTTCGTAGAAGGTGGAGATGGAGGCTTGGTGCTGCACGGAGCCCGAGGGTTTCCACGGACTTTCGGATATTACCGAAAGTCCGCACCCTACACGTTTCAGGAACCAACAGCAGCCCTGGACGCAAACACTCACTTCGACTCATTCGCGCCAAGATTACCGAAGACACCTGCCTGCAATCATGGCACCTGGGCATGGACTTCCGGGATTTTCGGGGCAGGCGCATACATCATCCACAGTCGTAAAGGCATGGATCGCAAAAAAGCATCGTGTGATATAAGGTAAATCTACCAGGGCTACGGGCTCTTTCGAACATCACCATCTCAGATCTCCCCCTGCTCACACTTAGCGAGCGCTAATCGATCTGTTCACGGACTCCCAACCGTACGTATCCTCCTGCATACACCCCAGTTGAGGCTATTGGACTAATGTTGTTCGTGACCACTAGGATACTGGCATATCTGGATTGACACATCCATTAAGCTATCCTGGTCGCAGTTTCCCCGAAGTTGGACCCTGCCTCTTTGACCAGCATGTCAGCAGCATTAGGTTTCAAAGAAGCGCAAGCGATGAACGAGGAAGCACGCGTTGATCGCGTAGAGTTGAAGTCAGACGCTAGCTCTAGTCTCACAGGAGTCGACGACGAGACCAAAGTTCGACAGGAAGCACAGCGTGATCGAGACATACAAGAGCTTGTGCGCAAGTTTACAACACAGTCCGAACAGCAACATTTTGGCTCGCCCTTTGCCGAAGATGCGCATGGAGGACTTGACCCCAGGAGCGACCAATTTCGTGCGAAGGATTGGGCCCGCTCGTTCTATAACCTGCGTTATAGTAGCGAGGAAACGATTCCTCGCGTAGCCGGCGTTGCTTTCAGTGGCCTCAATGTCTGGGGTAGAGGTTCACCGACCGATTTTCAGTCGACAGTGGGTAATACCATATTGAAACTTCCTTCGCTGTTCGGCAGAGGCACGCAGAAGATTGAGATCTTGCGAGACCTTGATGGGTTGCTCCTTCCTGGAGAGCAACTATGTGTCTTGGGACCACCTGGGTATGCTTGACTGTATATTTATCCGGCAACACGAACTAACAGTCAGTAGATCGGGATGTTCTACACTCTTGAAGACTATCGCAGGCGAAACTCATGGCTTCCAAGTCAGCCCTGACTCGTATCTCAACTACCAAGGAGTACCAGCAAAGGACATGAACACTGTGTTCCGTGGAGAAGCTATCTACACCGCAGAGGTTGATGCGCATTTCCCTCAGCTGAGCGTTGGCGACACGCTTTACTTCGCGGCTCTGGCTCGAGCGCCTCGCACTATTCCTGGCGGCATCAGTCGCCGGCGCTATGCCGAGCATCTTCGTGATGTAGGTACTCTAATTCGGGCTCGACCGATATGACTGCTGACTCTTGATAGGTTATAATGGCCATGTATGGAATCTCGCACACTTCCAATACACGTGTCGGCAACGACTTTGTGCGAGGAGTCAGCGGCGGCGAGCGCAAGAGGGTAACGATCGCTGAAGCATCTCTCAGTTTTGCACCGCTTCAACTATGGGACAACTCGACCCGTGGACTTGATTCTGCTAATGCGGTGGAGTTCTGCAAGACACTCCGAACCCAGTGCGACGTCTTTGGGGCAGCATGTGTCATCGCTATTTATCAAGCTCCACAAGCCGCGTATGAGGTAAACTATCGCATAATTATATGCACAAAGAGCAATGCTAATTCCCCACAGGTTTTCGATAAAGTTACTGTACTTTACGAAGGCCGACAGATCTACTTCGGACCATCGAACGAAGCACGCGCATATTTCGAATGCCTTGGCTTCGAATGCCCTGCCTCCCAGACCACGCCCGACTTCCTTACCTCGATGACGTCGGCCTCTGAGCGCCGTATCAAGAAAGGCTTCGAAGGCAAAACACCGCGTACCTCCGACGACTTCGCTCGATGCTGGAAAGAAAGCGCTGACCGTCAACGGCTATTGCAAGCGATAGAAGAATACAACAACACATATCCCCTCAAAGGCGAGCAACACGAACGATTTGCGCTTTCGAGAACCCTGGAGAAATCGAAGAAGCAGCGACACAAGTCGCCCTACACCCTTTCCTACTGGAGGCAAATTCGTCTTTGCATGTGGAGAGACGTGCAGAGGCTGAAGAACGATCCGAGTGTGCCTCTGACGATGCTTGTTGTCAACTTCTTCGAGGCGCTCATCATAGCGAGCATCTTCTACAACCTACCCCAGTCCACAGCGTCGTTCTTCAAGCGCGGTGGAGTCTTGTTCATGGTGGTTCTGCTCAATGCCTTCGGGTCGATGCTCGAAATCATGAATCTCTACTCCAAACGCACGATTGTTGAGAAGCACAACCGATATGCCCTTTATCATCCATCGGCGGAGGCACTATCGTCCATGATTGTGGATCTGCCATACAAGATCACCAACAGTCTCGTTGTAAATACAACACTGTACTTCATGTCCAACCTACGTCGAGAACCCGGCCCATACTTTTACTTCTTGCTCGTTGGGTTCACTACCGGCCTCTCCATGAGCATGTTCTTTCGCCTCTTTGCGTCAATGACAAAAACTCTCTCGCAAGCACTTGCACCGAGCTCTCTCATCCTGATAATGCTCGTACTCTATACTGGATTTGCTATCCCAATCCAGTATATGCAGGATTGGGCGGGTTGGTTCCGATGGATCAATCCAGTTGCTTATGGCTTCGAGAACGTCATGGTCAACGAGTTCCATGGCCGTACGTTCGCTTGTTCGTCTTTCGTACCCTCTGGCCCATCCTACGAGAACGTCGCCCCCGAGCAGCGAGCATGTGCTGTTCAAGGCTCTCAACCAGGTCTGGATTATGTCAACGGTACTGCGTATGTCGAGACTGCCTTTCAGTATCAGTATAGCGAGCGATGGTCCAACTATGGCATCATCATTGCTATCACTGTTATTCTTTTCCTCGCACATCTGGTGATGACCGAGTTGGTTGCTTCCGAGCGGTCCAAGGGTGAGGTTCTTGTCTTCCGTCGATCCAAGATGAAGAGCTCGGCCATGAAGCAAAGTGTCGATGAGGAAAATGGTGGGGCAACCGCTCATGAGGGTGAGAAGATCAGTCACAGCACTGAGTCGGAACCTGGAGTGCAGAAGCAGGTGTCCATCTTCCATTGGGAGAAGGTTACCTATGAAGTCCAAATCAAGGGAGAAACCCGCAAAATCCTCGATGGTGTGGATGGATATATCAGACCCGGTACACTGACTGCTCTCATGGTATGATATCTGATCTACAAAGTCGAGATCAAAGTTAACGAATCTTCAGGGTGTGTCAGGCGCAGGCAAAACCACATTGCTCGATGTGCTCGCAAGTCGAACGACCATGGGTATCATTGGTGGCGACATGCTTGTCGATGGCCGCCAGCGAGACGACAGCTTCCAACGACAGACTGGCTACTGTATGCAACAAGACATCCACTTGGACACGTCTACTGTACGAGAAGCGCTGGAGTTCTCGGCATTGCTCAGGCAGCCGCCCGAGTATGGACGGCAAGAGCGACTAGACTATGTCGACCACGTAATTCGTCTTTTGGATATGGAACAGTACGCTGATGCTGTGGTTGGAATCCCAGGATCTGGACTCAATGTTGAGCGTGAGTAGTCTGATATCGCAGCTTCTATGGGCTTCGCTAATACCCTCCAGAACGGAAGCGCCTCACAATCGGCGTTGAGCTCGCCGCTCGCCCGAAACTCCTGCTCTTTCTCGATGAGCCTACATCCGGTCTCGACAGTCAGACTTCATGGTCCATCTGTGACCTGATGGAGAAACTGACCCGTGACGGGCAAGCCATCTTGTGTACCGTCCATCAGCCTTCGTCTCTTCTCTTCCAGCGCTTCAACCGACTCCTTCTACTGGCCAAGGGTGGCAGAACTGTCTACTTCGGTGAGATCGGTCGCGGCTCCGAAACTCTGCTCGACTACTTCACCCGCAATGGCGCATCAGCATGCCCTCCTGGTACCAACCCCGCCGAGTACATGCTCGCCGCGATTGGTGCGGCGCCAGGTGCAAAGACCGAGATCGACTGGCCGACGGTTTGGAAGAATAGCAAAGAGTACATGCATCTCCAGACCGAACTAGCCGATCTCAGGGAACTTGCCAATCGACCTTCTGCTGTCATGGACTCAGCCAACGCCAGCCATCAGGTCTTCGCTGCCTCTTTCATGGATCAGCTCCGCGCCGTAGCCATGCGGTGTGCCCAGCAGTATTGGCGAACGCCTTCGTATATCTACTCGAAGGCCATTCTGACGATTGGCTGCTCGCTGTTAATCGGCTTCTCTTTCTTTGGAAGCGAAAACACGATGATGGGACTCCAGAACCAGATGTTTGGTGTCTTCATCTTTCTCTTCGTCGTAAGTTCCATAGTCCTAGCAGGAGACAATGAATAGACACTAACAATCGTTCCAGGTCATCCAACTAATCTACCAAATCATGCCAATGTGGATCTCACAAAGAACACTTTATGAAGCCCGAGAGCGACAGTCAAAGACCTACGCCTGGCAAGCCTTCGTTCTCTCCAACATCTTCATCGAGCTAGCTTGGAATGCCTTCATGGCCATCTTCTGCTTCCTCGTATGGTACTACCCAGCCGGCTTATACCGCAACGCAGAAGCCAAAAACACAGTTAACATCCGCGGTTTCCACGCCCTGCTCATCGTCGTCGCTGTCTTCATCTTCGCAAGCACACTTGCACATCTCCTCATCGCTGGCTCGCCGAACGAAGAAATTGCGGGTGCACTCGCTACATTAGTTACCATCATGCTATACGCATTCTGCGGCATTCTGGCTGGCCCCAACGATTTACCCGGTTTCTGGATCTTCATGTACCGCGTCAATCCTTTTACCTACCTGGTATCGAGCTTCATGTCGACAACGCTGGGTCAAGCGGCCGCCTACTGCGCAGACTCTGAGTTCCAAACTTTCTTCCCGCCCCAGGGTCAGACGTGTGGCGAGTACATGTCTGAGTATATTGACATGGCTGGTGGCTATCTGAGAGATGCGCAGGCGACGGAGCAATGCAACTTTTGCCAGATGGACTCTACCAACCAGTTTCTCACGCGTATTCATGCGGATTGGGATACGCGCTGGAGGGATTTCGGGCTACTTTGGGTTTATGTTGGGTTTAATGTGGCGGGGGCTATCTTCCTTTACTGGCTATGTCGCGTACCAAGGACGAAGAAGGGGAAGAAAACCGCTTAGGCGATCTGGCGCGGTGTGTGTTCGCAGCACTTTTTGTATCATAGGAAATTGACTGTGCGACACAGTCAATGATTTCTTCTTTCTCTCCGACCTCTTGCCGGAGAAGGTATTTTCGTTATCTAACAGCCAAGAAAGCTGGTGATGTCACCACAACATAGATATCTTGTAATTCAAGCGTTAGATCTTAGTAATTAGTTATCCACTACAAATTCTCAACTGATCGCTCTCTTACGATATACTGTTGATATTTTGAACGTACCGAGGTACCTGCCATTGCATGCGATATGCCCATAGCGTATCGTCTTGCGAGCTACGCATACACCATCTACCCAGCAATCTTCCCTAGCCATCCCCAACACACCGCAAAAGGTACCGAACCCCGTTAACGCCAAGGCTAAACTTCAATATCTATCCCTAAAACCGCTCTGACCAGCAGCAATGCAACAAATCACCCCCAGAAGACATTGTATCACGACCCTGCTCATTCAAACGCACTCAAATCCAATGGCACACTGCTGCCCCGTCCAGCGCGATATCTCTTTGGTCCGCCGGTGAATTCTCTTGGTCGTGGAAATTGGCCTTCGTCCTGGAATCTCCATCTCAAATCGTGGATGGGCCTGATTCTGCCCTTTTCCCTTGCTCCGCCATGGGAGCTGGTCGGGCTCTTGATGCTTGACCCGCCGTTTGACAAGGTGTACGAACTTGAATCCATCATTGATCGCAGTGGTGTCTGGGAGGCGGGTCGGCTAAGCGGGGGTTGGCTGGGTGGTGGAGAAGGCGCGGGTGCGCTCGGTGGCGCTGGAGGGGGAGCAGCAGGCGATGTGCGGCTGAAGGCGTTGCGCGCGGCTGTTTCTGCAAGCGATGGTGCGTGCCCGTTTGAGGGTGGGGGCGGTGGTGGAGGCATGGGAGGTGCTGAATTGTATTTATACGGGTCATATTCGTCGTCATCATCGTCTTGCGCGCTCGTTGGAGGAGGAACGGAGGGTGGCGGCGGCGGCGGTGGAGGGGTCGCTCGTGGTGCGGGTGAAGGCGGTAGTGGCGGAGGAGCAGGTGGTGCTCCAGTTGGTCGGGGAGATGTCGAGCTCGGGGGTAGTGGTGGAGGAGCAGGTGGTGCGGAGCCTGGAAGAGGTGGTGCCCGAACAGGTGGCGCGGCGAGACCTGATGGCTTTCGAGAGGAGGGCGGTGGCATAGGAGGTTTCTTCCCAATCGGTGGAGGCGGCTTGGGCTTCCCGCTTATACTTGAGGCTACCGAGTTGGGCCTTGAGTCCTGACCTCGGAGCGCATTCATCCCTGGTCGCATACCTGGAATCGGAGGCCCAGGAGGTGCCGAAGGAGGAGGTCCAGGTGGTTTGGGTGCTGCTGCTCGAGGGACTGAAGCTCGATTCGATTCGGGATCGGAGAGATAAGGCGCCTGGTCCTCTGCGCCTGTCTTGACACCGCCTGCTTTTCTGAGCTTCGGCATACCCCCAGCGAATATTCCTGCTAATTGTGGTGCCGAAGCCGGTACACTCCCTCCATCTCCATTGTCGCTGTTGGCTCTTGCTCGGTTTGCCCCTCCAGGGACGGCCGGAGCTCCAGGAATCTTGGGCGCGCCCATGGGTGCTGCTGCAGGTCCGTCGCTGACTTTGCCGACTATAGGAGAGGATCGATCGTTGATTTGTGTCACTTTCTTCAGTCGTGCGCCCTTTGTAATGTCGCCCAAGAGTGCTCCCTGTGACGCGTTAGCATGGGTTCCACGTAGTGCCAATCTCCGTGTGAATGTGACGAACTCTGCCTGCACCCGGCGCTGGTGCCTTCATCCCTCCCATTGGCGGCGGAGCCGGTGGCATGCCTCTTCCCTTCCCAGGCATGGGAGGCGGTGGTGCTGGGTTCGGTATCAGTACGTCTCACATGCAGTACAGACAGGAGCATTGACGTACGAGGAGGCGGCGGCGGCATGATGGCGGTTTGTGTCGCACTTCAATCTGGTGTTTTCACGCTTTTCTGTTGTTATGTAGGAGAGGGTGCGCAGACTTTGCTGCCTGATCGCGTGCGTTGGGCGTGCGAAGAGTGGAGTGTCATACGGGAGCGATGGTTCGAGCATTCCAAGGTTCCTTACGTCAGCTGTGGCTGTGGGCACTGTGGCGTCCCATGTGGCGTCCCATGTTGCGGGGTAGTGAACCAACAGACCGAGCTGCTTCGACTATCACGTCTACGCTTCCCTATAGGTGATGAGTAAGCATAGCTACTGTACGGAAGTTCTATCTGCCTGCACTCCAACTTCAACCTCGCCACTATCCCGATGTCTAGGTGTCCTGAGTCTCGTGCAGTGTCCGACCCAAGATTGGGCAGCAACTTCACCCAAATCCCTTCCGCAAGACTACGATACGCTGTCATCTCAGGGTTTATAAATGTACCTTCAAGCCTTTGAAGCTGTTTTCAGTATCCGTTTCTTCGTGTCCTAGGCAGCGTCGCATCATATCTCCTCATCAAAGAGGAAGGAGCGTTCCGTCTCTCACATTCATCTCAACGCGAACTTCGCAATTCACAGTACCAAATCATGACACAACACCCGCTTGATACAAGCTGTCACGCTTTGTAGTAGTATTTCGAGAAGACTATTAAGGATCGACAACAAGCCTTCTTCCTTAATTGCTCTTCTCGCTTCAACAATAGAATTAACGCGCGCACAGCCTGGCTCACAGCTCGTGAACAAGCGATTAAGTAAGAGACACAGGTACAACAGTGCAACATATACATACATCAAAATTCCAAATTCACTTGCACAGGCAGGGACAAGATCTTCTATAAATCAGCCAACACCATGCGAAACAGCCCTGGAGCATTCGTACGCAACGCCGCATCAAGTCCGCGTGGAAGCAAAAGAGTAACAATCCGCTGAGATCCACACTCTGCCAAACCTGCCCAACACGGTAATTCGACGCCATAACCCACTAGCGGCGTGTCCGGATCCGAACATGAATGTTCTATCGACACTACAAAGGCGACTACATTCAATAGCTTCGAGAAGATGATTATAATGAGGCGAGAAGATTTACCGCTGGAGTTGGTAGTACGAGTGGCGTAGTAGATGGGTTGAAGGGTGGAAGTTGTGGTGTTGGAGAGTCGGGGTAAGGTTTCCGGTGGAAAGAGTAACAGTCCGCCGTCATCAACGGTGTGGCAAAGTTACCGGATGCGGTATATTAAAATCGTACGGCGCAACCCGCACCCCCCCTTAGAGCAGCACATCAATCAATCCACTTCATCCCAAATTTTAGAATTGCAATGATCAAGTAAGCGAATCTGCTGAGCGACTTATTTTTCGCACTTGTCTTTTGCGAGGAGATGCGAAGCGCAGCTACTACGTCTACGGCGCAAGAGCTACTGCTCATCCGCAATCGCGCTCGCCGAGAAAAAAAAAAGGTAGATAATACATGGTAATACTCAAGGTGGGGAGAGTTTGTATGCGATTCTCATTCTTCGATCTCTTGATGATTGTATGCGTCTCAAATCCTAATGCCACACCCATCTTCATGCAAAGCAAGATTATTCTCGCGCAGATGATATGCTAGACCAGCCCCATGCAATGCGACGCTACCCCGTACACATATACATCCCCAGCATCCGTAAAGAAATGTTCTGGCGACCAAAAACGCCAAAGGGTATCAACAAGCGCCTTCCACTCCATTCCACTCCCCATCCAATGCATCAAGCATCTACAACTCCATAACCTCCTGCGCCTCTTCCAATGCATCGACGTCCGCCGCACCGAACACCAGTTTAAGTTCCTTCGGATCCATAGTCCCCACGAACGCGCGTTTAACAAAAGTAAACCATTCCTTGGACGCCTTGTGCTTCTTGTGGTGTTTTCCCTTCTTTCCCTTCTTGTGTTTGTGTTTCTTGTGTTTTACGATGACGAAATCATCTTCATCCACCTCATCTTCAACATCCTCAGCCTCCTCAGCCTCCTCTTCAACCTCCTCTTCAACTCCAACATCCTTAGTCTTCCCCGTGGAAGCACCAATTTTCCGCGCATACTCGACCCACCTCCTCACGGTCAAATCTTTGAAACCCCGGTCTTTCTTCGTATCGTATTCCACCTCAAACACAAACTCATTCGGATGCGGTTCCGGACGCGGCTGCTTGCCCTGGTGTTTCTTGTGTTTTCCCTCGTTCCACTTCTTATTCTCAATCCCACCATCAGGGCTAACACCGAATCCGAATATCGTGCTAACCGATTCGTTGTTGATGGAGAGACGGTCGTTGACGGGTGTGTGCGCTGCGTCGGGCGAGGATTCAAGGAAGTCGTTGTTGATGTGTGTAAGGTTGGCGAAGTATTGGATGTGGCGGGTCCAGGTGAGGGTTTGTGGGGAGTAGGCCGGTCCGGGTGGAGAGGATTTCGAAGGGCCGTCTGGGACTTTGAATTTGTATTTCCGGGGCTTCTTCTTGTCTTTTTTGCCTTTGTGATGCTTCTTTCGCGTGGTTTCTACTTCTTGTAGGTGTTCTTCGTCGTCATCGTCGGAGTAATCATTGGCAGAGATTGGCAGTTGCTCGACTGCGTTATGCATCGTGGGCGGGCTGATTGGGCTGGAGGCTACGCTGAGGTGTTCCAAGCCAGTGATGTTGTACTCGATGATGCGGAGGGTGGGGAAGTAGTTTGGTACTACACTGGGTGAGACATGTGTTACCGCGTACCGTTCAGCGTATTTCCCCCCAATCTTTTCGAGATACTTCTTCCGCTCTTCTTTCCGGTCTTTTGGCGACTTCCCAACCATGGCCATGAGCCACTCCCACATCGACTCTTCTTCTCCCTCTTCGTCATCGAAACTCTTTGAACGCGACTTCTTGTCCGACTTCGGCGGTGGCGCAGGTAGTTGAGCCCAAGCCTCCCTTAGATTGAGCAAATAATCCGACGCAGATGCCACCGTCACCTCGCCATCTTCCAGGAGTTCGATTTCATTGGCTAGAGCAGATCTGCCCTCGAAAGTTCCCATCTTGCCATTCTCCGTGTCCTTCTCAATATGCTCGAAATCCTGCAGCATGAAGTGGTCGATGTTCATGTGCCCGAACAGACTTCCCACAATGACGTCTCGGAACTGTCGTCCAAACAGCGTGTATTTTTGCCAACATGTTTCGTCCCAACTCTCCTTGCTGTCGACGCGAGCCGGTGGTACGTGTCCGATGAGGATGGCCTTCATTCCGCGATCGCGCAGGATCTGAAGCTGGATGCGCAGCCATTCCATGTGTTCGTAGCCCGGTTCGCGTTTCTTTGCGCAGCCGTCGACGGCGGAGTTGGAGGTGAAGAAATACCTGCGCGTGTTAGTTCCTGCCCTCGAGATCCGAGTTCCTCTGCTGCTTACAGCGTGTTAAGGCTTATGGCAGCCAGCTTGCCTGGGATCACCTCGACCGAAAACCAGCCTCCTTGCGCGAACTGGTGTCGTTGCGCCTCGGGTATGAAACCTCGCCATATGTCTAAATACTCCGTCGTCCATCGGTTTGGGCCGCTCTCGAAGATGTTGTGTGGCAGAATGTCGTTGTTCCCGTAAGTCGGTACTATGGGTATCGCGAAGCTGTTGGGCCCATGACCGTGGCCGCTCTGTCCAAAGACCTCGGCGAATTTGGAGACCATGTACTCGTTCTGCTGCACGACCTGCTTCTGCGTCCGTGGAATTTCGTCATCGTTATCGTGTCGCGCCGAGTCGCCGGTCCATATAACAAAATCTACATCGTCCTTGATGTTGTCTTCTATCCATTTGAATGTCTGGTTGACGAGCGCAAAGGGAGAGTCGCATCCGGTAGTTTCTGCGCCATAGAGGCCAGCAGGCCCGCGTTTGCGATGGCACGCTGCGTCGGCTTCTGTGCTCGAATATGTCTTGTAGAACGGGTCTGGATGAAAGTCTGCGGCATGACGTTAGTTGCAATATCATCCCCAGGGATCAAATGGCCGACGTACCCGTAATATGTAGGAACCTGCCTGTAAGCTTTCGTCGCCCATCCGCGTCTACGGATCTGGAACCCGCAGCGCGGCTGTTTCCTGCATCTCCAGCCGCGTTAGGCGGGGCCGCGGTCGCGTGTGCCCAAAAGAGCAGCCCGCATAGAGCTGCGTCCCGTACGCGCAGCATGGCTATCATGATGAAGTGTTGGAGCGAGGCATCTGCGAGCGGCTTTGTGGATGGCGTGCGACTGTATACTCGCACAGGACTCTAACATGCAAAAGCGCCGAAGACACCCTGATGGCGCCCGCCGGGGAAGCAAGGCGCAACAGGGAGCCACCGCTGCGAGCACGATCCTCCAGCGACCCTTGTCATTGGAGCGTCATCGTCCTCGCACTAGACATACTCCCACACAAACCCCAGCCAGAGACACACATGCTCTTCCCCACAGCCATACATGTCTCACTTGCAACACGTACGCTGCTGATCGCGTGACCTCAGATTACCGACAATCCTCGCGCTTCATCAGATGCCTCTGTGAATTCTCAACAGGCCGCCGCAAGCTCCCCGAATATCCCTCACCGCTTGGCTTCCAAGCCACGTGTGGGCCGTTGGAATACTCTAGACAACCCAGTAACCAACTTGTAGGGTTGTAGACCGTGAAGATTGGGCAGCAGATGACTCGCGTGATCACTTTTCATCCTTCAAGAAGCCAAGGCTGCAGTCAATAATAATACCTCACCATCATCATGCAGCGAAGCGAAGCGAAAGCGTGATGTGTGTAGTTCATTGTCATCTTGCACAACCGCAAGTGCTGAATCTACATGCTACTAATGATACTCTCTCTTCATAGAGACACCTTCCATTCTTGTAATGTAGAAGCGCACCATTCCAAGTGCCGCCAATGCTTCTTCAACAACCTGTACGCTAATTTTTATGTGCGCCGCCCTGCGAAAATCATGAACACCGGGGCGCACCCTGATACTGGGCTGTCCATGCAATACAATAGAAAGACGAAGAATCAAACAGTGCCCGTAACTAGTCATAATTTGAGTAGCCAACCGAGCCGAACACCTACGCTATGCTGCAAATATACTCGACGGTGTGCCACCGTAAAAAAATCGAAACGCCATATGCCCATGGTAGATAATGTAGAATGATGCGTGAGCATCATATGTGTGTATGTGTGTGTACGTGGAGAAGTGCTCAGGCGCCGTTGTTTTGGCCGTTCGTCGGAGCCGGAACCGGAGCCGCAGCCGCAGCTGGCTTTTCAGAGCTCACCATCTTGCTGTACATGCCCTTGACCGCTGCGACAGTCACACCGGGCCGAGGCCAGTGGTGGTTGATGGTGAAAGTCCTATCACCAGTTAGTATGAGTGTGTGAATATTGAATGAAAATGCTTACCATAGACGATCCTCGAGCTCCTGATTGTTTTTGGTCTCTGCACGGATGAAGTTACCGATAGCGATCAGCTCTGTCTTAAGGATCCTGAGCATCGCTTCCTTCTGCGGGTAGTTCTTCGGCGTCGCCTTTTTAAGGCGGCTGAGATTGTCGCGCACAGGCCGGAGCTTACGCTCAAGGAAGTCGTCTGACTTCTTCTCCTTGGGCTTGGGTGTTTCCACGCTGCGGTCAGGCACTTGGCTCTGGCTATGAGAGCGTGGGCGGTCCTCAGAAAGGCGAGGCCGATCATCCTTAATACGCGGCCTATCAATGTCGCCACTGATCTTTCGGCGGTTCTCTGGCGTGCCGTTCCGATCAGAGGGGTGGGCACGACGATCAACGCTGTCGCGGTCATTGCGGTGGTCCTTGCGGTGGGAGTCCGAGGGCCTGTACTGGTCGCTGTTTCTAGGGCGGTCATCACGTTTCCTATCGTGATGGCGGCCTTCAGTCCGGCTATCAGGACGTCGAATGTCGCTGCTGCTGTTTGCCCGATGCGAAGGACGCTCTAAATCCCGTCCTTGCATCTTACGTGCTAAGCCAGCTGGAGCGGGGCTGGCAGAGACTCCCTTGTCTGTCCGGCGCGCAATGTTAAGCTGATGCTTCTTGTTGTTGCGGTGATGGTTCTCCATCAAGCGCTTAACATTGGGATCCGTTGTGCTCTTGTCTTTGAGCACGGTGAGGAGGTAGTTCGCGCGACGGACTAGATGCACAGCGCCAGGAGACTTGGCGTTCTTCTCTTCAGTCTTCGTGCGCTCTTCCTTCTTATCGACACGATGCTCTTCGAGATAGAACTTGTCGGTAAGACCAAGCTCTGGATCGTCACGGATGGGAATCCATGCACCGTACCCGTGGCGTTGGATGCCAATGCAAAGCATACCATCTTCGCGTGCGCCCCAGGGACAGGAGTAGCTTGCAGGCTTGATGGCGTCAGGTACGCGGAAGTTGCGCCACTCGGGAGTTGCCGCAACTGCTTCCTTGAGAACGCGCATCTCGATAGGTCGCTCCAGGATAGTCTCTGCATTGACCTTCTTGACCTTGCCGAAGTCGAAAAGAACAGCCTTCTTATCCTTCTTCGTGATTGGGCGCTTGGTCTCGGCCTCCAGGTTCTTGAGTCTAGTCTGCTCATCCTTGACGAGTTGCATGCTCATGGAGACGATCTCATCAAGGGTGGCTTTGACGACCTCCATGTCGCGACCAACAAGCCTGGCTGCGCGGAGCATCTCTTCGCCACGCTCCTCGAGCGAACCGTATCGACAATAGGCGCCGATGAGGTTACGAGCCTCCTTCGTGTTGAGAGGCCGCTTGGGGTCGCGCTTGACGTTGTCGTCTGGCTCCGATTGCTCGTCGTCATCGGCTTCAACGTTGGTAGCCTCAAGTGCTCGCTTCTTGGCCGCTCGCTGCTCCCGTGCGCTGGCTGAGGCTGCTTTCCGCTTCCGGGGTGCGCTTTCCTCGAGAAGCTTCTGGGTCTCTTCTTCATCTTTCCGCTGCTGGATATCGGCCTTGACCGCCTCCAGCTCTTCTTTTGGAATAATGTCGTCCCATTCAAGGTCGATCTTGACATCTGTGTACTCAAAGTTCTTGAGGAACTCTTCGCCACCATCAGATGTAAGACCGGCAGCCTGCTCAGTCTTGTGCTCCTCAGCGTTCTCCAGGACTGAGTCAATGTCGAGCTCTTCCAGCTTCTTCTGGTTGCCAGACTGCTCGAACATCTTCTGTCCGCGGCGCTTGAGGATGTTGTTAATGTCGTCGGCGGAGTTGGGCTCTGCTGCAGCACGGCTCATCTTATCGTTGAGCTCCTTCTGTTGACGATCGGTGACACCACGCTGGATTGTGATGAACTCCAGCATGCGCTTGTTACGAGCGCGCTCCAGAATCTCCTCTTCGATGGTGTCTTTGGAGACAAGACGGTAGACGCTCACGGGCTTCTGCTGGCCGATACGATGAGCTCGGGCCATGGCTTGCAAATCAGCCTGAGGGTTCCAATCTGAGTCGAAGATAACAACAGTGTCAGCAGTCATCAGGTTGATACCGAGACCACCAGCCCTAGTCGACAGAAGGAAGCAGTAGTCCTCGCTGCCGGGAGAGTTGAAGTGGTCAATGGCAATCTTCCTCTCTGCTGCGGGAACAGTTCCATCCAGACGTTGGAAGGGGTAGTTTCGCAACTTCAGGTAGTCGGTCAAGATGTCCAACATGTGGACCATCTGACTGAAGATGAGTACACGGTGACCGTCGGCCTTGAGCTTTCCAAGCAGTCGGTCCAGTAACATCATCTTACCACTGGAGGTGATGAGGGCCTTCAGGGTCTCGTCCTTTGTCGCACCAGGCTTTACAAGCTTGTTCTCAGCGTTGGGGAAGAGCAGAGCATGGTTACTCGCCTTCTTGAGCTCCATGACAATGTTCAATAGAGACTGCTTGTGGCCTACGCCACCCTCGTTCAGAGCCTCGTAATTGCGCGTGAGGATGTTCTTGTAGTACTCAAGCTGAATGTCGGACAACTCGACACGGAGAATTTTCTCAGACTTGGGAGGTAGATCGTTCTCCACCTTCTCCTTGGTGCGGCGAATCATGTATGGCTGAATTGCTGAGCTGAGTTCGGCAAGCTTGTGGCTGGCGTCTTCCGAAGCAAGATCGACGTTCTCATCAACCTGGATCTTTCCCGGCATGAGGAAGTCCATCAGGGCAGCCAACTCTCCAAGTGTATTTTGGATGGGGGTACCAGTGATTAGAAGTCGACATGGTGCCTTGAACTGTCGCAGCCTATCGTACAGCTGCGACTCGCGGTTCTTCAGTCGGTGCGCCTCATCGACAGCGAGGAATTGCCAGCTAATGCTCTGCAGAAATTGCCAGTCGGCAAGAACGTATTCGTATGTAGTGAGGAGCACGTTGAACTTGATCTTCTTGGTGTTGCCGTCAACCAGCAGCTCCTTCTCTCGGATGATGCTGCGGGCTTCTTCTCTACCGGTGTAGATAACGTAGTTGACATCCGGTGTCCAGTTGTTGAATGTGTCTGCCCAGGCAGGCATGGTCGACAATGGCACGACACAGATCATGGGGCCGTCTTGCCTCCGATCATGCCTCAGCCAGTTGATGAAGGACACCGTCTGCACTGTCTTTCCCAGACCCATCTCATCGGCAAGGATGACGTTTGTGCCACGACACCAGTTGTGCGCAAGAAAGTTGACACCCTGAAGTTGGAAGGACCTCAGCTGGCCAAACTTGATGTAGTCAGGCTGGGTGTCCAACTTGACGAACTTCCTGCGAGTGTTCGGATTCGCCTCGCGGGCATCGGAGGAGGGCCGGTTCGATGAGCGGTCGAGGAATCGGTCAATCTCGGATTGCGATAACCGGCTGACGAGCGACGCGGGTTCCCAGGTACAGAACTCGTAAGTCAATCCCTTCCCTGCAGAGCGTTAGGTAATCCAGATAGGGGTGGGGTAAGTTGACTTACACTTGACAAAATACTCTGTCTCGTCTTCGCCGTCTCGCGAGTCGATCACACGCTCCACGACGTGGAAGTCGAGCTGACTCTCGCGCTCGGCTTCGCGTGCAACCATGTGCTGCTCGTACTCTTCCGGGTCGGCGTTCTTGCGGCTGTAGACATACATGTCGTTCTGGACAGGGCCCTTGTAGTAGTTGTCCAGCTTACGGTAGCCCTTGTACGAAGCTGCCGTCTTGTAGTCTTCCCACGTGGAGTGGTAGTGTGCCTTGTCTTGCCATTTAACCTGAGACAACGAGTTAGTACTGCGTATGTTTGGGACGATGATGGTGAGCAGTGCTTACCAAGTATTCGAAGTCTCGCTTGTCGAACGACGGATCCATTTCTGTCCTCTGTTAGCAAAGAGAAGCACATGATACCGACAGCTCTTCTTACCTAGTCCATCCTTCGGCCGGTGGTCGAGGATCTTGTCGATGATGGGGCCAGCGTCTTCAGGCGCGGTCGCCCAGTAGTTGGGGGTCATTTCATCGTCCTCTTCCACGAACTCGTCCTCGTCTTCTTCCTCATTGTAGTTGGCGACTTGGGCAGTGCGACGTGCAGAGAATCGGACCTCGGCTTGTGATGGGGGCTCGCGGCCTGCGGCAACGGCATGCTGACGTTGGCGTTGCTTCTTGGTAGGGATGTTGCGACGGGCGCCAACGTAGCCATCCGACTCGGAGTCGGAGCCGGCTGAGCGATAGACTGGTGTGGCTTGGTTTGAGGCTGGACAGACGGGTTAGTACGACTTCAGATGGGCAGGTGAGAGTTGACAAACTCTTCCGCGAGGCTGTCCTCTGTCGCTTGCGGGGCTGATCAGAACTGTAGTCTTCATCATCTTCATCATCACTATCGACCTGCAGACTGTTAGTGATGCTTCTTCCATCAACTGAGGGTCACTTACGACGCGACGACTAGGGCGGGCACGACCCTGGACTGGAGTTAGCTCATGTACATGCAGACCGGAGATGCCACGTACGCTGCGACGCAGACCATATAGCTCCGGGTTCTGTTCGATGTAGTCCTCCTTCTCATCGCTAGCCTTCCGCTTCGGTGGCCGCCTTGACTCTTCTGATGAACTGCGGGCGCGGTCGCTCTCTGCCTGTTCAGACGGCGGTGACTCAGAGTCGTAGTCGCCGTCTGGCTCGCCCTCTGCATCGACATCCTCAGACGAGTCTGAAGCAGCGGCTACCTCATCGTCTTCGTCGTACTCCTCGCCCGGCGCGTCGACATCGGAGGCTTCGTCGACCGCGGCAGCCTCTTGCGTGTCGGATTGGTCGTTGTCGCTGTGTTGGGAGGAGCTATCGACGGTCGTCATATGGGCTGCGAGAGGCGACAAATGGCCGTTTGTGTATGGTAACGAGGCGACATGGCCCGGTGAAGAGGGCATCATGATGGACGCGGCTGTGTGGAAGGTCAGTACGATATTTCAACCTTCTGTGGGCCCCAGCGGCTCGGAGCGGGTGCGTTGGATAGAGCGCAACTACGCGATCCAGAATAGCCAGAACGCGACCGAGAACCGGGGCAGTGACTTGTACAATGGAAGTCTGATGGAATGTGGTGTCGGGGGATGAGCGCCTGATGGAAGAAAGGCGGTGGAGTCGCGCGAGCCGGTGGGTGGGCGGGGAGAGTGTGCACGGTGGTGGAGGGCCGATACAGGCGCTCTTTGGGCAGCGGAAGAGCGTGTTATACGTGAAAGGCGAGTTGCTGGATGCGTGGGCGTGTTCTGGCGATGGGATTGATGGACACGGACAAGGCCGACGACAGGCGATTTAGGCAGAACCGCGGGTGAAGCAGACGCGACAGGAGACTCAAAAGGGAATATACATACAGTCCATGGTCAAGATACCCTCGGTTTTAGAGTCGGGTGGGGGTTGGGGGTAGGGTGAGGTGTGGGTAGATTGTGGAAGCGGAGGTTCACTTGCTAGCCCTGGAGAGAGGCGCGCGCTCGGACCTTCAACCTTGCGCCTTTGTATGCCCCAATCACAAGCCGCCAAAATCGCTGACCCAGCGTGCTCGCCAACAACGTCAGTCTGCCTCTTTCATTGTTCTCCTCTACCCCGTGCAGTCGTTGGAGATATTCCCTTCACTCTCCGCCCCCAGCATCCGCGCGCGCGCCTCTCTCGCAGTGACTGTCGCCGAGTCCACCCACGCACTGCTTAGCCGTCAGCCTCATCTCAGTTTGCGACTCCAGGGCCACCAACAACCGCGACCGCCGCAACAACAAAGCCGCCGCCAACATGTCTGACAAGCTCACCCGGTATGCCACATATCTACATAGACATCATCCACGTGTATTGGCTAACACCATGCAGTATCGCCATTGTCAACTCGGACAAGGTACCCCACTACCCCTCCACACTCAAAAATTGATCACCGACTAACATGAGGATGTTCGCTTGACAGTGCAAGCCCAAGGCAAGTGCCACCCCTTCGTCGCGCCTTCTTTGTTCTAACACTTGCCCAGAAATGCCGGCAAGAATGCAAAAAGTCGTGTCCCGTCGTCCGCACGGGCAAGCTGTGCATCGAAGTCGACAATTCCTCCAAAATCGCCTTCATCTCTGAGCGCCTCTGCATTGGATGCGGTATCTGTCCCAAGAAATGCCCCTTCGACGCCATCAACATCATCAACTTACCCACCAACCTCGAGACCCAGGTCACCCACCGATACTCGGCGAACAGCTTCAAGCTACACAGGCTGCCTATGCCCCGTCCGGGCCAGGTCTTGGGTCTCGTTGGAACAAACGGTATCGGCAAGAGTACAGCGCTGAAGATTCTCAGTGGCAAGCTTAAGCCCAACCTCGGTCGCTACGACAACCCGCCAGACTGGGAGGAGATCCTGAAGTACTTCCGTGGTTCTGAACTCCAGAGTAAGACACCGATTTCTGGACAAAGAAAGCACTGGCTAACAACGCGCAGACTACTTCACAAAGGTCCTGGAAGACAACCTCAAGGCCGTCGTCAAGCCCCAATATGTCGACCAACTTCCCAAGGCTATCAAGTCGACCGACCGCACCGTCGGCAAGCTCATCGGCGCCCGCGCCCAGATGGAGAACCTCGACGAGATGATTGACGAGCTTGAGCTGCGACACATCTTCGACCGTGACATTGGACAACTCTCTGGTGGAGAACTGCAGCGTTTCGCCATCGCGCTTGTCTGCGTCCAAAAGGCCGATGTGTACATGTTTGACGAGCCGTCTTCCTTCTTGGATGTCAAGCAGCGTCTCGCTGCCGCCCGCAAGATCCGCAGTCTGCTCCGCCCCGATGACTATGTCATTGTCGTCGAGCACGATTTGTCCGTCCTCGACTACCTTTCCGACTTCATCTGCGTTCTCTACGGAAAGCCCGCCGTCTACGGTGTCGTCACACTGCCAGCATCCGTCCGTGAAGGTATCAACATCTTCTTGGATGGTAACATTCCCACCGAAAACTTGCGTTTCCGTGAGGAATCGCTGCAGTTCCGCATTGCAGAGGCTGGCGACGAATACATGGTTGACCACAACCGTGGCTACAGCTACCCCAGCATGAAGAAGACCCTCGGAGGCTTTGAACTCAACATCGAGACTGGTTCCTTTACTGACTCTGAGATCATCGTCATGATGGGTGAGAACGGTACCGGAAAGACCACTTTCTGTAAGATGCTTGCCGGCGCTCTGCAGCCCGATGGCGACACCAAGATTCCCAAGATGAGCATCAGCATGAAGCCCCAGACCATCACTCCCAGGTTCCAGGGTACCGTTCGCCAGCTCTTCTTCAAGAAGATCAAGACCGCTTTCCTCAGCCCTCAATTTCAGACCGATGTCTACAAGCCACTCAAGATGGACGACTTCATCGACCAGGAAGTGCAGAACCTCTCCGGTGGTGAATTGCAGCGTGTCGCTATCGTATTGGCCCTCGGCATGCCAGCTGATATCTACCTCATTGATGAGCCTAGTGCTTACCTCGATTCTGAACAGCGTATTGTCGCATCCCGTGTCATCAAGCGCTTCATTATGCACTCCAAGAAGACTGCTTTCGTCGTCGAGCACGATTTCATCATGGCTACCTACCTTGCTGACCGTGTCATTGTCTTTGACGGCCAACCTGCTGTCAACGCTCGCGCCAACAAGCCGGAGTCTCTCCTCACTGGCTGCAACTCTTTCCTGAAGAACCTGGATGTCACCTTCCGCCGTGACCCCAACTCCTTCCGTCCCCGTATCAACAAGGACAAGTCCCAGCTTGACCAGGAACAGAAGCTGAGCGGAAACTACTTCTTCCTTGAGGATGATAGTTGAAGAGGTTTTCCACAAACAGAACACGCCTCCCTTCCAGCGCCGCCAACAAGGGCACGTCAAGACCGGGGTGACTAAAAAGGGCAACAAGAAGCGTGGCCTGAGAGGACGCACTGTGAGCCTGCTGGATGATGATGAAGGTGCGGATGAGGAAGATGATGAGGATAGCTGTCCTCCCATCGGCGGTCGATCTCCTGCGCCGGCTATATGTACCAAATGTAGTTGCAATGTCAACAAAGACACGCTCTATACTAGCCAGCTTGGGTCAAGTTAGGTGGCCGCCGAACATTTGGAAGGACAGTGCAGCATGTGTGTGGCTGACGAGTGGAAGCGAAAAGCCACAGACGGAAAAGTGATAAGTCAGTAGCAACTTGAATGTGGTGGAAGATGCATGACAACAATATATCCACATGTGTTTCCTCAACACACTCTTCATTTCCCAACCTGACCTCAGCATAGCCGTCGTTTCCCAACCTAATCATGTAACGTATCAGCTTCGCAGTGATATGATAGCCGCAATAACAACACTTGACAAGCAACACTAAATGGAAAGTCTTGCTGATATTGAGCAAGTAGCAACGACATACTTCAAAGGCTGCATTACTAAACATGACGAAGACTCTCAGAAGTCCGCTGTTTGATAAACCTACCAATGGGACATTACAAGTCCCACTATGCAAAGTATGCCTTGGGCGGGAGACTGAAAATTCCTGAATCATTGTAGACTCGATGGCGCTGAATGCGGTATCAGAAATACTGAAGTAGAGTCTAAACATCGCAGTGAGTTTACGTACGCTACGCCTTTTGAGTGGTTTGGATAAATCTTAACAGAGCTTTTGTTTCTTGTTCTAGGTCGGCGGGATACAAGTATATCCGCAGACTATGCAAATGAGTGTTTGAGCCCAGCCGTCCATACAGTACCTCGGCGACAGACACGAATGCACGGTAAGAAGAAAAGACAGACAGAGGCAGAGGCAGAGAGAGAGAAGGGGGAGTCCATTGTTTTAAACTATCCAATCCAATCCAATCCAATTTACAACGGCAGGCTCCAGCGGCGATGGGGTATATTGATGAAAAGGAACGATGATACCCGGCTCAGTAATCCCTAACTCCAGCGATGCAAGTATGTACGGAACAAAGGAAAGATGTCGTGTCGCCTCTCTCATCCGACTCATTTTTTAGCCACGCCACATGAACTCCTCGTCCATAGGCATCGGCGTGCGATTCGTCAATTCCAGACTCTGATTCATATAATCTGCATCCTCCTCTTCCTCGGACCGTTGCGTCGCGCTACTCAATGGCGTCGCCATAGGACTCGTCTGCATCGATAACTCAGCATCCAGACTAGCCGACAGGCTCTTCGCATCCTCCTCTATCTGCGTCGGCAACGGCGCGGAACCCGTATCCTCCGAAAGCTTACTAGCTCTCTTCCTCGCACGCTCCTGCCTCGCTTCCTCACGCTGGCGCATGAGTTCTTCTTCATGCGCAACGGCTTTGGCGCGGCGGTCCTCGACGTCTTTCCTCTTGATGACCTTGCCGAGGGCGTCGGAGGCTTGGATTAGGCCGTCGATGCTGATGGCGTGGTTGGTCATTTGGTGGTTGATATAATGATACACACCAGCCGGAGTATCACACTGCAACAACGCTTTCTCGTTCAATTTCAGCAACGCAAGTGCGATTTGAAACAGAAAAGTCGAGCCGTCGTGCATACATAGGACGACGTCCCAGACGCGGAAGAGCGCTTCGGCGGAGAGGCAGTCGGTGAAGACGGAGAGGAACCATTGGAAGGTTAGCGCCTCCAGCTCGATTTCTAGTTCGTCGAGATGGGAGGAGAGACGGGGAAGGATTTCGCTGACGTAGGAGCGGAGGACGGATTGGTCGGCGCGTGAGGTGAGGAGATGTTGATCGTAGTAGTGTTGCGGGAGGATTTCTTCGATCATGGCGGTTAGGACCCAGAATGCGTCTTCGGGGGTGGGCATGATGAGTAGGAGACATGCGGTGATTAGGTTCATGCCTTGACAGTAGCCAACTTCGGGGTTGCGGCGGGAGTAGGCGAGGAGTACCTCCTGCAGCTTCTGTACGCCGGGACCGGTGCGGAAAAAGATGTTGTCGGTAAGTGTGCGGGTGATGTCCATTTGGATCTGGGTCGCAATGGTAGGGTCGTCTTCGCCATTGTTCACAAGATCTTCGTAGTAGCCTGGCATGCGCAGATGCAGCGCACCGCTCCCCTCAGCCCAGATTGCGGCTCTCATGTTGACTGGGATCCCACCGAGAACAAGACGACGGAACTCCTGCCACTTGGCACGTCCGATTTTGCCCTTGTTTCCCAAGCCCGCGATGCCCACCAGTTCGCCATCGGCAAGGAACTGCTCGGGCATTGCGTTGCTTTTGCCGTTCTCGCCGGTGCTGGCGACATCTCCTTCACGCTTGTTCTGTGCACGCACTTTACGCAGAAAGTCGTTCCACTTCACAGTCCTCTCTCTTTGGAGATTGTCGTGCAGCTCGCTCATTTGCTCTAGTAGGGACTGCACTGGGTCGATCTGTGGCGGATACTGGCTGATCGGGGTCGACGGGCCTGGCGAAGTGGTGGTGGCGGAAAGTTCTGCATTGCCTGAGACGATGCGAGATGGCGACGGCTCTGGGTTGACACTCGCCGCTGGTGTGGATCCTCGCTTCATCAATGTAATTTGGTTGTTGCCAATCTTGAAGTTTGAGACCTCACCTTCTGCAGACTCTACCGTGGTGATGGGCGCCGCAGATGGAGTGTGTGAGAGTAGTTCAGTTGGATGCGTGGCTAGCTTCAGGTAGTCAACCCAGGTCTTACTGGCTGGCTGATTCTGGTGATTATCGGAGTCGGAACTGGACGGGCGTGTGGTGCCATCGTTTTGGTCAGCAGGAGCAGAGCCTGCATGCTCATGCTCCTCGTCCAAGGCCAAATTGTTGAGTGCAGTCCTGCCATCGCCGAGTGACTCCACATTGCTACTTCGCTTTTGCTTGATCAGCTCAGCTGCCGCCTCACTCTGTCTCTTCTTGCGACGCTGGTCATAGATGAAGCCGAATCTATCGGTTAAATACTCGCTGCTGCCGATGAACCTGTTGTGTTGCTGTACTAGCGTCGGTGGTCGTGAGTCTTCAGGCAGGATTCGGTCCATTTCTACAGGCCCAAGATTGCTCATTCCACGGACAGGCGGAGTCGGACCGAGACTATTCGACACATTCTTGGGCTGTTCTAGCGCCGTACTTTTGATTGTTCCATTGGGGCCCAAAGCGCGACCTCGTCTTTGGGTGCTGGCGAGCGATGACTTTGCGGATTGTGCCGTCTTGGTTGAGTCCATGGATGGCGCACGGTCGACAGTACTCGAAGCAGCGGATTTACGGCCTCGCACTGTGTTAGCCTTGTTGGGGTTTGCAGCGTTGTTTCCTGCTACCATTTTCAACGCCCAGCTTGCTAGCGATGTCGACGAAGATCTACGTGCCGAGTCTGTGGCATGGTCTGAGCTGTTGAGTCGACGCAATGCAGGTACAGCCCCAGCTGGAGGGACGAAGAGATCGCTCGCGAGGGCTTTCCGAGGTGGCTTTGCTCCACTAGATGCGCGCGACCGGGTATGCCCCAGAGTCTCGGCTTCTCTGTCCACCATGCTCGCTACGGACGGTGCTCGGCTGCTCTTCTTGCTCGTCCCAGCCCAAATGTACGTCTTCCAGTTTGGTTTGGATGTGTCGCGTGGCGCGTCCGACGTAACCGAGTTGATGGACATGACTTCTGCCTGAGGCGCTGAGGTGCCCGTGTCCATGCCCAGAGCATCGGGGTGCTCAGCTAATTCGTCTTCCATAGCCCTAGCGAGTCTGTCCTCCATGGGGTCGTCGGGGTGCAATCCAGTCGCTGCGCTGTCGCCCCTCGTCCTCGTCTTGGTGAGGCCATTGCCTGGATCCTTGCTCTTCTCCAACTCGCGCAGCCGGTTCTCAATGTCCATGTTGGATACCTCGCACTCCTGCAGCATCTTCCTCAGCATGCGCTCGCGCTCCTCGGCTCGTCTCCGCAGGGCCGTGATTTGCGCATCGCGCTGTGCCAGGTCGCCAGCGAGTTGCTTGACCAGCGCCACAGCGCCCGTCTGTCGCAGCGCATCCTGTATGTTGTCGTCGCTCGCAAAATGGAGGTTTCCGGGCACCTTGGCCGACTCGGTAGGCGTATCGTCAAAGAGAGCCGTCCGGTCTTTGGCAGACGAGGAAGCTACCAGACTGCCCACTATCTGCTGTGTCGACTTGGTGACCTTCCTGACGGTAGTCGTAGGTGTTGTGTTCTTGAGATCCGGCGGGGGAATTGCCTTGACTGTGTCGGGCGATGCAACAGTTCTACTCTCAGCATTCTTAAGGCAGTCTTCGGGCGCTGGTGTGGAGCGGAACCAGCCATTGACGCGCGACTGTGCCGGCGACGCCTCCGGGCTAGGCGACAGTGAAGGGAAGGATGTGAGGCTCTTGGTGTCGACTTCGGGTGAGGGCGCTCTGCTGCGACTGCGGCTGAGCGACGTGTTGGAGCTGCGCTTCGAGGGCCGCATGCGCTGTATGCTGCGGTTTCGTGGGTTCGATATGGTGGAGCTCTGGGACGCCGTGCGGACCAAGTCAACCGCTCGGGGGGGATCGATTGCCGCCATGTTTGTCGAGCGAGACTATGAGCACGCCCATTCGTATAACCGTGTGGGTGAATGCACGGGAAAGGGGACGTCGGAATCGGAATGCAAGTGCGTATACGTTATGCGAGGTCGACGTCTTGTTCGCGTGCATCGGTTGCTACTATGCAATAAGTGGAGAGGCAGTGCGTCATACAGCGAGGCCTAGATATGTCGCCCCACGCTTCTTTGTATGTGTGAGAAAGCAAAGACGGCCAAAATTCCCACGGCGTCAGGGGCAGACAAAGCACTCGGCGGACAGTCCTAATTACGAAGGCGCAAGGGGCACCGGCACAGCCAAGTCACGACACTTGGTGGTGTCGAACAATCATCCCCACGCACTAGGGCGGTTTTGTGCACATGCATTGCAGCCCTACGAGCCACACGGCACCCGAAACAGACATCCATGGCGATCTCCCTTAATCCACAGACCCTGGCCCGCCTGGCCTGCTAAACACGCCCGCCTAATCGTCGACTATGTTTCGCATGTGCCATGCCCGTTACCGACGAGGATGCTGCATTGGCGGCCGTTGCGACCCTGCAGCCGCTGTCCCCTGAGCAAGACGATGCCCTGAAGAGCGTCAACGCCATCCTGCACAACGACGAGCCCTTTGTCGACATCCACGAACTGTTCGCCTTGTACAACGTCCTCTACTTCCGCAAGCTCCTCCTCCCACGTGTCGAAGTCATCTGGTCGCCGCGTTTGACTCTGGTAGGTTTTCTTTGCGCGTCACAATTTGCTTTCCACGCGTCTCATCCACGACTTCTGAAGCCGCCCTCGTGTCTCCGGACCGTTGCCCCACCCGCTTCTAGACTGCCGTGTCAAACACCGGCTAACAATAGATCCAGTGCGCTGGCATTTGCGAACTCTCCAGGGATCCTAAGACCAACAAGTTCACGCGCATTCGTCTGAAGCTGTCGACACCACTGCTGCAGTATCGTCCTCGATCGGACACCATCAACACACTGCTGCACGAGGCTATCCATGCCTACTTCTTCATCACCACATCGTGGAAGCACTCGCGCGGGGACGACGGTACTGGACATGGGGTTGGCTTCCAGCTGCTTGCCGACGCCGTGAATAACCACGGCAACTATGAAGTCACCATATATCACACCTTCCACGATGAAGTCGACAGCTACCGCACCCACGTCTGGCAGTGTGATGGACCTTGCAGAAGCCAGCCGCCGTACTTTGGCCTCGTCAAGCGGAGCATGAACCGAGCTCCTGGCAAGGGTGACACGTGGTACTCGAGACATCAGGCCGAGTGTGGGGGCACATATCACAAGATCCAGGAACCGGCGCCAACTAAGAAACAGTTGGAGGCTATGAGTACCAAGGAGCGTGCGGGACGGCAGAAGAATAAACTGGATAGCTGGATCAAGAAGGATGTCAAGGTGGAGGGTAGGACTTCTGATTCGCCCATCATCATTGGTGATGAGGATGAAACCTCGACCAAGTCTTCGAACGATGGGCCAAGTGTCGCGTCCGCAGTTGTGGAAGATGTTCTTCGTTCATCCACACGTACATCCTCCAGCGCTGGCCAGAAACGGCCGCGAGATGAGGAGCATGGTCCGGTCGTACAGAAGAAGTTACTTGTCGACTGTCCGATTTGCAATGTTAGGATAGCAGAGTTTGACATCAACGAGCATCTGGACACGATACATCCTTAAACTTAATGTTTTTGAGATTCTAGAACAATCATGTCTCTTCGTGAGTTTTAAAGGTGTTCTAAGAGGTATGCAAACAACGTTTGTGAAGATAGAGACTAGTATCCTGCTGTCTAGTCCCTGCCATACTCTCTATCTAGCGAATATAAAAACAGGCAACTCAACCAAGTAAAGGTATACATGCACGCACATATGTGCAGCGTTACAGTCCTCTATAACAAGCGTTTAGAGGGCAAAAAATAAAAATAAAAAATGCCGATTAGTCTGTAGTCAAGGAGCCTATCAAAAAGGCAAAAAAGAATGTCGCAAGATTGGCGGTACTGGGAACTGTAGACATGTTAGGATGTCTCAGGACCACCAATGTGTTTGGGAAAGAACGTACTCGAACCCAGGCTGGCGCGGATCTGGATCGGGACACAAAGTGTCCGCCAGCCACAACGCGACGTCATACCACTAGACCATACCTGAGAGGTAGAGTTAGCATATGGAACACATGCGCTTAGTAAGGCAGAACTTACCACCGTGAGGTGTTATCGCATTACCCGAAGGTGATTTGATGGCAAAATCTCGAATTTTATCGTATAATACCTTGGTGCGCGCTCCAGAAGTGGACATGCAAAAAGTGGTTCAATGTTCCAATAATTCCACTGAGGGGTGAGGGGCAGAGGTGGGGACCATCACTCGCTAAGTTAAGTAGTTGGGAGTGATGACTAGCCTGCTCCGATCCATTCCCGTGCTCGCCGATAGGCAGTCAAGGAAATTTTTGGGGCGCGCGACCAACACCGCAACCACCATCGCCGCCCACATCAGCATGGCCGAACCGGATGCAAAAGCCTCAGCTGCTGGCGAGGCTTCTGCCGGGCCCAGCAAACCCCAGAAGCCCCCGAATCCCGTATGGAGAATGATGGGTGCGTGATTCTTCTATCTCACGCGGAACACAACTAACAATTACAGGTCTGCCGAACTTTCGCTTCAAGCTGCCGTCGCGCAATTGGATGATTTTCCTCTCGATTACTGGATCTTGGACTGCTGCGGTTATGTATGATCGTCGGCAGAAGAAGCGCATACAGAAGAAGTGGGCAAAGGTTGTGGAGCACATTGCACACGAGCCGTTGGACGTACACCAGCTGCCGAGGAGGCTTACTATATTCCTGTCTGCACCGCCGGCGGATGGGATAGTGCCCGCGCGCGATCATTTCCATGAATACGTCAAGCCCATTCTCGTTGCAGCAGCGTTAGATTGGGATGCGGTCGAGGGCCGAAGGGAAGGAGACGTCAGAGCTGGACTAGCAGAGCGGATACGGAAGTTGAGGAAGAAGAGGGGTGAAGTGACTGATGAGCCATTGGAGCCAGGACTTGAGGAGGAATTGGAAGGACTAAGGCAAAGAGCAGGCGTGAGCGCGTGGAGTGGACCAGGAGGAGACATCGTTATTGGCAGACACACATGGAAAGAATATGTCCGCGGACTACATGAGGGTTGGCTAGGTCCTCTGGACCCTCCGCCATCATTAGAACCGACTGTAGATGTACCGGTCGCTGCGATCGAACCCACGCCCGCGTCAACCGAAGCACCCTCCGACAGCACGACACCGCCCACGACCGACGATGCATCACCTACCGCTTCACCCGAAAACCCTAAAGTGGAAGACGCTGAGAAGCCAAAGGAAGAGGAGAACAAACCCAAGAAGAAGAAGCAACCACCACCATTCATCTCAACCACCGAATACCACAACGCCGTACTCTCTCAAAACTGCCCACAAGCACTTGGTCCTGCAGCCGTAGTACCCCTCCCCCACCTTCTTGGATTCTTTAACTTCCCCATTCGCATGTTCCGTTTTCTGAACAAGCGGCAAGCGGCGGACGAGATTGGCAGGGAAACCGCCGCCGCTGTTCTTGGTGCATACCGACCTTTCGAAACTGCAGGCGAAGCGTCTGTCACAAACGAGGAAGACGGACACAGTCAAGCACAGTGGGAGCAACAACGACTACTCGCTCACGAAGAGCCAGATTGGTCCAAGACAGCACGAAAGCGCGAAGAAGGCGATACCAAGGAGCGAGTATGGCTAGACGAGATGGTGCTCGATCCGAGAATCGCTGAGCGCATGCGAAGGTTTGTGTTAGATCGCGAGGTTGAAGAGCGCGCAAAGAGCCTGTCTCTACCAAAAGAAGGATCATGGTTTAGCTCGCTGTGGCCGAAAGAAAAGCCCAAGGGCGCTTGGGAAGGATTGAGCGACGATTAGAGACTTGTAGATACCCATCTCACCTTCTAGCATGTGTTACATAGTAGTGGGCTGTAAGAGTAGACGTGTACATGAAAGCACTTGATGGCTTGAATAACGCCAGTTGAATCTCAAATTCAAGTAATTCACATGCACTGTTGGAACGACGTTTGATAGCGAACACTACAAAGCTGGTGGTGGTAGCTTGGCACTGGCCTGGCGGCGGACTGCCCCGCCAATTGACCGACGGAAGCTTCCAGTTTCAATGCGTTGATCTTAGACTTGTAACCAACCATAATCCTGTACCTACCGGAACACCTGTTCACAAGAAGCTTGCTACCAGGGAACGTACTACATCGTACCTAATACCCAGTTTGCGAGACCCTTCGAACACACACATCACGCCGTCATGGTAAGTTTGCCCCACCTGCGCACGTAAACAATCACTCACAGTGCCAGGCTTTCCAATCCAAGAAGCGCCTCGCGCTCGCCATCCTCGACTTCCTCCAGACCTCGCAGACAGACGGCTCCGTAGCGCCCGACGACGCGGAACAGCTCGAAGTCGCCGCCAACTGTATCGCCGAAGCTTTCAAGGTCGACGCTGCGGATGAGGCCGCAAAGAAGGACGCCATTGGCGACCAGAACCTGCTCGCAATTTACAACGTCTACGAAAAGCTCAAGGGCAAGACAACCGCCACAACTGAGGGATCTTCGTCGGCAAAGGAGGCTCGACCAGCAACGCCACAGACACCTGCCGCCGGGTCAGGACCAGGCGGGCCAAACAAGGATGAAGCCGAGAGACTAAAGGGACTGGGCAACGAGGCGATGAAGAAGAAGGACTACGATGCTGCTGTCAAGCACTACACCGCTGCCCTCGAAGTCGTTCCGCTCAACCCCATCTACCTCTCCAACCGCGCCGCCGCATACTCAGGCCAGGGCAAGCACGAGCTCGCAAAGGAGGACGCCGAGATGGCAGTCGCTGCCGACCCCAATTACTCCAAGGCCTGGTCGCGTCTCGGTCTCGCTAAGTTCGTTCTTGGTGACTCAAAGGGCGCCATGGAGGCATACAAGTCGGGCATGGACGCAGAAGGCGGCGGCTCAGATGTCATGCGCAGGGGCTACGAGACAGCCAAGAAGAAGGTCGAAGAGGAGGGTGGTGACGTCGGTGCTCCTGACGCTGCTCGAGGAGCTGGCGGTATGGGCGGCGGCGGCGGCGGTGGCATGCCTGATCTCTCTGCCCTCGCTGGAATGCTCGGTGGTGGCGGCGGCGGAGGCGGCGGTATGCCCGATCTTGCTGGCCTGATGCAGAACCCGATGATGAGGCAGATGGCTCAGAACCTCATGAGCAACCCCGATATGATGAGCAACCTCATGAACAACCCTAGGATAGCAGAGATGGCTCAACAGTTCGGTGGTGGTGGAGGTCGAGGTGGCGGTGGCGGTGGCGGTGGAAGCGGAGGAGGAATGCCTAACATGCAGGATCTCATGAACGACCCCAACTTGGCTGAGATGTAAGTTCAAGATTTGCTCAAACACGGGATCATGACTAACGGGATATCAGGGCCAGGAACTTCATGGGAGGTGGTGGTGCTGGCGCCGGTCGAGGTGCACCGCAATAAGATGCTACAAACTGATTGCACACAGTGAACCACTGGCATAAGCGTTGGTCATGTTAGAGAGCAGTCTTCACGATTAGAAATATGATACCATGTTCAATTTCGTTTGTATTCATGGAGATCCCGTGTTGAGATCGACAACCATCTTGCATATGGCAAGATAAGCTGTAATATCGTGTCTGTGATCAGAGCCTCGAGTAGCTCCTCATCATGAGCCATTTCGTCTCGTCTCTATTCGTGTGACCCCAGCCGTACGCTGCCATGGCCCTATCATCCTCACTCAAACCTGTGACATCCGTACCCTTTCAATCCAACTTCAACCCCCAAAGCCCATCTCCCAAATAATGCCCCGCCTCACACGCCTGCCCCTTCTTAACCTTCTTCATCTCTTCCGTCCCCATCTTCAACACCCCAACCATACACGCCGTCTCCTTTCCCTCCGCCTCAATAACCACCACCTCGCCCTCCTTCAGATCCTCTGCTCCATACACCTCTTTATCATCATCACTCAGTTCTGGTCCTGGTAAGCGGCCGCCCGGGGATGTTAGACCGGGCGCCATTAACGTGGCGCCGGAGAGGACGAAGCGGATGGCGCCCCGGTCGATGCGTAGGCGGTGGAAGGCGAACGGGTATTTGTGTACGAGGGTTAGGTGCGGGAGGAGGGCGTCGTCCATGTGTTGGAAGAAGAGGGGGGTGGAGTGGAGGGTGTAGAGGGATACGCGGTCGGGTCTGTTGTCATGTCCATCGTTAGCAATCTACTTTCTCGTGGAATATGGAAAGGGTGGAGTCTGGGGGTAGGGGATGGGATGTACAGCTTGACCAGATCTAATTGCTCCTTCTTGGGCAATATATCCTCAATATACGGTTCTAATCTCGGATATTCCTCCAGCACTTTTGAGCGGATGGCGCGTTGGGCGCTAGATTTGACCTTTGATTTTGCGCCCGAGGTTATGCTGGGCTCTTGTCAGTCCCTCTCTCTATTTAGCGACGCGTAATAGAGCTTACTCTTTCTTGAACATTGTGTCGGTTGTGTGTGGGGAGTTGGGTTTGTATGCGACGGTGTTTGGTGTTGAGACTGCTGCTGCGTAGATTGGTGCCCCGCGATTGCCCCTCATAGACGCGCTAGTGAGGGGGAGGGAGCGCGTGCAACTGCGCTTTCCTTTGGGGATTCTCTCACTTATCTCATCTTGAGCAATGCCAAACGCCTAAAAAACTTGCTTAACGTGCGGATTCATCATGCGCATACCTCAATGGCCGTCAAGCTAGGCGCAAGGCATTCCCGCCTAGGGCTCGGATCGCGTCTTCTATATCTACACATCATCCCAACTTACGCATGTGTTATCATTGAACTAACATCTAGCTAACATCGGTCAAAGCTGTCATCTTATAAGAGATGCACTACACATCGGCCTTGATTGGATATCTACGGCCAATGGAATTGGTATGCAAGCCACTGCGCAACTCGACGTCATCAGGCTGAGACTCAGCCTTCTTCACTGTGTATCAACACTTGTTGTTGTCTCACCCCTCACACAAATATGTTCCAGCACCTTCAAACCTCCATGACTTGATATTCCTCGTCTTTTCTTTTCTGAAACACTTCCCCTAAGAATCGGGCGATAATCAAGATTGTGGTACGATGTCCAGTACTGCATACGCCGAAAATGCAGCGATTCCCCCGCTGGATGAATCATCGCAAGAGGATCTGGATGATGAGATGAGAGATATGGACTGCGCAATCTGTCAAGATCTGCGGGAATTATATCCAGAACCCATCGAGACAACGTATGCGGAGTTGCAGCGCGCAGCAGCCGATGGATGCGAGCTATGCGAGGTTCTCCAGCGGGTTAGCGAGACAGCTTGTACTGGCGCAGTTAGGATGATTCGAGATACTGATAGAGTGTATGTGGGTCCGGGAGTTGGCCGTGGAGATGGATGTGCAGTGGTGCTGAGTGTGATGAAGGGTAGTGGAAGGACGCTTCGTGGGTCCCTCCCCTGCTGTCCAACGCACAACACGACATGTACTGATTGCTGCAGAGAAAGATATGGTAAATTTCAACATCGCATCAGGTAAGCTTCACATCGTATATGATAGATTGGCAAGCGACCAAATTGGCTGTTTACTGACGAATCATAGGCGATAGCTGTCCTTGGCCTTTTATAAATTCTAACAGCGGACCCGATGAAAACGCGAGCATTCGAGACTGCGCTACGTTGATCAGAGACATGCTGAACATATGCGATACCACACACACGATGTGCGGAACCAATACCGTAAAACAAAGCTCGAGTGGTTCCAATGCATCCAAGCTCATTCCCAAGCGACTACTGCACATCAGCAGCGATCACACATCTCTCCAAGTTCGTTTGTTCGAGACGGCAAGTGGAGATTCATCATTGAAGGCGGTCGATCTTCAATATACTGCTCTGAGCCATTGCTGGGGCTCTATACCGGTCATCAGTACCACAATTGCCACGATTTCGGAGTTTGAGACTGAAGGTATTGCTTGGGCATCTTTACCCAAAACGTTCCAAGAAGCTATAATCTTGACACACGAGCTCGGTATCCACTACATATGGATCGACTCACTATGTAAGCACCTCCGAACTCCACGGCATTCCATCGTGTGTACTAAAATTCGCCACCACGATAGGCATTCTACAGGGCTCCGTCTCTGATTGGGCCGAGCAAGCTTCTCAAATGGCTAACATATTCTCGAACGCGCACCTCACCATTGCGGCAAATGCAGCTCAGGACGGACGACAAGGACTATTGAAGCGTCGTCACACTACCCGAAAACTGGACGTAGTCCACAACTACAAGGCCTTTTCTGTGTGTGTTCGCGATGTGATTGCGCACGTATTCGACGATGATGGAACTGATCTCCCTTTTGGGCAACTCCATAACCTGCCACTACGAAAACGTGCATGGTGTTTCCAAGAAGAAGTGCTCTCCACTCGAATTGCTCATTTCACAGAGGATGAGATTGTTTTTGTGTGTCGTGCAGCCACAATTTGCGAATGCGACCCTCGCTGGCGGTCTCGTTTTCAGATACCAGCGATTGTCGCCACTAATTCAGCTGAGCCTTTCGCAATCTGGGAGAACACTGTGGAGTACTACACAGAGCGTCAAGTCAGCTTTTGCAAAGACAGGTTGCCAGCACTATCGAGTTTTACCCATTATTTTCAAGAGGACTCGGACCGCTATCATGCCGGGCTTTGGGAATCTCATATGCCATGCAGTTTGCTTTGGTGGAGTCAGTGTGGCGAACGTCCAGAGCAAGAATGGAGTTCCCAATCTAGACCGCCGTCCTGGTCTTGGGCATCTATCGAAGGTGTAGTGAGACATTCGGAGACGAAAGAGGATCATAGGATTGTTGCTGAGGTCCTTGACGTCTGTACTTATCCGAGCACAGTCGATCCTCGAGGGATGGTCTCTGGGGGTCAAATCACTTTACGAGCTCCATTATTTCCATTGGGAGGAACTTGGCAAAAGCATAAGTCTTCATGGCAGAGCTTCCTGCAATACTTTAACCAAGCCATTGACTTTGATTGCTGTTTCGCTTGTAGTCCGGGTTGGGGGCCAAACCTTGAACAAGATCATTGCTATTGTGTGCTCGACGATCCGGCCAATCCACCGTTGTTGCTTCGGAGCGGCATTATCGAGACACCCATATTCCTGTTGGTAATTCGCACAATGGATGACTCAGATCCACTTGAGGGTGTCCCTTATCCTGGGGGCTGCGGTCTTCTAGGTCTACTTCTCAAACCGCTGGAAGACCTCGACGAGATTCAGAGAAAGACAATGGAAGACTCGGAGAGCAAGCTTTCGTTCACAAGAATCGGGTTTGGTGGCATGTGTCTGAGCAAGGAGGATGGCGAGGAGGCACTGGATCGCTTCAAGGATACAGTCGTTATGATATTTTGATTACCACTCTGTATCTGCCCGGAATCAATTATATTTGCATCGAAAAAGACCCGAGTTTCAATGCATTGCTATCATCTCCTCCTCCTACCACCTCATACAAGAATTCTTTTTTGAACAGGTTTGCAGCCAATATCAACATAAAAATATGCAAAGTAAGCAACCCAACGTCATTGTGAGCTCCAGAGTGTTCAGCTTTGTGTAAATAGACGTGATATTACTACCCACCCTCAAGGCAACCCCCTCCCACTATTAACCGCATCCGCCAACTGGCTGGTCCCCGGCCTATTCTCCGCATACCTTTCATAACTATCCAAATAAAGCTCATCCGTACTCGTCGTCATCTTAACACTCCTCTCTGCTTCAATCGCCTCAATCCACCTCTTCCATCTACTCCCTTCTTCCGCCTCCGGCCACCCCCTATACGGACCCAACACGCGCCGCAACCGCAGAACCCACGGCGCTATCTGCACATCTACGAACGAGATGTGGGGACCGAGGAAGAAAGGGCCGTTCGTGTCTGCGGCATCGACTAACTTCCCAATCTGATCCCGGAGTTCTTTCGCGTGAGCAACTTGTTCAGCAGCGTCTTGACATTGAAGTAGTTTGTAGAACCACGGGATGATGTTGCGGTTTATGTGGTCGGACCAGAGGCGCGAGGTAGCACGCGTTTGGGCGTCTGGGGGAAGGAGCTGCGGTCCGGCTTGCAGGTCTTCGAGATATTCCATTATAACGGTTGATTCGTGGGTTGACCATGTGGGACCGTGGCGGAGGGCGGGGACGAGACCGCGTGGGTTGACGTCGAGGAGGGATTGCGGTTTCTTGTACGGGTCGACTTCGATGTATTGGTAGGGGATTTGCTTGTGCTCTAGGGATATCCAGACGCGTTGGACGAAGGGGCTGGTGGGTGTCAGTGGGTTGGGCGTGAGCTTAGGGATGTTGCTTACCAGAATGCGCTGCCGTATAGTTTTAGGTCGTCCTCTTTGGAATGGTTCTTGACTGTCGTCAAAGCATTGCCAGTGGCCTTTTTGTGGTACGTCTTCTTGGAAGGATCTCCGCCCTGGTTGGTGTCGGTCATTTTGAATCGAATGGTCTCACTACGGATTCGCAAAGATGGTGTTTGAAGTGAAGAAAGATTTGAACAAAATGTAGCCTTGGAGATGATGGAGGGACGAGTGCAGGAATATGGCAAAAAGCAGGACAATGTGCGAAGTTTACAGAGAGGTCTCACGAACAATATGGGAAACTTTGAATCATTGTAGGACCCGAGCAGCCAGTCTTAAATGCCTGCGACTTGAGCGACGGGGATCGTGGGTGTTCCAAGCATGCATCAAAATGACGTATGCGCTTGATCTGCGGGCAGTGTGGATCGCCATTGCATATCATCATGGCTAGATGGGTCGGTGGAACGGGAAAGCGGAGTCTGAGACCAAAGAAAGAAATGAAGCTTACCTGCGATCTCTTCCTGTCGTCTTTATCAATCTTCGCCTGCCACCTAATGACACTGTTCTTCTTCACACGGTCACTCTCTTCAAGTGTATGCTTATGTGGTCCGGCAACACCGTCGCCTTTGCCGTTTCCACCATTTCCATTCACCCTCTGGAATGTGTAGAACTTCTTGGATGGAGGGCCGGACGAAGGGGCGTATTCTGGCATGTTCATGCCCGACTGAGCGCCCATGTTTGGAGGCATATCCCAACTCACAGGCGGTTGTTGCGGCAATAAAGGTGGCTGTCCAAAGAACTGCGGGTTCTGATTCTGGCCAGTTCGGCTGGGGTTCAGCGGCATGGTCGATGCTACCGGGCTCGGAGGGTCGTTCTCTGTGCCTGGCGGTCGTCGACCAAGTTGTTCCTCATATTCCCGTCGATCGAAGAACTCGGTAATCTTGATCTTAACATCACATAGGTCCCGCTCTCTTGCAACCCTCTTCCTCTTCTTCTTGTCTGGGTCTGTAGACTTCTTGGTGCCTGGTGGTCGCCCTTTCAGTCGACAATCCCAGTAGTGTGATACGAAGCGTTTACGTTTATGCCGCTGGGTCGAGCGATGCGAGTAGACGTTGTCGATGTGAGGGAAGTAAGTTTGGAATCTAAGACGAAGGTTAGCGCATAGCCTCGAGTGTGCCAGGAAGTCGTCATACTGCTCCTCAGTCAGAGTGATCATGTCGTCGACATGAAACAGCCTCTCCCTCCAGTCTTCCAGGTCTGGTGGATTGGGTATGAGCTTCAGGCCTTGGAATTGGCCATGGTTGGACAGTGGAGTGTCCTCACTACCAAAATGTCAGTAGGTCCTCCATCGCTACGCTCAAGCCAACGTACCCATCCTGACTTTCCTGCTTGTGCAGCAAAGGTGCTGGTTCCACATGCCGTGGCAATGGCTGCGGCGCCGCAAGTATCGGTGGTGCAGGCGGTGGGAGAGGAAGTTGCTGAACCGGTCGTTGTACCGTCTGAGGGGATGCGTGATACTGTTGCGCGTGTTCTTGAAGCGGGGGAGGGGGCGCGTTCATGAATCGCGGACTCGTGCCATGCTGATAGCCCGCCGGTTGGAATGGCGAGTACGGTCCTGAAGGCGGGAGCGCATGTTGCTCGAAGTGCACTGGCAGCGCATGCGACGGTGGTTGTTGGTGCGATGGCCCGCTCAGGGCGTACTGCTGTTGGTATACATCGCTCGTGTGGAGGTTCTGAAGCTCGGGCAGGACCTGGTTGTGGGGATATAGCGTTCCGTCTGGCGACTGGTGTAGCGTCTGGAGAGCGCCAGGGTGCAGTGACCGGAGCTGCTGGAGGACAGGCGAGGAGGCCTGTTGCATGATGGCGCCGGTGTTGGACGCTGCTTTAGCCCAAGCCGTTTTCGTGAAAGATGCAGGTCCACCGACGATCCGATATCCGAGTAGTTCGGGTTGGCGAGTATTACAGGTGTAGACACATTTAGCATGGAGAGCACCAGTATTGATGTTGCGAACGCGTGTTGATTACTTCTTTGTCTGATTCAGCACTCTATGTGGCGATGGTCGCTCCGCACACGCTTAGGATGACTTTCAGCCGCCTAGCTGAGCAGCGTTTGTTTGAACATCAACGCTTTTGCGGCATTTCCAACTTTTGTCATCGCAACACATGGGCAAATGCTGGAAATGCCCCATCACATAATCATCGTGGTCCTTCCATCTAAAAGATCAAATCCAGTCCCGTCAAAGGGACCGCTAACCCGCAACGCCATGCCCATGCCGTGACGAAGAGAAGCATAATCATGAAACACAACCAGATCTACCAGAATCTACTCTCCGGGGAGAAGATTGCTCTTGACAGCAAACATCTTGGAAGTGACGCCTGCTGTGAAACCATCCACCTGCCTTGAGTACTGCTCCACCTGTCTCGAGTTGAGGAGCGTCTCCAGTCGGCTGGGCTCCTGGGGCAGCTTGAACAGCCTCTGCCACTCGTCTTCGGGAAGGAGAGGCTGCTTTGAAGCTGTGCGCGCCGCGTTCTCAGCCTTGCGCTTTTGCTGCCATGCAGTAATCTTGGTCTGCTCACGAGCGAGCGAACGCTGGTAGTACTGGTAGTTGTTGATCTCTGTGTGGTGGTTCTCGATGCTCTCAAGGAGCAAGTCGCACGTCTTCTCGAGGAAGGGGTCGATGGAGAGGTCGAGCGAATCGTAGTTCGGGAAGAGAGGTGCCTGGGGGGTGTTTGGGTCCTGCTGCAGAGCCGCTAGGTTAGGTGGGAACTTGAGCTCCTGCTTGGGTGCGTCGGAAGGTAGCTGGTGTAGGAGCGAGGTGAGGAGGTGGGAGTTGCGGATGGTAACTGGGAGCTCGACTAGGATGTCGTGGTATCGGAGACCACTCTTCTGGAGGCTAAGATTGTCAGTCTCCATCTTTCTTTAGAATCCTGTATACATACCTCTCAGTCGTGAACTTGCCCTCCTTGTACGCCGTCACGAAAGAAGGAGAGAGCCTGTATGCGCGCAGGTTCAGGGTACCCTGAGAACTCCTGCTCACGTCGTAGATCAAAGCGACGGTCCTCTCATTCGGCTGGCTCTGGTAGAAGTACTGGTTCTCGATCGTGTTCAGGTTGACGAAGTTGCCCATGCTTGTGCTTGTGTACCAGCCCACGTTGTTCGCGTCTACGTTGACCTCCCGGAGGAACTTGATCATCTCGTTTCCGTATGCGATGTTCTGCTTGGCGCGGGGAGCACCAGCAGCGAGGTTTGCGACAGTCTCGTTCTGGCCATCGGTCTGCGCGGCAGAGACCTCGGGGAAGGGGAAGGAGTTTGTGATTTCTAGGACGCCGTTCTTCTCCATACCGACGATGCTTCCGGTCGCGAGCGAGGGGAAGGACTTGCCGCTTGCGGTAGCGATTTTGATCGCGACCTGAGGACCAAAGTCAGTCTCTCATAGCTACACCAGGCTTCTATAACGGTTTGTCTCCAGCACAATGGCGGGGCGCACAGTGGGGTACTGGCTTTGCACTTTTCCTACGTACCAGGGCGTCGATCTGCACCGTCTTGAACAGCGCATCTTTCTGGGTGTCCGCCATCGTGAAGTCGTCGAAAGGGTCGGGGTTAACGTTCGGCGGGGGTAGTAGACGATGGGCGTGCGTCGTTGTCAGGAAGGAGAATTCGGGCTCCAGTGACTCTGCCAAGATTCACGCTCGCTTACCCGTACGCTAGCCGAACTCGACTAGCTCAGTTGTAGGCCCGGTCAAGTACCTCTACTCGTAATGTGAACAGACACGGACGCGACTCTTTGGGGTTGATAATAAAGCCGAAACTCTATCTACCACCACTGCTATATCGCTTCCGATCCATCCGCTGCACACGATACACCTCACAACTCCAGTCCATCCAACACTAACGTCAAAGCAAACAACATGCCCTACAACGAGTACTATGAAGAAATCCGGCGTCTTTACGTGCCGTCCGAAGACCGTTGCTCCTCCTCCATTCCGATATCCGAGCTAGTCTTCTACAACGACAGCAAAGAGATCTCTCAACTGCGCATGAAAGTCATGTCCAAGCCAGACCCTGTTCCAGACGAGACAAGCCTAGTAGTCTTCATCGACGGTGCTTGTCGTGACAACGGCCATCCAAATGCGCGGGCGTCGTATGGCGTCTACTTCGGTCCCGCCTCTCCCTACAACACATGCGGTCTACTTTACGAGTCTCTGCCTCAAACGAGCACACGTGCGGAAATCGAGGCTTTCCACCGAGCGCTTGCCATCGTTCGCAAGATTACGGACGCAGACCTCAAGCTATCCAGCATCAAGATCGCAACCGACTCGAGCTTTCTAGTTAAAGCAATGAGCCAGTGGATGGAGCAATGGATCGAGGATGATGGAGTGGGCTCCAACGGCAGACAAGTCGCCCATTTCCAGATCTTGAAGCAGCTGCACGAGACACTGGACCACATGGAATATAGTGACGAGGCGGGTGGCAGAGAGGTGCAGTTCTGGCATGTACCCAGGGAAATGAACCGAGAGGCAGATGCATTAGCGAACAAGGCTCTTGATGAAGCTTGAGTTGTATGCAAACAAGTAATATCCCATGACTGGTGATGCCTATGACAATATAGTGTAAACAACAACGCCCTACGAAAATGCAGTGGTATCCAAAGTTTGGTGCTAAATGTGAATGCAACAAGTCCACCTCCGTTTCCTCTATCCTAAACGCCACCTTCCATTAAGCCATGTCCTGATCCGAAGCACCCTTAGCTGCTTCGGTGTCTTCAGGCGGCTCCAACTTCTGTTCCTCTTTTGCCTCTTCATCTTTTATCTCCACCACCTCTGTAGACACACATGGGGCTCCTGTTTCGACAGCTTGTTTCCTCTTCTGGTTGTTGTATGGGTTCCACCGAGGCACCACGGGTTGTCGCTGGGGCTTGCGATTGTTTGCTTTTGGGTTCTTCGCAATCGACCCATCATCCATGCGCATCCATTCTGTGTCTTCGTTGTCGATATGGTCGGAGATGTCCGCATCGTTTTCGTCTTCCCAGATCATCAGGTTGGTCCCGTTGATCTCGATCGAGCGGCCTCCAGTGCGTGGAACGAAGAAGACGTCCGGTCCGGCCTTGCTGAAGTCTTGTTCCCATGTTTCCTTCTGCTGAAGTTTGAGGATATAGTCCATCGGCAAGGCGTATAGAACGTTGTCGTCCTTGTCGTAAAGCTCCTTGAGAGGGTAGTCCAGACAAGCTAGTCCGAATTTGCAGTCAATACGACTAGACAATGGATGTATGCGCCCGCCAAAGACCTTGAGTTCGAAAGCAATTCCACTCTCCGTCCACATATTGTCGCCAAAGAAGACTTCAGGTTCGGAGAGCAGTGGGTGGTCGTGATGCGGCCCGGAAACTTCACAGAAGTGTGCAACCTCATGCGCCAGGCATGTAGCAAGGAACATGTTGTATCGGAGTACCATCGCTGGCTCCCGGTATCGTAATAAGCTGAGCTTCTTCGCGGTTGTGTAAAAGTCTGAATGGAGGCAGATGCGACTTGTATGGCACTTGTGATTGATCTTGCGCATCAAGCCGTTCTTGTAGTCCTTGACAAGGCCCATCGATGCGTATGCAGTCTCCGGAGGTAGCGGATCATGATGGAAGTAGAAGTGAACAGTGTCGATCTGATTATCCAAAAAGTTCTTGAATGTTGCGTGGTGTTCTTCAGACCATGGTACGTCCTCTTTGATGCGAAAACAAGGCTGACCGTATGCTGCAGATGTCTCCTCACAGGCCTCCCTTTTGCCAAACACCAAAGTATGCCAGAAGTGAGCAGTGGCCTGAGATGTCAGGAGTAAGGTGGCCAGTTGCAAAGCCGGTCTTAAAACCTCGTAGATTCCATCTGGACACCCGTGCCAGTTATCTAGACGGAAGATAGCATGTATCTCGTTATCTAGCGTGCAGACAGGTGCGGGGACGTCCTTTCCAAAGGCTACAGCTTGTTTCTTGATCAACTCGACTGGATCAAAACCAAGTCTGACAGGCCTCTTCTTGGTCGCGTCTTTGCGATGTCCAAGTAGCCTGCGATACTTCTCCAGCGCCTTGCGATCCTCTATCTGAGCGAGATGGTGGTTTATCGAGATGCTGAGCTGCAACCCAAAGTCTTTGGGCACTTCGATCGTCGAAGGAGTGAAGGAGAGTGATTTCTGATAGCTCAAGACATCCGGCAAATCATGGACCAGCTTGTCAATGCATTCATCCATGATTTTGCCCTCTTTGAGCTTGTGCAGGAGTACCGCGTTTTCACCCCGATCTTCCGCCTGAAGATCACCATCTCCACCAGCAGGTAGAAGATGACGCATTTTTCTTGATAGACTTGGCGGTGGCCCGCATTCTGGAGGTGGAGTATTCGATTCTGTAGGTGTCCAGTCCATGCTGTCCGGATCTTGCTCCTGGAAGGCGGCTTCTGGTGCATCGCCATCGTCATCGGCTGTGCCTTCCTCATTGAGCTGAACATCTTGATGCAGTCGTTCTTCGATGAGTTGCGTTGTATGCACCATTGCCTCATACGCCTTACGGTATCTAAAAGGGTCCATTCTGGTCGGCGTCAGTATCCTGGAGGGGTTGGGTCGAGAAGGTCGGTTGGGAAGTCGATCCAACTTGCGCTCAAACAGGCTGCAGGCAGCAAGAGAAAGTGGTAGAAGTAGGTAACAGTCACTCGAAGATGATCCAATCATGAGGCTGACTTGTTGTTTTGCACCAGTGCGTTTCGTGGCTGCATCAGCCGAGGAGCAATGTTTCTTCGTACGTGCCCTGAATGGATATGTCGCGCGCTTCGATCCCGACTGAGTCGCAGGGAGGAGGCAAAGTGTCCAACACCTGCCATCTCACCGAGTCTGGCTATGCAGCGTAGGTGTAGATGTATCGGCTGCTGTACAGGGAAGTCTGGAGTGGGGTATTCTTACTAAGTCGACGAAGCGGTCAACACCCGCTAGGCGATAGAAAGGGGTCTATCCTAAAAATAAAGCTAAGAGATGGAAAATGAGGGTAGCGTTGAGATCGTGTATCGTCGAGAGGAACGGAACGGTGTGCCTAGATGAGCTGTCACGGTTTCGCGCTAGCGTCCTCTGGTGCCAAGGAATTGCGCCGCTAGCTTTTCGTCACTGGTTGACGCACGTCACAATTCTGAACGGCACAGCATCATCTCATCATCCTTCAGTCATGGAAGCGTTGTCGCATTTCCATTGCTTTCAGCTTCAAGCGTCCCGCAGATAGTGATCATCGCCACCAGTGCTACGCGCCATTCGAGCCACTCAGACCACGCACACGCGATATGATGCTGTTTGCGACCCTACCGAGATATCCAAATCATGACAACAACAACGGAAGCCTTGGACAAAAGTCTTTATAGGGGGACAATTTGATCACGGGCACTCGCACAAGACGCGTTCGATTCCGATCCGCTCTCCGCACTGAAGCTCTCATGTACATCTGTACACTCTTTACGCTAACGATGGGCAATGAAACTGTTTGAGCATGAGCGGAGATAGCTCTGATGACCTACTCTTACTGTTTCTTGTCGATACAGGATAATTTGCAAAAGCTAATTGAAAGGGAGGGGAAAGCGCGCCGAGCTTACAGCCGACAGCGAAGCGTGATGAGCCATCTGTGTCGCTTTTGAGAACATGACATGGAATGTTATTAGAGAAGAAAGAAGCCGGACGCTACCTCGAGGACTTACTTTACTCTTGCACAAGCCGGCATCGAGCTGCGGGAGTTTCATAGTATATTCGAGCTTACTCTCGGTAATAGATGCAGCTGCGTGCTGTTACGGATACAGCGTTCTCTGGAATTCATGTGCGACAACTGCTTTACCGGCTAAACAGTGCCTTCTCGTTGTCGACGTCTTCACCTATTTACGATCATCACCAAGCTCACAAGGAACCCCGAGCTGCTCGTGTGCCCATGTCGCAAATTCGAAGCAAGAAGTCGGATGCTTCATCATCTGCATCTGAAAAAGATAGATAGTATCTGATACAGTCTTGTTCCAAGCCTGCCGATATACATGCGAACGTGTCATTGAGACCCATACGGTCTGAGGTTCGATGCTCGAAACTTGAGCCTCTATAGACGCTATTCCGGGTGCATCTCGGGAACATCGACCAACCGCGGTCCGCAGCACAGGTGGCGGGACAGTCGCACTGTTGTTGCAGCGTTACTGTTCGCATGAACAACATGTTATGGATCTTTGAGGCGGACACTTTTTGCAAGGGCATAGTCGTCGAAAAGGTAAGGAATGTACTAACCCACACATAGGCAATCGGAGAGCGCCGAAGCGGAGGATAACGCACGTCCTTCGCTTTCGAATCCAGCGCTGGCGATTTCCTATTGGACGCTTCAAACTCAGATCCCTATGCTGGGGTTTTCAATTTCCGCCTCATGCCTCTCCACACAACTTCGCGCTAGGATCCAGATTTGGGGGCGAAAACAATCAACTCGGTGAGTTTTTGAGCGGTCCGAGTCAGAAAGCCCCGAAGATGTTGCATGGTCACGATAAAACAACGTTAAGAACCATGGGATGAAAATTTGGTCACGAAGATCATCATATCAAGAATGCTTTCGGGAGTTGTACTCATCACAGAAGCCGGATCTGGTATGGTAACTATAGTTTTTTTTTGTTACTGTCTTTGCAGCATTATGGCTTGCAAAAATCGGTAGCAAAGGAGAAAGAAGACTAATACTGCGTTGTAGGCTTCGGTCAGAGCGCCGCATACGCGCTGGCACGCCATGGTGTTAAACATTTTGCCCTTGTCGACACCAACGAGGCCGGGCTGAAAGAGACAACGCAGACGCTAGCATCGCAGCACCAGGTAACAGACGTGCTGAGTGTCTCCACTGAATGCAGTACCGAGGAGGCCGTCGAGGCTGTCGTTCAACAAGCCGCGTCACGCTTCGCTCGTCTCGATTTCGTCGTTTTGAATGCCGGCTTCGGTGGGCCCATGGGCGGCAGTCCCGACACGGCACCCGCCGCTTTCGATACCCACCTCAAGGAACACGTGACAGGCGTCTGGCTCTGGCATCGGGCTGGCATACGGCAAATGCTGCGGCAGGAGCCGCGCGACGCGCGATATGGCCGTGGCAGTATCGTACATGTCTGCTCAGTACATGCCTTTGCCGCTTCACCACCTCAGGTCGCTGCTGGTGCGTATGTAGCGGGTCGGCACGCCATCCTCGGTTTGACACGGTCTGAGGGCGTGCTGTATGCACCTCAGCAGATTCGCATCAACGCGCTCTGCCCTGGATACATCATGTCGCCGCTCATCGCGTCCTCGGAACAGACCAAGGCTTTCATCGATAACCTTGTGCGTGAGCGTGTGCCTGCAGGCCGACTGGGAGATGCTGAAGAGGTTGCTGATGCAGTTGTGTTCTTGGCTGGACCTATGAGCAGCTACATGTTTGGTCAGTCATTGGTACTGGATGGGTATGTATTGTTCAGTCCTGAGGGAGAGATCATGAAGCGCTGACTGGTAATAGGGGCTACCTGGCTCAATGAGAAGCCGAGATGCTATAGTATTACGATACCAGAGACGCACCTTAGCGCGGAAGAATACTAGTGGATAATACAAACGTACCTTGATGTCTTGTCTCAAAGATGGACGTTGCACCGAGTGCATGTGAACGCGTTCTTCCTGTAGGCCAACACACTTGATTTGGGGTAGAGGTTCCGTTACCACCACTAACATAAACTGCCAGCTGCACCGTTGCTCAGCAGTGAGCGCGCTTTGAGACGGCCGATACATGCGCGCACTAGACTGAGGTTTGCGCGAACGAGGTCAAGACAAGCTGGCGCGAAAGCCGCTTTTCCGTTGGGCGTTCCATTCGTTCCTTTATCGGGAGAAGAGGCGTTAGACGATGAGGATCCAGATGTGACGAGGGCGGCTTCGAGAGAGCCTAAAACGGCTGAGAAGCCTGTCAGGCGCAAAGTCATCAGTTCGTTGCTGAGCGCATCGGCTTCGTCGGCAGCGAGATCGTAGTTGCCGAGAGAAAACTTCCAGGGCTGGTTGGCATGCGGGCTCTCGACGATGTTGCTAGTGTTGGGTGGAGGTGTACTTGTAGTCGTGGTGGTGCTGTTACTGGACTCCGTTGATGTTTCTGTGGCGTTCTCTTCATGGAGGTGCCATAATCGGCACAGCCAGTCGACCAAATGAGCGCACAAGATGGTAACAGCAGTAAGCGGGAGTCGTTGCTGGCGACATCGTTCGCAGCTCAGTACGGCGAGACAGGGTCGTTCTGCCTCTGATGTAACTTGAAATGCGGTTTCGAGTGGCACTTGCGACGATGTGGTGTATTCCTCAACGCGCGCGAGCGTTCGCAAAGCGAGAAAGGCACAACCACAGTCAACGCGATGCATTCTTGTTTGGTCGTTTGAGTATCGTGGAAAAAGTCCTGGCAGTATAGTCGTGATAGTTACATCTTATGGCGTCACCTTCGCAAGGGGACCCTGTCATTGTCGGATATCGGGTGTCACCTAGCGAGCTCGGTGTGTTCTGAGTCAAGATCCCGAGGGGGTGGGTACCTGCCAGCCCTGTAAGATATGCTGCTTACCCTCAGCCTGCTGATGTAGCGGTACTATATCGACGACTCGATAAGGTATAGTATCGTTCGAACGCTCAACACCATTAATGCACCGACGATCTTGAATGGTGTCGGGCTGACTGTGTTCGGGAAGTACAAACAACGTAGAATAACGCATTGTTTGCATCACCCCATCATTCCACCGTCCCATCACTTCGCAATCTTACTCTGAAAGCTGAAAGTCTTACAACATCCTCGCACTCTTTTCACACAACATGGCTCCTTACGATAGTCCCGTAATAGCCCCAGGCTCCACCGTCCTTGTAACAGGGGCCAACGGCTTTGTTGGCGCGCACGTCACAGATCAGCTTCTCCAGCAAGGCTACAAGGTGCGAGGCACAGTCCGAGACGCCAGCAAGCACCAATGGCTCGCAGATCGTTTCTTGCAACAGTATGGCAAAGACAAGTTTGATCTCGTGACTGTCAAAGACATGAGGGAGCCCGGCGCGTTCGACGACGCGGTGTCAGGTATTCCCACCGCCTAAACACAGCAGCGTTTCATCACTGACGAGTTTTACCGTCCAGGTGTCTCTGGAATCGTGCACGTTGCCTCAGTACGAAGCATGGATGTCACACCAGAAGAATTGCTCCGAACCACCGTGGTCGGAACTTTGGGCTGTTTGGAGGCCGCAGCCAAAGAGCCCAGTGTGAAGCGCTTCGTGCTGACGTCGTCGTCAGCTGCGGTTCGCTCGCTGCAATCATACCGAGGGAATGATACAGTGTCTGCGGATGAGTATGACGAGCAGACGCTGGCCTTGTCTAAGAACATTCCAGAGTCGCTTCCACCGATGCACAAGTTCATGATCGCGTACTTTGCTTCCAAAGTCGCGGCCGAAAAGGCCTTCTGGGAGTGGATCAAGAACAACAAGCCGCACTTCTCTGCCAACGCAGTGCTGCCTTGTACTATCTACGGCAGTCCGCTAGACGTGACCCACCAGGGCTTCCCATCTACAGCGCGTATTCCGCTCCAAATCTTGGATGGCGATACCGACTCGATCAAGCATGTGCAGCGTTGTATGTGAACCCTGCTCTTTTCACGTGTACAGCGCAACAAAACCTAACACTAGCGCAGTCTACTATGTCCACGTCCAGGACGTCGCTCGTCTTCATGTTATCGGCTTGATCAACCCAGCCATCAGCGACGAACGCATCTTTGCGTACGCCTCGTCTTATTCAATCAACGAGTTCTTCGACATCTTCGCGAAAGTTGTCCCAGGTTACAAGCCGCGGGACAAGCTCGAGGGTCTAGATTTCCCGCTGGCGGAAATCGGACCGCGAGCTAGGGCTGAAGCACTGTTGAAGGACTTTGGCCAGCCGGGATTCGTGGGGCTGGAGGAGACAATTACTGATAGCGTCAAGACACGTATCAATGCTTCTTCGTAGCTTTAGCGGACGATAATCGATTCCTGTGCTGCATCTTTGCGCTTGAATGCCAGATGAGGAAGGAGAGTGAACGGATCTTACCGCGTGCCTTTGTATTCTCATTGTGACTTGTACGTTTGCGGTTTATCAACAAGGCAACGACGTGTAGTCCGGAGTTGTTCCGGATAGAAAGAAGATGTTGTAGATGCAGTGCAGTGACGAGCGATCGGGACAGCTCCCGCACTTGGAGTCCTGGCATCTGGACCCACTCGGGCCGAAAGATCCAAGCGGAGCGCTAGACTCTCATTGGCTGTCACCTTGCACGTGCTGTGCCCCTGCCTCCAGCGGCAATATCCCAGGCTTGCCTCCTTCTCCTTTCGCCTGCGCAGTGTCGCAGACTGAGCAGCGAAGACGTCATCAACATCTACATCCGATCCATCGGCTAACGGCCTAGCGATAGTCAATATGACAAGGCACATTCGATGGCACCAACGAGGCACTTCGGTCCGCACGAAGTAGAAGTCATGTTGTGGCCAAAAACGAAAAGAGATCAAATTAATCCATACAAGGACAGAACCACACGGCTTTTCCTCCATACACAAACAAAGCAAAACGCCTTTCCCGCCCGAAACGCTACCCAAAACAACATTCACTCATGAAGACTCCTCCTTCGCTTCCTCCGCCAACGCCTCACGCATCGACTTGCTGTTGGGGTCAAAGTATGGCTTCTCTCCAATACCGCACACGCGGTATCCGAAGCGGTTGCCATGGTCGTCGTAGTCCATGGTAGCGTTGTGTACCATGCTGCGGTTGTCCCAGATAGCCATATCGTTTGGACCTTGCCACCTGAAGCGGCACTGAAGATCGTGGTTGCGGAGTACCATATCCATCAGCCAGTTCAAGATCATGTCGCTCTCTGGCTGAGTCAGGCCGTTGATGGATTCGGGCTGTTGGAGTATCTGGTTAGTGGATGTATAACCTGAATATAGGAGTGAGACGTACGTATGCACCAATGGAGAAGACACTCTTCCATCCGGTGACGGGGTTTGTGCGGATGACCGGGTGTACGGCCTTCAGAGGGTTGCCAGTATTCTCAGGGTGACCACGAGCCTCTGTGTAAACCTGGAGCTTCGAATTCTTGATGATCCTTTCGAAGACTGCGGGAAGGCATGTTAGAAAGCACGACATGCGCTAGCAGCTGACAAACTTACATGGCGCGGTGTAGTTGGCAGTTTTGCCTTCAAGCATCTTGCGCATAGGCTCGCTAATGCGGTCATAAACCTCATAGCCGGACGCCCACAACGTGTCTCCTCCACAGGTGGGCAGCTCCACAAGTCTCAGGCATGTGTAGTCGGAAGGCACCTGTTCGGACTGGATATCGCTGTGCCACGACTCGAGCGCTTGTCTTACGTTTCCTAGGTCACGAGGTACGGCCTTGCCGTGGGCCATGATTCTCTGACGGGAGTTGATGGTGCTGATGTGCAGGTCGTTGCCACCCATTGGGGTGTTGGGGTTGAGCACGGGGTGAATGTGGAGGGTCGACTCCTTTGGCTTTCCCACCAGCTCGCCCATACGTTGGATCAGTTGCTTTTGGAGGTCGTTGGTCATGTCGTTCTGGTTGCGGAAAAAGACGACTCCGCGTCGTGCGACTAGAGAAAACACATCCGTCAGCTTTGTTTTTCTCAACGGGCCTAACTCTAGCACTCACTCGTAATGGCGAGGTCTCTGAGTAGCTCATCCGAGTTGGGTGCGTTGAGCATCTGAACGAGATTCGCCTCTGGGAACTCGGTGCCCACTGTAGGCGTAACCAAGAACTGCTTCAAAGGCTTGAGGACGCCCTTCAGTTTCTGTGGCTTCGGAAACGGCGTTTCTTGGGCATATCCTCGGCGCAGGCATGATGAACGAGCTGGTTGCAATGCGGCGAGACGAAGCGCTGGCGCAGCGCGGCAAAGCAGGGTACTGGCGGTTCTCGACATTGTAACTGATGAGGTATCTACTGACTGGAAGCAAAGGATAGCAAGAAGCAAACGACGATTGATTCTATGAAAGCAGTCTAGCTACTGTAATAATAGATGCCATGGAGCCCCATCTGGACTCGGATAACCGAAGAGACCGAAAAGTCGGCGTATTTTGCTTACTCTACTGTGTTAGCCGGGGCATATGTTCGAAGTAGTACAAGCTATGAACCACGATCATCAACATATCAACTCATGCAGCGATCTTGACAACGCCATGTTCTCTGGGTTGTACCTAGGAACACTTCACCTAGGGTGCTGCATTACCTAGGTAGGCTTAACTTCACGCTCGCGGTCTGGAAAACGCCGCGAGTACAGCACCACCAGGCTGTTATCCACATGCGTACAGTTTAGGAGAGTGAGCCTCTGCGGTGATGTGTGAAGACCCACAGTGGTCGGATGTGTATGGTGGCTCGGAGCATTTGTGGAACTTCGGTCCGATCCCACTTTGCGGGATATTTTTGAGTACCTGAACAGTCAGTACACACCGGAGAACCCACTACCGGCAGTTGCAATCTTGTATCATGCCAATGTTCTGTTTACTCACCGAAGGCTCAGTCGCTGGGTCGAATCGATCAAAGATGATACTACACTACTTCGGTTGGCCCTCTCAAACACCGAGAAAGGCATAGTATAGTGAAGTTGGCTCTTGTGTTTTCGGCAGTTCGCGTGCGTTCAAGAGATATCCTTCGTGGTCATAGACAAATACTCTCCGTTCAACTTCGAGGTTCTCCTCTGGGACGTACGCCTTTGTCCACAGGTCAAGCCCCATAACATCTTTCTTTCTCTATTCCAGCCACATTTCAAGGGATACACCATCATTTAGCAGTTATGGCAAAGAAACTTGCTGTTATAACTGGTGCGACTGGCAACCAGGGTGGATCCATCGCTCGTGGGTTGCTCAAGTCTGGTGACTGGCAAATCCGCGCAGTGACCCGAAACCCGAGCGGAGAGAAGGCCCAAAAGCTTACTGCGGAGGGCATGGAGGTCGTACAAGGAAGCTATGATGATGAAGAGTCTATTAGGAAGGCCTTCACGGTAAGTGTTCATTGTCTTTACTGTTTTCCTGATCAACAACTGACATGGCGAAAGGGCGCGCAAGCCATCTTCGCAGTGACTCAGTGGTGGGAACCTTTCTTCAAAGGTGCCAGTCAGTCCGAAGCCGGTGAGATTGAAAAGCGCGATGGTATCATGCTCGCGAGGCTGGCGGCTGAAGTGAAGACTTTGGAGCATTACATTTGGAGCACACTTCCTGCGGCAGACGAAATCACCAAAGGCAAATTCCCTGTTCCTCACTTCGACTACAAGGCTAAAGTCGACGATCATATCCGGAAGAACATGCCAGATCTGGCGGCTAAGACTACCTTCCTCATGTTTGGCTTCTATCCGTCCAATTTTGCCTTCTTCCCTATGTTGAAGCCACAGCCAGTGGTGAGTTGCCACTTTCAAGATACGGACTGCTTACACTACTAACAGGTTTGCGACTAGGCCAGTGCTCCTGGAAAGTATGTCTGGATGGTTCCGTCAACTCCATCTACCGTTTACCCTATGGCCGGTGACATGGCCAAAGACCCAGGTGTTTGGGCGCGCCAAATCTTGGCGAACCCCAAGTTGACGCACGGTAAATACGCCGGTGTCTGCACTGAGGTTTTATCCCTTGGAGAAGCGCTCTCACAATGGGAAGAAGTCTCAGGCAAGAAAGGTGTATACGTGGAGGTGAAGCCAGAGGTAGTCGGTAGTTTGTTCGGTCTGGCTGGAGAAGAGGCTGTTACAGGAGTGGTGTTTGGTGAGGCAGTGACGGACTGGTTTGGCCATGTAAAGGAACAGGGTCTTTTCATCACTAAGGAGCAGTTGGGTATCTCGATGGACGAGGTTTCCAACTTCAAGCAAGCCCTTGAGGCGGTAAAACCATTCTTGGGCTGAGCAGTATATGTACCTTAGACTTTATAACAATTTCTCATCGACATGGAATTTATTCCTAACTGAAAACTATTTGCATGGCTATGTGTAAGATGCTAGAAGTTGTGAGTAGCTCGCTACCCTGCATGAAGCTTTGCGACATGGACCTACTGAGGGAAACTTAGCCCAAACGTAGCTCAGCATGTAATTCATCCATGCACATTGGCCTCAAGATTATTGCAACAGCAAAGCAGTAGAACAGACAACCACATAGCAGCCCCTTTCATTACGGTCCTCTTCGTTCATTTGAAGTAATTCGTCACTTCTTCTCACTGCCGGAGCGGTTGTAACTCCTGCCTCCGTATCCCGAGTATCTTTCCCCGAATAAACCAACGTATGATCTTCACGTGTTGTAGAAAGACCAATGGTTCAGAGACCTGCGATCGAAGGTGCGAGAAGAAGGGATCCGGACCGTTTCGAGTGGGTTGACCAGAGCGCCGTAGCCTCTTGAAACAAGAGGTCTCCACTACCCACGCATCGAGCGGGTCCTCGGATAACGATCAACATCCAAAGCAAGTTCGCGTACCCTGGACATGCGGGTCGAACATGAATTGTTGTGTATATGCGCTGGGATGAACGACGAGGCTGTGAGTGAAGCCGAAAACGGCCCTTTGGCCATGTCCCCTTCGCCCGCCGGTCTGCACGAGAGCCTGCTCGTCCACCCAATTGGCTCAACGTACCGAACATTTCGGCCCGAACTCTGTGAGGCTTTGGGTCCTGTATATCTTATCTTTGAGAAGCTCTTGATGCAACCGAACAAGGCCCTTCTCAGTGCACACTCCCCGTTCGCCAGTCCCCACGCGATGCTGCCAAGTTGAAGGGACGGAGCTCGAGCGCTATCTAGCGGTACGGCCCTTCAGACTGCGTCAAATTCGATAGTATTAGGTAACGTGGGATGCCTGATAGCTTTTTATACGACGAGCTTGCTCTCTTGAACTCTGCAGCCTTTTGGTAGTTGACCGAGGGCAGCAGGGTGGTGGAGAATCGGTACCCGATCTGGAGGCATGCTGAACTCCGGTGATGAGCCGAGCGACAACGTCGCATGCATCGCCTCGAGCTACACCATATCCCAGGCATGTGATATGCATTGGTTTGGACGCATATGACATGCATTCCAAGGACGTTGGGGGCTACACCGTTTTCCGTGCTGACATGTATGACATGCATCGTTCCGAGCCGTGCTTTAGTGTAACTTGGATCAGCTCTCGCTATATTTCTACAATACCAATACTGTGGTACGGACCTAAAGGCTTATGTGTAAGCCGGAAGTGAGAGCCCGTCTCACTTACTATGTCAAGAAGCAGGCGAGTGTACGTCGGATGTGGGCCACCGGCAAGGGTCTGTTGCGCCTAAGCCGATTGGGAAGCTTAGTTCATATAAGGTAGTAACGCTTAGGGTCTATCCGAAGTCACCCCAGATCGCGAGATCTTACCTAGAATGCGTCTCCACACGCAAAGCTTTTGCGTACCACGACAGTACCAAGGCAGTTCGAGATAGTATCAGCGCGTACGTGTTATCAGCTGAAACCGATCCGAAGTCCCTCCAGATCAACAGCTCTTAGCGTCCCCACCCAGTATGTTCTGGGGGGAAAGTATGGTCGGTATATGTATCGCGATACTGCTATTGCCTGCTGGCTATCGGAACGAGCGTCAACGTTGATTTAACTATGCAAAAAAACGATTCCAGCGCCAAGAGTAGCGCGCCAGCGCCAAAACCTACCAAGTACCGCCTTGCCTGTGACAGCTGTCAACACTCCAAGATACGATGTGATCAAGAGCGGCCAAAATGTCGCAGATGCGCGAAGAAGGGCATAGAGTGTGTCTACAGCCCGGCGCGACGAGCTGGGCGACCGCGCACTCGCAACAACAGCAAGAGCTCCACCAGCATCACAACCAGCACAACTGCGAGCCAGAAAGGGTATTTGACACCCATGACGGAGACTGGCATCGCCATTCCAACCTCAGGTGAGGTGTCGCCATTTGCTCCATTCAGCCTGGCGTCTACCTCAGAGAACTGCTCCAGCTCCAGTTCCAGCTCCGACTCCAACGCATCCTCTATACCCGATATGGCGCAGACTACGGACTTACCGAGTCCCGATCGGATGGAGTTCTCTCCATATCGACAATCAGACGACGACTTCCTGCAAGGGCTGCCAGATTTCATCGGTTCGCAATGTGGTACACCCAAGCAAACCGCCAATTGCTATTACCCAATGTCTCCCGATTTCCCCATTGCTCCTGAGCTTCTCGACATGGGATTCTGCGGAGCGCCATGGGAGCAGCAGCAACGAGAGCATGAACAACACCAATCCGATCCTTCGACCATGCTTCTCGCCGAAGGGTTACCATACTTTGGTTTGCTGACCCCAGACGGCCATCATCCATGCTATCATCCGGATCAGCAATATGGAAACACGCCGATGCCGACCACAAGTAGCAAAAACTTCGATGGATGCAGCTATGTGATTCCTTCACAACAACAAGTGCATCCACAGTTTCCGCAACCCTCAGACGACGCCTCTCTTTCGCCCAAGTCATGCAACTGCGTGCCAACCCTGCTTGACCACCTATCTACGTCCTCGTATTCGCCCTCCTCCTCACCAATCGCCTCCACCTCAGCCGCGCTCTCTACCTCGAGAATGCTCATAACCTGCTGTTGCAACACCATGGCGTGCCCGAACGCATGTTCTACGCGTCCTTCGACTGCGCTTGTCATCTGCGAAGCAATTGACCGAGCACTGGTGTCGCTCAAACTGGGCGGCACTTCCCTCTGGACACCATCGCTGGCGTCTACATCAAGTTGCGACAGTGGCGCATCTTCACCACCATCTTCGTCATTGTCATCATCAAGTACAACGGGTGGGACTTCAGTGATAGACGAGGAGCACGAGCCGCTACGCTGCGGAACACTGCCGATCAGGGGTGCCGACCGGCGGGCCGTAGTGCGGGTGCTACTAGTGAAGCGAGTGTTGGAGGCCCAGCGGGTCCTGGAACGCCTGCGGGATGCCTTACTGTCGGGTTTACTAGTCGATGGGGAGGCGACGGTGAAGAATCCTCTTCTGGCACTGTGTGCGGATGTTGCGGGGGAGTTTGCGACGAAAGTGGCGGAAAGGGTGGAGACTGTAAAGCTACAGATGTAATGGGTAAGGACTGGCGCGAGGATTATACTGGTCATGGGCCTATGGACGGACACCCTACAGCAATGGGATTTCTTTTAGGTTTTGATAGCTCATTAAGCGATTGCGTTTCGTGGCCTTCGTGCCATCTTTCATAAAGTCAACACTACTACTTTACTCTGTTCTGCCCAAGATGACCCCATTGCTTGCATGCATAGACCACTCTTATCTCTCTTCGTGAAGTTCTGGGGGACTGATAGCGTATGCATAATCATGACGAATAGTCCTGAACCCTTCACGATCCCCGTGGGTGAGACGAGAGAAAGGCCTCTATAGGTTGATGGTTCGGGTTGTTTTCTCTTTCAGGGATTATTATCAGCATGGAATGACAACAGATAGCGCGGTGCTTTCTAGTCTGGATCTTCATACAGTCGTCACACCTAAACTACGTTACCACTTCTCCGGTACGACAATCTCGGCTACCGATGATACGAGCGACTCTCGATGATGTACAATGTACCGAGGGAAGCACAGGTAACTTCGAAGTGAGTCCGTGCTGTCAACGTGCGTATAACTTCACTGCTGCTGGTCGCAAAGTCTTGTTCCTTCCATCACCAACCTCTACACCAATCCATCAGTGAAGGGCGTACAACCATGTCTTCCATTCCATTCCTATCGGAGCCTTCCGATGCAGAGTACGAGGAGAATGTCGTAGCCGACAACATCCTCGATGCTCTTGAGACTCTGGCAGCCGGCCACATCCCCGCCTCTCTTCACAAGGACGAGGAAAAGCGACTCCGATTCCTTGAAGCCGCCAGGATGGCCTCCCTAAAGCTCGAGCAACCCTGGGACACCATGCAGCGGCTGATCTTTTGTGCACTGCCACCCAACATGGTGCAAGTGGGCATTGATCTGGGGCTGTGGAGACTACTTGCTGCGCGGGAGGGTACGGCGATGAGCGTGAGTCAGTTGGCTGCCGAGTTGGGCGCTGAAGAGGCACTGCTAGTGCGAGTGCTGCGGTATGCAGCAACACAGTGGATGGTGGAGCAGGTCGGAGTGGAGACGTACCGGGCCACAAATATCACGCGATACTTGGCCATGTCAGGACTTGAATCTGTGATATTCCATGTGTGAGTACTTCAGGATCTTGGTTTCGAATATCGTAACTAATTCACTTCGCAGAACAGAGAGAAACATTGCAACATATAATGCGATACCAAAGTGGATGGCGGACAATGGCTACAAGCAACCGCAGGACAACAAGCATCTTCCATTCAACTTGGGCAAGAACACGGACCTGCACTTCTTCGAATGGCTGTCCCAGCGGCCGCGCCACCAGCAGGCCTTCAACGAGTACATGTCGTTTCAGCGAGTGGGGCAGAAAAGTTGGCTCGACGTGTTTCCGCTCGAGAAGTACGTGCACGGCTCCACCACGGGAGATAATCACCGAACTCTCTTCGTGGACGTCGGTGGCGGCTATGGACATCAGGCTAGAGAGGTGTTGAGGAGATCGCCCCAACTGAAGGGACGTGTCGTGCTGCAGGACACGCACGCGGCGGCCATCGACTCTGCGAAAAGCATCGAGGGGCTGAAGGTTGTTCACCACGACTTCACACAGCCGCAGCCTGTCAAAGGAGCGTGTGTCTACTACCTACGCAACATCTTGCATGACTGGCCTGATCAAGCCTGCTACAACATCCTCTCACAACTCAAAGACGCGCTTGCTCCCGACTCTGTCATCCTGCTGGACGAGCTTGTCATCCAGGATGAGGGCGCACACTGGTACGGGGCGTCGTTCGATCTACTGATGATGGCCAACTACGGCGCACAAGAGAGGTCACTGGCTAAGTGGGATCGCATTCTCGAGCAAGTTGGGCTGGAACGGAAGATGTTTGTGCCGTATAGCATGCAGGGAGATGGTGTTCAGGTAGTTGGAGTTCGGGCACCAGTGCACGAGAAATTGTAAACACATTTCATTATCCATTTTTGGTCGGTCGTCAACGAGTATGATTGTATGCAATATCGCCCCTTAGACATGGAGTTGGTTGTGCGGGAAGGTCCGATGACAAGAGCTTTGGTATTGCTTGGATGAAGCTTCTGTTTATCGATAAGCTTCCGATGGGAACACTTCCGAGATTCGGAAACCGCACCAAACAATCGATGCACTCGCTCGTGAACATTGCGACAAGCCTATCCTTGCGATCGTTATCATCGGCCTGTTGTCTTCGAATCCGTCTGAGGCCATGGCGGTGACGTGACGACAGTAAGATGGTACCCCAGAATACCGCCGTGCGCGAGCTGCGGGATTCGGTGGATTTTGGTCTACCCCGGATCCCGACTTGCCAAATTGGTCCGCGAATCGCGACACTCTCGTGATCTGAACATGAGGCTTTGCGAAGCGACGCGCAGCCTGTATGTAAGCTAAAAAGTGCCCCATCTGTTTGGGCATTGTACAATTGCAATCGCCATATCGTGCGCGCAATACTCATCTCATACATCTGCTATTCATTCTTACCACCATGTCGACCAGCTTCAACATTGAGCCATTAGTCCATCCTTCGGGAAAGACATGCAAGGTACGAGTTGAAACCTTGAATCAGCATCATTTTTGCTTGTAGTCGCTCATGTCTTTCCCTCTAGTTCGGAGCCGTCGTCACTGGTCTCGACCTGAACAAGTTCACGGACGAGACTGTGGCACAGCTGCAGAAAGCCACCTGGGAACACAAGCTTCTCATCATCAAAGGCCAACATGACCTCGAACCGAAGCGTGGCTGGGAGTTGCTGCAAAAGTTGGACCCGGACTCTTGCAAGATAGATAACACCACCTTCGCTCGTGCCTTTTACCCCAAGGACGGGATAGTGGTAAGTAGAGAAACCGGAATCTGGACGCTGCAAAATATGACGGAACGCTGATGAATGCTCAGGCTGCGATCAACTATGTCGAAGTTCCTGAGGCAGGCGCCTTTGTCTTCATCGGCAAAGGCCCCCAAGACGACCCGCGCTACGGCAAGCCAGGCCTCAACATGGGCGCTACCAACTTCAACCAGTATTACTGCAAGCCGCTTGCGGACGAAGACTTCGAGGCTGGGAAGACCCGCTTCCACTGGTGGCACGTGGACGGCACCTACTGGAAATACGATCCCCCGACTTTCACCATGCTCCGGCCAATCAAGTTCCCCACAGAGGGCAAGGCGACACAAACGGTGGAGTGGGCCGATGGCTCGGGTCAGAGCATGGAGGTCAAGCCAGGGCGCACAGCGTTTGTGGACGTCGAGCAACTGTATGAGTCGCTGAGCGATGAGGAAAAGCAGATGGTAGACCACAGCTGGGTTGAGTACATGTACTGGCCGTATGAGAAGATCAAGGGCTGCCGTGGTGCTCCAAATGGCTTAGGTGTAGCGAACGAGGGCAGGGAGTTGCCAGACGAGGAGGTGGAGGCACATGAGGAAGGAAGCAAGGAGTGGCAGAAGAAGGTATGTTTGCCTTTACAACAGACTCAAGCGATCTGATGCTAACGTTGTTGTAGCTCCCGCTGGTCTGGGTCAACCCCGTCACTGGCAAGAAGTCGTTCCAGTGTCAGCACAACCTCGCCCGCAGGCTATTCATCCGCAGGGGCCCGAACGACACTCCGAAGGTTATCGACGACTTGGGCGAGGTAAGGAAGTTCTTGGACAGCTTCCAAGGGCGGATGATCAAGCCTGAGCACATCTGGGTCGGACCTGAGGAAGAGCAAGATTTGCTCCTCTTCCAGAACTACGGCCTCTTCCACACCAAGATCGATTACCCGGCAAGTTGGGGTGTCAGGACGGTGCACCAGGGTTGGTTGCCTGGCGGCAAGCCGCCCGCTGGGCCTGTGCCAATTCCAGAGCTTTAGATAGAGACTGTAGTGCCCTGATGTAGTTGCTCAAACCAAGAGGTTCTTCAAGCATTGTTGATCGCGTCCGTTCTCCCAATGCCGAATGCGAAGTCTTCGAACAAGTACGCCATGGCTCTTTGTCTTGTCCCTCGTACCGCAACTACTATTCCGCCGAATGGTTCGTCGCGTCCGATGCGGTCCGATCGAGGGGCTTGTTGTTGGCCAGGGTGTGCATTGGGTGACGCATGTCTACGGTCCGAACGGCGCTATAATGGGAGGTGTCATCATTCTCGAGTACATCCTTGATGGCGCGTGTCACGCCCGTCGCGCTGGGGAGGAGTGCTGGGTACTTCCCACGTTCCTGCCAGCCACGTTGACGGGCGGGTGCGCGTCCCGACGACGCCAAGGCGCTAACTCTATTCCGTCTCCATCCAGCTCTCAGCGCGCGAATCAACAAGACAGACTATTTGTTACTCTCCCCACGGATGACTGCGGTCATGTACCTCGAGGTAGTGCATATCCTGATTCGGTGGTTATAGACAGTATTCTGCATCACTCGCTAACCAATCGAAGTTGTTGAGGCCGCATATTCGATCGCTTGAATCAAATTGCATTCTCCTATATAGACAGAAGCTATCGATCACTTGAAAACACATACCCTGTTATGAAATTCCATCCTTCCCGCATTCTGACCAGAGATCCCTCGTGTCATCGAATACCAGATTCGTAAGTTCGTTATGTTCGCGAAGTCTCTGTTTCGAGAGCACTTCTTCATGTGGGTGTTGAACGCATTGCGGGAGCTGCAAGCAGCTAGCCGTCGCATACTCACATCCTCGCCATCAACAGCTCGCCGATCAAACCAGTGACCAAGACCCCACTGACCCACCACTGGCTGTAAACGAAGAAGTCCTTACACCTGGCTGGGTTCCAGACATCGAGCCGAGCCAACATGAAAAATGCAGCAAAGGAAGACACAGCGGCGCTAACCATGAATGGGCCGCGCATCAGACCACCGCAGGTCACGGTTGCCCACAAGAAGGCAGCCATGGCGCTGGCGATAGACAGCAGGAATACCTTGGGGTAGTGACGCACGGCTATAGCCAACGAGCCCACACCAGCGTTCAGGTCATCTCTGATGTCCTGGAAAGCGTAGACAGTATCATAGGTGATGTTGAAAAGAGACTGGCAGGCCCACATGGCGAGTAGAGCCTTGCTGCGGTCCTCCACGTTGAGCTTGTTCGTCGAGCTTGCTGAGTATGGTCCGTCAACGACAGCGGCATCGACCAAGTAGACGGCCCAACCCACACCACCGCCCAGGCAGAGTTGTGGGAAGTTGCTGAAGCGCTTCATGAAGGGGTAGACGAGGGCGAGGAAGGTGATCCAAACGGCGTGTTCACCCGCGCGGGCTGGCAGGGTAGCGTTGATCAGGACGTGGCGCGATGCGACGAGGAATAGGGTGGTGGCGAGGGCTTCTGGTGTGGTGATTGCACCGCGGGCGAGCGGCCGCTTCTTGCAGCGCTCGACTTGCCGGTCGAGATCTTGGTCGACTGTGTCGTTCCAGGCGCAGCCGAAGCTGCGGAGGATGAGAACATCGAGCATGAAGATGCCGCTCAGCTTGGCCCAGTCGGCTGGGCCGAGGGCTGTTGGGCTGGTCAAGTTGACCGAGTAGAGGAAGCCGATGAAGTAGGGGAAGGCGGCGCCCAGGAGTCCGGCGGGCTTGGTGAACCGAGTGAGCTCGAGGTATGGTCGCCAGGAAGTCTTCTGTGGCACATCTTTGGATCGTGACCCGATGACCGTCAGTCTGGGAGGTGCGGTCTCCACGAGGGTCTGGGTTTGGGTTTGCTGGGTCGACATGTTGCTTGTAGCTCAACCACGATACGCAAGTTTCGAAAGAAAGGTTTGCAGAAGACAAGACTCAGAACGAGTGGCCTCTAGACATTTCTACACCTCGACAGCAAAGCAGTTCTTAAGCTGTAGAGTTTTTACACGCTGTCAGACTCTCTGATTTGAGCTGCCCAATCATATTGGCCGTGTTTTCCATACACCACCTACCCAACTCGTTTCGCAAGGCTTATCGGAGAGTTTGCGGGTCTGTCGGTACATTTATTGTGAAAGTATGGAGCACTGAGAGTAGCCAAAGACACATCGTATTTCTGCTGCACGATTCGCTTCACCTACCTGTGAAGCGGACGCTGATTGAGCTGACATCTGAACTCTCAATCGTCCTCGGGGCGCCCCTATACGCCGTGACGTATGAAGCCGGATTAAAGGAGGCTTTCGTGAGGGGATTCCTTACTCTGGGGCCGAAATCTAACCATGCTCTTGGTCGTGAAGGTGCTTGTCTTTCGAACAGCAGATGTTGCAGGGTTCTGCAATGGCATCTAGATCGTTAATAGGTTCCATGACACGATAGGGGTGGTCAACTTCGTGGGGTGTTGCGCGGAGGAACGTTCGTCCCCAAACAGAACTTCTTGGGTATAGCGTCAAAATTCACCGTCAATGTAACCCACGTCCCCACACGAGAACTCGGTCAATTTTCGTGAAGTCGGGGCCCGACACCACTTGAACACGATATCATGGTAAGATTACTTTCCCCTTCATACTTCATCGGCTCGAGCCGGCTCGGGTGAAGGAGCGGCTACGGGAGAAGAAGTAGCAGCGCGTTAGAACTGAAGCGCAGCGGCGCAATAAAATGCTTAACTTGGCGGTTGACATAAAACTGTGTACTTTGATGTAAAGCCTCCGTTCCGACTCCAGACTTCTTGTGCAAAACTTTCATCTGTAGATGAACGAAAAGTAAACACTAATGGCTGTACCTGACGTTGCCAACCTCCAAGCCAGATATGCGCAGGAACGCGACAAGCGATTGCGAGCCGATGGTTTCCAGCAGTACACGACTCTACACAGCGAAGCAGAAGCGCCGCTCGCGGACGACCCATGGGTTGACAAGGGGCAGCAACAGGACGCAGGCCCTCTCAAGGATGGCGACAACATCCAGTTCCTCATCATCGGTGCTGGCCACGCAGGTCTGCTAGCTGCAGGACGATTGGTGGAAGCGGGCTTCTCTGCTAAGGGCATATGCCTAGTAGACGTCGCGGGTGGCTTCGGTGGGACATGGTACTGGAACCGATACCCGGGTTTACAATGCGATGTGGAGAGCTACATCTACATGCCTTTCCTCGAGGAAACAGGCTACAAGCCCAAACACAAGTATGCGTCAGGCGATGAGATCCGCCAACACTGCGAACGCGTGGCATCACATTTTGGACTGCGTGGGCAATTCTCAACACGGGTGCTCAGCGCGACATGGGACGAAACAAAGCGGCGTTGGGTGGTCCGCATGCGTAGAGAGCATGGCAACGGCGGGGAGATGACCATCCTGACTCAGTTTGTCGTACCAGCTAGCACCATATTCACGGAACCCAGGATGCCTAAGCTCGAAGGCTTCGATGAACTGCGTGCCAACATTCCTGTCTTCCACACGGCGCGCTGGGACTTTAACTGCACCGGTGGCTCGCCGACGGACCCTACACTTTCGAATCTACAAGGCAAGCGCGTGGGCGTAATTGGCACGGGTGCAACGGCGGTGCAGGTGATACCACAGGTAGCACGCTGGGCCGGCCACACATATGCCTTCCAGCGCACACCATCATACTGCGTACCCCGTCGCCAACAGACCACGGATGAGGGCACATGGGCACAAAACGTGGCAACGGGACCTGGCTGGCAACGCGCTCGCCGGCTCAACTTCGACACCTTCTTCGATGGAGAGAAGCATTCAGAAGATCACCCGGACCTTGTCGCCGATGGCTGGACGCAATATGCACGCGGTTTTGCTGGGTTCATTGGGGGGCCACGTTTCGTCACGCCTCAGAATGTAGAAGAGCACGCTCGCTCGCTTTACGAGATGGACGTGCCACTGGCAGAACAGGCACGAGCGCATGTGCGAAACAGCGTCACGAAGGACCAAGCCACGGCAGAGCGGCTACAGCCGTGGTATCCCATGTGGTGCAAGCGGCCGACCTTCCAGGACGGGTACTTTGCCGCGTTCAACCAGCCAAATGTCACGCTCGTAGATACCGATGGCAAGGGCGTTGAGCGGTGTACATCAAAGGGCCTTGTCGCCAATGGAGTCGAGTACGAGCTGGACGTGCTCATTCTCGCCACAGGCTTCCTGCTGGCGACGGGTGCCAACGCTGCGCCTGCCGAGCTCTTTGGCATACCCATTGTAGGCCGCAATGGCCGCCGTCTCAAAGACAAATATGGCTCTACCGACTTCGCTACGATACATGGTATCGCTACGAACGGCTTCCCCAATCTCCTGTATCCGGGTCTCGGTGGCGGGCCAGGCTCGCCCAACCTCACCGCCGTCTTCGACCTCGAGTCCACACATATCGCCAGTATATTGAGGGAGGCTGCGCGAAGGGCTTCGGATCCTACTCAGATGGTCATCGAGCCAACTAAGCAGGCAGAGGATGCGTGGACGGACGACGTCGAGAGGCGGGCGCTGTGGTACTCTGTCGTGCTAGCCTGTACGCCGGGCTACTTCAACCATGAAGGCGCCACGATGCGCATGGCTGGGGGCGATCCTGAACATCGGCGGCAGGCCATGCGCAGGGTGCTTCATGGAGGGGGGATGGCAATGTACGAGCACATGATCCGCGAATACGATGCGAAGGGCGACATTGAGGGCTTCGAGGTTTCGTGATGTGGCTTTATCGCGGCCTTGTGGATGGGAATTGTAGCTTATTGGTATCTTGTATAAACCTGACAGGCGCAGCTTTGGCTTTCAATGTGTCCGTGTAATGAGTACAGCCGCGAGGGTCCCGAGGTTGCGATTATCGGCTTGACATACCTCACCGAGCTGCGAGTCCATAAAGCCTGTATCTCTCCTGATTACTACATACGATGATCCAATGGTAAGAGCGCGTGGTTGGCTGAGCTTTGCTGCAGTGTCAAAATCGTCGCGTGGATGATGATAGAGGAGGGCTAGGTTGACAGCAAGCCCGCGGCTCCTGATCACTTCTTGGCAACGAACATGCCACTAATCTGGAGTATCGACAAGGAACCTACAGCCACAACAAAAATGTTGGATATAATTTGTCGAAATCATTGGGCCAATTCGACTGTCTCCATCAGCTAACCATTGATGGCAATGGTAAATGAAGTGTGGCGTGGCACCGCCACAGGATGAAAATCCGTGTCGCTCTGGCCGACAGCTGAAAAGTTTGCCTCGATGAAGCATTTGATGGACTCCGAGGTTTGATACGTTCGCTTCTGAACGCAGGCGCAGTACGCGCAAGCATATTCGGCGTGTGCGCTGTTCAAGTAGGGCTCCATTAGGCATGCCTGGCTATACATACTTCCCCCACTTCGTCCAGCCTGGACTTTACGAAGATGTTGACCTGATAGGTGGTTCATTGCACCGACGAACATGAGAGATAGCATTTGGTAGGTTTACGGTCCACGGTACACAGGTTTGGCGGACTTGGACTCCGCCTATAGAATCGGCATCCGTGGATCGTATGAGCGGTCAGTTCATGCACATCTTTAGCGCAAAGAGGGTCCATTGTGGCTACTGTCGTGTCCAAGACATCTGTTGCTAGCAAATCAGTACACAAAGTGACAGGTCAAGGCTTTCGTATATAATGCTGAGGGCGTATTAACGCAGAGTTGATTGCACAGCTGCAACATCGTGCATTGGAAAGTTTGCCATGCAGCGAATAACAGATCTTACTCTTCTCTTAGACAGGGTCTGTACTACTGGGTTTGCGGACTGAGTGCAGTTGTTCTGAACGTTGTCGAGATTCGTCAATAGTCTCGCCAAGCAACTGGCGGCGGTCGCTCCTACTTCGAGCATCAATCTCCTTGAGTTTCGTACCCTTCACACTCTGAGACACTAGGCATAAACAAAGCTCACACAACCGCAAACCTCTTATCTTGACCAGTAACGATAATTCCAAGGTTCTCTCGTTGCGTAGCTACCACGTTCATGACCGCTGGTCGCTATTTGAGTGGGTAGGCGAAACGTTGAGGCGCACGATATCGCTCGTGAAGGAGAGAAGAAGAAGCACATAGTGGCTGAAGACGACATGCAGCTAACGACGCTGATGGTGTAGTAGATCTAGGTCCAAGGCGTTCGATCGGTCCTCTCTCCCCTGAACCCTCACTAGTCAGCGTTAGCTAGCGCAACGCGGATGTAGCAATGACTTCCCCGGACTAGATCGTCTTCTCTTACAGCACTGCAGATATTCCCACTTCACGTCTCTTCTTCATCGCTCGTACGCGCCACCAACATCACCGCCAGATGTATCGACAAGAAGCCATGGTAGATAAGGTGTTCATTATGCCTGGTCAACCGCTATACCGATGGCTGCAACGAAGCGACAACAATCGACCTTTTTTGCCCGTCCATACCCAGCCTTCTATCCCACATCGACCGTCGTAACGCCTATCTATTCGTAACATTGTAACCCATTCAAGACGTATCTAGACTCCAAACGCCTAGACAAAGGGCACAACCAACACGCCCAATCCGATACTGCTGTTCCGACCGTTGCATACATAATCCGACTATTTTGCCAGCATCATACCATCGTACCCCATTACCCTAGACATATCTCTCCGTCGAATCGAAATACAGGAAGCCCTTGTGTACTAGAAAAGAGAATATGAATGACGCAACATGCGTTGAGGATTATTTTTGGGGAGCGATTGGCGAAAGGATACGTGGTTTCCCACGGCCGCTCCATGCTGGGGTATAAGCGCTAAATGCGTCCAAAGACAAGGGAAGGGGAAAGGCCATATCAAGAACCAAAGCAACGACAAAGGAAAGAGACGGTCCAGGAGTGTACGTGAAAGCGAGCAACGCGCAATGTGAACAGGAAGCTCGACTGGAAATACGGCAGGGTCTAGATATGAACTCGAAGTTGTTGGCAATGGCGAGTGTGTCCTTATGGATCGCCGATATCAGTAAAGACGGCGCCGACTTCGCCATTTTGGAATCTCCGATCTACGAGCCGCCCGGGAGGAGTTCTCGATGCTGGCGTCGGTAATGCTTGAGCCTGGCATCGGACCTCTGGAACGCGCGGCTGCAATGACTGGCCTCACAGACCCATTCTTTCGCTTCGCCATGTTTTTGTCTCCTGTGCCGGCCGCAATTGCCCTGCCGGTACTTTCCTGTAAACGTTGCCGGGCAATAAGGGCATTGGAGCGGATCTGACGTCGCAGAACTCCCTGGAGAGGTCGGTCTGGAGCTTGACGTTTCGGATGTCAGGACATGGTGATGGTTGCCGTCGTGGTTTGATCTACTTTGATTAGCACCTGTCAACAGTGACGGTAGCACACACTCACACTCCGCGGGAAGTACCATAGACTGCGGGTTGCCCGGGATTGGCACGTCCTTGAGCGCTCTGCTGTGTGGATATCGAATACGTAGGCGGCATGAAAGATCCCCGCCCTTGCCTCTGCCGGTTATAGCTGACTGGGCCAGGGGCATAATTTGTGCGAGCTGATAGGCTTCCAGATCGAGGACCGGAGGGGCGTAAGGTATCCACGCTAGACCCACCCCACTCGCTGTCAAGTGACGTCGGACCTGCACCGTGTGCCCGGTTACTACCGTTGGCTGTACCTTGGATGCCAGGCGTGTTGAGAACATCCATCCACTGCTCGACTTGCTGCTCCAGGTGTCTTTGCCGGTCTCCCCGACGATACTCTGCGGGCCGTGAGCCTCCCAGATATCTCACGACTGGATCCTGAGGGGCAGGCATCGTGTTGTTGTCTTGGATGTAAGGATCGTAAGTGGGATAGGGCTGCACAGCATCGGGGAAGTTGTATAGTGGCTGCGTGAATCCTGGCCATTGGCTGTTGTGTCCGTTTGGCGCAGCATATTGAGGATACCGGTCGCCGCTGCTGGCCTCGAAGTACGCGGCAGATCTCTGAAAAGGTTCCAAGGGTTGGTCATGATCGAATCGTTCGGTCTGGTGCGTATGTTGGCCATCGGTAGCGTATGGGGGGCCAGCTCCGGATTGTAGGCTGTACCCCGACGCTGAGGATTGCGGGTAGCCGAACTGATCACCGTATGGACTGTTCTGGCAGGCTCGATGCTCGAGCCAGTGCCGCTCTAGGTCTTGACCTGATGAACCGGCAAAGTTCTCATGCTGTTCAGCATCACCCGCCGACTTTGTTGCTTGGCAGAGTTCATCACTCGTCTTGGCATCGCTGTGGTCAACGTACACGTAACTGCCGTAACCTTCGGAGCTCGGGGGACCTAGGGATTCCATGATGGTAAGGTTTGGGCTGCGTTGGCGACAGGAGTGCCGCTCTTCTTTCTGGATGGATCGTGAAGCCTCTAATCTTCCCCGTTTCGACGACCGCTTTTGGTAGTGGGTGTGAGAGTGACAGAACGTGTACAGACAAGTCGGAAGAGAGTTAGGACAAAAGAGCTTGGGTTGAGTTGGTGAGGTAGACGATCCGAGGTGGATGGGATGGCGAAGAGATGTCTGCGCAGTTGTCTCGCTGGCGCCGGTTAGTGCTGCAGGGGTAGTAAGAGCTGGGGGGTGTTGCTGCGCAAAGTCCTTGTGCGACGGCCCTAATTCCTAGTTCAAGCCGATGAGCCCAGGACGCGAGATGTAGAACGTGTGAAGACAGAAAGAGATGCGGTGCGTGCCAGCAGATAACGGTTGTGGAGGGTAGTGATGTCCAAGGCGACCGGACATGAGACCGAGGATGGCCGCAGGAACTATCACATCCACGTTGAGGCGACGGGTAGGCAGTCCCTCAGTAATGCATCTGAAACGCTGTCAGATAGAGTTTCAACCGCTCCACTACAGCGACACCGTCGCTGCGGTTTGGCAGTCTTCCGCAACGAGTCGATTCGTTCCTCGCAATGGGGCCTTGGTCTGAATTCAATGTCGCGAATTTGTGCCGTCATTTTCGAACTCGAGCAGACAACCTTTGATCGTGCATCAGCGACAGCAACGCTCCACTGGCATTTCAACTAGGCGGTGAAGAATCGCTGCGATTGGCTTCATATGAGGTCCTCCTTCCCTTGGCATCTTCCGACAAGCCCCATCGCCATTTGGTTCGAAGGGCGACAGAATCATTCAAGGGAAACAGAACAACAACAGTGAGCTCTGGGCTTGCAAACTAGCACAGCATCCCGCCAGCAGCAGCAGTGCGTAGGTGCGTGATAGTCTCCTCCGTGGCCCATTGTTGTTCTGTATAACGTGTCAGGGGTGCTACCCTTTCCGCTGAGTCGCCGTGATTGGAGCAGCCACGGAATCGTTTGACCTTCTCTCGTTTCGTCATCGGAGTCGCGCTACGGTATTGACAGACTGAAAATTCGTGGCTGAGCACAAGGCAGACTAAAGGCACAATCAGTATCACGCTCATCAGCAAAGGCAACGTGAAGCTGTCTTTTGAACTTGCTTGAGGGGTACACTTGGCTGACTTATCATGGCGAGGGGTCAATTCAGCCTAGAAAGGCTGTATTGGGCGGGAGGATACACGTACAGAATAGTATGCTCCAGAACGCTTGAGGCGGTACTGACGTTCGGCATGTACCAGGTGTTCGTGAGGAATCTGAAAACAGCATCAAGTTCCAATTTGCAGCTGAGACGGACTGTCTTTATCAATCAACCGCTGACAGAGAACTGGTCCCAAGATCAAGGGAGCCCCTTCAACGCCCCCATCATATGTCACTGGTATGTTAGAGCCTTTCTACATACGGTCAGCCACCACGTAGTGGAGGGGCGGGTCCGCGTTCAGCAATAGCTTTATGCGGCGGTTCTACAACAGCGCCTCGGATCTGGCGACTAACAACACTCAACGCGTCCTCATCTTCAAATACTTGCGACCCAAGCGGTACTGGACAGCCACATAGCTTAGTTCAGCTTACATCGATACCTGACCATTCGTGCGATACTACGTAGGTATTCTGACGGCAACGGTTTTCAGCCCCCAGAGAACTTTGCAACCTCTACAGTGTGGATGTGGGCTAACGCAGTTATGCAATAACACTCGCGGGCAGATAGCGCCGCCTTTGCCTAAGCGCCGTTGATACCTATGTAGAGTGCCAATATCCGGCCACTGTGTGGACACTCTAAGCCACTGCGCATATGCCATCTCAGTGCAGCCCTCACGCCGAACGGTCGCCCAACGATCAAGAGGGTCATCTAGGCCGGCGCCACGGGCTGGACACACGATGGATTTCAGCACGGCTTGCCCTCGTATGTTACCACAAATCCAGCTAGCCGGCACGGCAGCGGCTATCGAGATATGTGTAAATGTGCTCCTTGCAGACTCCGAGCGCAAGATTACATCCGCCGGTTAGAGCCATCTATGCGAAAGAGCGTGGGAGCCACCGAAATGGTCGATCGATACGAGCAACTGTTCCAACATTGGTCTAGGGGACTCGCTCTTCTCAGCCAGCTTTAGCGACCACCAATCAACAGATCTAACAGTCAATCAAGGTGCGGGTCGCAGTTTTGGTGTATGGTGTATGCCTCAACTGTGCCGCAATCTAGAGAGACAGAGGAAAGAACAGGTATGGCTCAAAAGCCAAGAACACATCGTGCTGCATGGAGACAGCCCTTGAGCGGGTGAGCGGCTAGATGAGGCATAGTTCCGACCCCACTCATGCAAGCCTATCTGTCCTTACACCATCCTCTTCCAAAAGGATTGGGTCGATGCATGAGAAGGGTGTCGTCTAAATTACGAATCTGCTGTTAGAGCACTGCTTGTAGCTTTGCGAATTTTTGCGACGCTCGTACACGGCGTCCGGGGTCAGAGCTCGATGTGCCGCATTAGGCGTGCCGCCGTGGCTGGCCCCAACGAGACGGGCATCGCCAATGTGACGGTAAGCCATTGCGAATGGCGTTTGCAATACCGCTGACCCAGTGCGCCGGCGTTGCTCATGGCAATTGGTAATGGGAACGCGACAGTGCGTGAACATAACCGGGCTAGTGGTTCGGCCATCAAGGATCGAGAGCCTGCTTATGACCCATATCTTTCAACGGAAGATAAACTGTGCCACTGTCTCCGGGGCTTCGCGCTCGAGTCTGAAGTGTGTTCGCGAGTAAACTTAGGTATGTATATCGGGGACTGCGCCGCTGCGATTTGAATAGGATTCAAATTCAAACCCCTGCTTGCGACTATGTGGTGTGGCATACTCAACAACGCCGTTCTGTGATCCCAAATTGCCTAGGCACTAGCGAGGACTCAACTTCAGGGTGAGAACTTTCACCGTCGGTCACATCCTCTCAAGAATGGCTCGACGACATCAGGTGGAACGGTCTCGGCAACTTCCCAAGAGTAGGCATATCAAAACCTGTGAATAAAGCGTGCGCTGTCAAAGATCGCTGCAGACGCCACGAGTTCCTGCACATGGAGCAACCCTCCGCAACCACACTGAAGCTACGCATAGCAGTGTTGGTTTGCCGCGGGCCGCTAGATCTGTGCAACCCGAAACTGCCGTGCTTGTGACTCACTGCGATTGGAAAGATAACATTTCGTTCGAATCGTAAGTCCAAGGGCTTTCCCAATTTACAGTGAACTGCATGTGCCTCAACTAGAAGATCTAGGAAAAGATCGAATCACCGTGCAAAGATGTTCGCAGCCCTCCGCGGATGGAGAGGGGCGAACCTATGGCGAGTCATAGACGGTCTTGATGTGATGTGATTCCGAGGGCGCTTCCACAAGCGAACTTTTACAACCCCGAGTCCAGTATTTGAGACTTCTACTATCGTCGTCATGTCTTCCCATCACGGCGAGTGGAATTGGGTTTACTGGGCGGCGGTGCTGACCACCATCGACTATACGCCCGTCGGGCAGTAAGCACAGTCATGAAGGCCACAACAACGTATGTGACTATGATAGGATCGTCTCTAGATATTTATGTAGTTCTGATTTGCTCCGCCTCATCCGACGCAACGATCTTACTTACTTGGGGCCAGACAGTCACAATCAGGCAGGACTAACTTCGATAACCGATTCTTGCGATGCAACCGTCTGCTATTTCGAGCCGATATGTGTAGAAGTAATTGAGAGATTGTCTTGCGTTGAGCGTAGTAGGTGGATTCGCTTGTGACAAAGGGATGTACTTTCGTCATGGCACATTGAGCACAGCGTCCAGACTATCTCTGTCGAACTTACGCCCAGTCGAGGCGTGCCGCACTCTTGCAGGTTTAGGTAACTTCCTGTAATATGCAAGACTAGCGATGAAGGAACGGGGCCGAGAAAGGGTGTGATCAGACAAAGTGCGGGTGGTCGTCTTCGCGGCCTAGAGACGGACGTGTAGTTATAGTCTATGCTGACTCCGTACTGAGACAGTCAATCCCTTTGTTCCCTTGCATTGATCGGTCACAAAGCTTCCCCACATATCCGACTCGCATGCTAATTTTGCGAGAAGATGAAATGCTTCCAACGTTCCGGGCAGCGACCCATGCCTGCTGCTGACGATAAGCACCGGAACGAAAACGATGAGCGACTAGAGTACAATGGAAGAATCAGTCGCATGCGGAAGATCGAATACCCAATGCTCGAGGGTATGCTCAAACATGATATGTCTTTCACGTGTCACTGACGGTGCGTAGGCCTGACCTACCTCGATCACGGCGGCACGACACTCGCACCGAAGTCTTTACTCAAGGCTTTCTGCGAGGAGATGCAAAACACTCTGCTCGCTAATCCCCATTCTGACTCGTCCAACCCGAGTGCAACTGCCGTCATGGTAGAGCAAACTCGACTTGCTGTCTTGGAGATGTTCGACGCTGACCCAGCACACTTCGACGTCATCTTCACCGCCAACGCTACTGGTGCCATTAAATTGGTGACAGAAGGTTTCTCGGGGTCCCAGAACGGATTCAACTACTGCTATCATCGCAATAGCCACACAAGTCTGGTTGGTGTCCGGGAACTGGCACATCGTAGCCACTGTTTCGCTTCCAACGAGGAGACAGAGGAGTGGCTTGCCGGAACAAACCATACTTCGTTTAGAGGGCCTCTTGCGGAGAAACCATTGTTGTTTGCGTATCCAGCCCAGTCGTAGGTGACCTTGCACCTGATGGAAGAGGAGTTGACGCTGACGTTGTACTCCATAGGAACATGAACGGCGAGCGACTTCCGCTGAACTGGACAGGTAAACTACGCTTCTCGTTGCACCACCCAAACTCTTACTCTCTACTTGACATAGCAGCCTTGGTGTCTACGACCCCAATTGACTTGAGCAACCACCTCTTCGCCCCTGACTTCATCGCCCTCTCCTTCTACAAGATCTTTGGGTTCCCAGACCTTGGTGCTTTGATCGTTCGGAAGGCGGCTGGCCATGTGTTCGATAACCGGAAATACTTCGGCGGCGGCACAACAGAGATGACGACATGCCTTGGAGAATCGTGGGTAGCCCGCAAGGATTCTAGCCTCCACGCACGTTTAGAGGATGGCACGATCGCTTTCCGGAATGTTCTTGCTTTGAAATGCGCTATAACGACCCATCGTACTTTGTTCGGTGGGCTTGATCAAGTCTCGACACACGCCAGATGGCTCGCTGGTATCCTCCATGATCGTTTGGCAAGCATGACGCACTACAATGGCGCGCCGGTATGTCAAGTATACAAGCCGAGAGATGCTGGCTATCAAGATTCGCAAAAACAAGGGCCGACGATAGCTTTCAATATACAGAGAAGTAACGGAGCATACATCGGCCCGTGGCACGTTGGAGCGTTTCTTAGGGCGAGTAGGATTCACGTTCGCACGGGCAACGTGTGTAATCCCGCAGGTATGGCATGCGCGCTGGGTGTAAAGGCTGGATGGATACGAGGAGCGTTCGACGCAGGCCTTCGATGCAATACGGAGGCGGATATCGTGGACGGAGTGCCTTTTGGGATAGTCAGAGTGACTCTCGGGGCTATGAGTACCTTGGAAGATCTTGACAAGCTCGTGAGCTGTCTTTCGCGGAACGTCGTAGAACGACAGGGCTACCTTCAAGAGACTGCACAGGTATATGGCAAGAAGATAGAGTCAGTAATGGAATCTAGAAGCCCCTCGGCTGTTTCGGAGCTGACTACGATTCGGATAAACCCCCCGTCTCTAGGACATGGGGAACATACGACCGAATTCATGACGCCAGGGAGCATAATCTCGTGGATGAGGAGGAAAAGGTTGTACCCGCGCTTTCATGAAGAAAGGCACGTCGATTGAGAGGTAGTCGGTGCAGAGCAGCGTGTTTTCCGTGGTGTTTCGCGCTTAATCCTAGCTCAGCTTGTAAATAACGACGTCATGATATTATCTTCGCCCAATTACCTGGGTATTCATGCCCTTGCCGAACTTCAGATAAATCATGAAAACATGGGCTGGATGTCGCAACTTGTTTGGCGTAACATCTTCGACGAATTTGGTGTTGCTAGGAATGATCGTGGAAACCCCGTTCTCCTCGTGGTGGCTGGTTGAGCTAGTCCACAAATTACCTAGCGTATCTTCGGTATCTAGCAAGCTGAATGTATCCCGAGGTCTGGATGTGTGAACGCGATACACATCCGGCAGATGCGTCAAGGCTACGGCGTACTTGTGATGAGCAAAGGTCATGTGCTGCTCGAAAGGGATGCAATCCCAGAGGAGTGCATGCCCAGGGAAAATGGGTACACCGTGGCTGCACTACCTAGCTAAAGCTCGCGCGATGCAGACACAGATGTGTGGTGGTTTGACGCCACAATACTGATCAAATGCAGATAGATATCTTGGCCTGACAGGCTTGATAGCTAGGTGCGGTTCATGACGCCGTCCCATCGAGACTTTCGAGCCCAATGTAGCCCCTGCGATTCCGAAGTGGTGGGCAGCTCAAATAGGGAGCGCAAGCGCTGCGACCTCCCCGAGCCTTTCTTTTGAAGAGCGCTCAGCTGTCATATCTTCTAATGAAGTTAAGATCAGACGGCAGGAAACTATAGGTCTTCGAGGTTGAGTATCGCGATTGGAAGTGGTTCAGCCGTGCAGCTGTGTAGCCATGCAACCACTCGCTATATATTGCGCGCTAATCCCAAACTGCAGCAACCAGTGCGGATTGCGCACTCAATGGATGAGGACCAGGAGCCCCGCACTTCGATCGAGCAACCGGCTTTCTCTATTGGCGAATGCGGACATCCCTGGCTAAGCTGCGAACTCCTGGCTTTGCACCACTACTTGACCAGAAAGGAAGCGGCTCTGCGATTGACAGGCGATGGGCACTGCGATGGCACACTTCGCGTGTTTTTAACGGTTGCAGAGACTGCATCGGCTATTATCAGCGGCAGTGTGGTAATTCGCTCACGTACATTTCGTGACTTGATTTCTAGGCATGGTAGAAATCATCAGGCTCACGAACACGATTGGCCGATGCATCCGCAGGATCTGATATTTGATGTAGCAGAGAGCCAAGGTATGCTTGGAATGTGGAGCGAAGATTTCCCGGACACTTCCGCCAAAATGGCTGTATGCGGCCGGCAGTGACGGTCTGTAGAGCTTTGTGGTAGCTCGCACAGCAGGCGCAACTACGATGGCAAGGCTGAACTGCTAGCAATCTGAGGAGGATAAGCCGGATGGATTATTGACAACCCTATGACACCGCATCCCGGCAGTATGTGCAGCACCCTGACCGTAATGTGTCTTTGTGCGGTTACCGAAAGGGTTGCGACCTGCGAGCGCGCGTCCGCCATGCAGATGTTGAGGGCCGGAGGCGTGCGTAGTGATCCAGCCAAGTTAAGACCGTGTACACAGTCAATCTGGTATAAGCGCAGCCGCCCTTCTAAATCGTGTCGCATCCCTGAAGAGATTTGCTTCACCCCAGGGCTTCTTTGTCATTGAACGTATCTGCTATTGCCGCGTGTTTCATCTCTGACGCCGCTCGCTGTTCACCGGAACGATCCTGTCGTCAGATTGTGTATGCACTCCAGGGCGGCTCGAGGCTCGATCTCGACGAGTCGTCAACCATGTGAATCCTGGACCTCGCTTTGCCCGCCTGACTTGCGACTACAGCAACTGGCTGGGTTCTGACGGGAGGTACGCCTCGCACTCAGCCGTAGCAGTCAACTGCAGGGCTACGGACGATCCGCGTGTGAGTGATGTGGATGAGGCATCGTACAAAGACCCTGAATCCAGAACTGCATCCACTTGTAAGTTTGCCTGCTGGTAGTCGATGTGTAAGGGATTCGAAGCGGTTGTCTTGGTGCTGACGCGCAACATCAGTGGCCCAATAGGTCCCGTCGACATCGGGCTTCAGTACTATGGCCGACTTCCCATCGCTAATACGGATGCGTCAGGCTTGAGGCCATGCAGTCTGGAGTATTTTCCAGTCAATCCACCCCCTCATCTTCCCTTCTGCATCCACTGTAGGAGGGTCGAACCGCACGCAGTTCTCACTCTCCATCGTTTGGCAACAACAGGGCGCTTTGGGTTCATCTCGCTGACCTTCTTTTCCGCGCATCTGCACAGCCCACGCCGATGCCAGTCCGCTTGCTGGCACCAAATGAGAAAGTGAGGCAACGACCAACACTGTCCTTGGTCACCACTATCGACGTAATAGCGATGCAAATCCTGTCAGATAATACTGTCGAGCTGGAGGCATCCTCTTTACGCTGGTATTTCTCGTCGGTCTCGCGCTGATAGCGATCAGTTCGTTACCCTATGCCTCCAAGTCACATTGTGGTCGCTGCTTATCGTACATTAGATTCCCCCTCTTTTGAGACAAAGTCATCGGCGTTACCGATCTCGTTTCAAAGTCGCCAGCCTCGTCAACGTCGCCTAGCGGGCTTCCCTCGAAAGCGCAGCCTTCCTGCTCATACCTCCAAGTCGCTACACAACACCACGTCGTCTAAATCTCCCAGAATTTCTTCCCCTACTACAAGCTTGAAGAACACCACCCTATACACAAGAGCAGTGGAATAGAGTACGACATCGTATCCGACTGGCAGGAACGCTCAAGTAGCTTTGCACAGAGATGAATATGTTCGGCACGACAGGCGGTTCCGGAGACTCACCAGCAAGGTACCCGATTGCGGCAAATCAAGGGCGTGACCCATTAACACGAGGATACGCAAGTACTATCGGTCACCACGGAAGCTTTGGGTCAAGACCGATTGTAAAAAGTCGAGAGGCATGTTGGGTTGTCGGCGGCCAAGACATGACCCAACATTGGCAGTCCGGAGTCCCCATGTGCGATGAACCAGGTCCGGACTGGAACAACACTGGAGACTCAAGCTCCACGCTAGATATGCGGGCCGACAAGCAAGATCAAACTCCTCATATACCTGCAGCGATGGGACACAATGATCAGCACTCGTATGGGGCGGATTGGTCTCCAAGTGGATTGGGGAACGAGCCAGTGCTGCCGAATCCTCGATCTGTTCTTCAAGACAAACGGCATCCATTGCCGATCATTAGCATCAAGCCACCGAGTGGCGAATGTGGAGTGAGTGACTCCGGAGACGCAAGCGCGTGGTCATCATACACCTATGCAACAGCAACCAGATCAACATTGCCAAGGTACTATACTCCAAGATCTGAGGTAGATTTGGGAAATTGGTCAGGCTTGCATCCTTCCCTGGAGGGATACGGCCAGGCTTCCTCATATCGACGGTGCTCGACGGGGTCGATAGCGTCCGCGCCGGACCGAATCCAAATGAGTGCGTTCGATCACACGGTAAATCCCGCGGAGTGTTGTGGCTGGCCGTCTCCTAGTGAGTCTTCCAAGTAAGTCAACATCAGCCGCAAGCCGAGAGAGATCGCTGAACTTAGTACAGCATGTCGGACCTGCAGGAAGTCCAGCAGTTTCAGTACGACTATTCTATGAGTCCATCAGCAACGAGCATGACTCTTGAGGCTTCTGGACCAGATGAAAGTCGCGTAAGGTGCTCTGAGCCTGGATGCCGTGCCAGATTCCAAGGGACCTACGCGAAGGGAAGTCTTGCACGCCACCGGCGTCTGAAGCATGGTAGCTACCAGCATCAAGAGGGGCGGGAATATGTTTGTGAAGAGCCTGGATGTTCGAGGAGCTACAAACGCCAAGATGCACGCTTGAAGCATTATCGCAAGGCCCATCGCCACCTCGCCCCTGGCCCAGCGTTGTCGCGTTCGAAGTATCAGTCGATGTGATTGTGCTGTGGCATGTAAACCAAGCTCTTTACTGTTATCGTCAAGATCGTTGAGCTGATGTTGAATCAGTCGTTACGTCAAAATACGCTCAATGATCTGAACCGATTTGGAGGATCTGTCCTCGGTCGCCTATGTCCGCACATTCTTTTGTCGTTTCATTCTTGTCTTGTTGTTGCAACGGGTCTTCTTGGTGGAAGACTCTATATCGTTCGGAAAGATCATCGTGCTATTAGTCCAGCCGGGCTGTTGGCACACCAAAAACACACTGGGGGTTTGGCGTAAAGGATTCATACGTTAAGGCGGGGTCGAAGACACAGACGTGTCGGCAGAGAGTAAATACTTTGAAAGGAAGCTCGGCATGTCGCCGCTGCTGCTATGTTACGCACGAAGGTCTTGGTAAAAGGTGGTAAGAGGGAAGGGCCTCAAGAGGTTGGGGCACGAAGGCGCACCTGCCAGGCGGCCGCTTGAGTTTGGTGGATCAGCTTGCCCACCACGACATCTCTCCGGGTACTCGCATCGATCCGTCGAAAGAAAGCCTCGTTTGCGCTCGAGCTCGCCATTCGCCTGCTTTGGTCTTCTGCCTCATTCAGTGCCAGAGAGCAGCGACACCTTGCATACGATCTGCTGTGGAGTGCCAGTTCGCTTCACTATCGTGGGAAAATGCCGTTGCTTGCCGCTTGGACAGGGGACATTGAACAGCTTCGGGCGCACCGTACACGACGCAACCAGGCGGTATAAATTATCTTCATTCAGCAATTCGATGGCCCGCTGAGATAGTGGAAAGATAGTGTGCCCGGATGTGTGTGTTGAGTGGTTGGGGAGAGGCACGCACCGGTGTGATTAGGGGAAGAGGCACAAGGATGCACGAGCGCCCGTAGCAACCTTGGAAGCCATGACCCCTATCATCTCATAGCTGCGCGTTTAGCTCGTTGCAATAAAGACATGACATCCACTAGTCGTAGTATTGCGCGGCTTTTCGTGTCTACGGTGGCGTCAGCTCCGACTCACATATCAGCTTCATGGTGAGCTTTCTATGTCGCCGGTGAGCCACATCAGCCGAAGCATCATTTACGCGATGACACATGGCCATGCGCGTTGGCAGTAGTGCATGACGTTGTAGCTCTATTCTGAAGGTGAGAATACGAAATCGGTCACATGCACTCAAATCGGTGTGTTGTGGCCCAGGTGTGTTTGCTCGCATGCGCTTTCCGACATCCGCGCCCAATCATTCAAACCATTGCTACCCAAGTAGCGACATGCACACAGCAGGAGAGAACGGATGCTTCGTGAATTTCCCCCGTCTTCGAGATATGTTCGCCTGTCGTTGCGGGTCTCGTTCCACAGCACAGCCTCCGTTGCCGTACGCGTTCCTTCGCCATCCGACTTGGCAAGCCTGGGAGGCCTCGGAAATATCCGACAGGTGGCCGTAGCATCTGGGGCGAATTTTCGAACCGTCTCTGCAACGCCAAAGAAGTCTACAACACCAGGTGTCGCATTCCAAAACAGCACCAAGGTTTATCAACGAAGACGTATCGCAGGCTCGCAATAGCGTGTGGGCAGAATTGAGTGCCACGTATCTGACCTGAGAAGGTTAGCACGCGCCCAGTCGCTTCACCCATTCCAGCCGTCAGATTTTTCATAATGATCTTACGGGATGCCTCTCTCTAGGGATCATCAGCTCATGCAGGAACGTTTTTGGGCTCGGAACTGCGGTTCCAGTAATCTGGTTCGGGGCTGGCGGAAGGTACCTAGGTACCCATAACCCGTTGCCCCGTCCGCAACACCTCATTCTCACCCCACCTACCTACATGGTTCGTATCTGGTGAGTATCGCCTCATGGAGATACACTCCAATCAGCGCGTCAAGGTCGTCTTCGAACCCCTGAGGTGTACCGTCCCGAATCAAGTTTCAAGGTAAAGACGTCGAATCATCTACCACTTGAATGCTTCATAGCGGCTGAAAACGAATCTTGGGCTGATCTAATCATTTGCTACGGGGAGCAAAACCCTGTTAAGTCGGGTTTAGTAGTTTGAACCACATTGCAAGAGTGGGAGTACGCTTTATGCTCACTGTACTGCGGGACTGGAATCGAAAGGATAGCTAGGATTACGATACACATTGTTTTCAGCCCGATCGCAAGCATTGCATGTTGCCTCGGCCGCAAACAGCAATCAGGCACTACATATGGGGTGCTTAAAGTCACACAGCGTTGTTAAATCTGCCTGGGGATCGAAGGGGGCGTTGATTGGGCTGCCACGTCAAGGAAGCGAATCTCCAGCATCTTATATCGGTAAACTGTATGCTGTGAAGCTTCATGATGTCGAGAGGTGTAGGACGATTGATCGCCATAGGACGGCATTTTGATCCGTCGCCATATGCGTCGTTGATCCAAACACAAGTGCGATTTTGATGCAGTGACAACAAGACCTTGCAGCTCAAAGGTGCCAGCCGCCACCTGAACGAACTATAGAGCAGGGCTGCTAGAACAACTAACTTGATACCCAAGAATTGGGAAAGTGTTGTAAGGCAATGATTTTAGAGTTTGGGCACCAATACTACCCGAGTACGTTTGGCTTGGTCATGAAGCACTGTCTTGAGCGGAAGCACTATACAATGTACATGTAGTGCTGAGAAGATCACATTGTAAAATCGGCTTTGTATCACCGTGGTCCTTTCGACTGTCGGAGAGTGGCGACAAGTCATTTTCTCATGAAATTCAGAACTCGTACCCTAGAACTCCTAAAAAACGCTCTCAAGCCACTGATCGTAGGCTCAGGAGGACCACCGCGTCATGCATATGCGGGATGCAACCATTACGGATACTTACATCACCTGCATACTAGCATCAAGCCTCACACACATGCGTACAAAATTATTAAAAGAGAATATCTAAAGACATTTGTTGCAAACCTCTCTCTTTCTTGAACGCAGTGGCGTAGAATATTTCGGCGTGGCCGATTCTCGTTGACGATGCCGAGTCTTGGATCCAGCTGCGCCCCACGGCCCTGCAGGTGGATGTGGCGTCCGTTTAGATCAATATTACGATCACTATTGTATCTAGGGGTCTCAACATTCTGATCTCGCCTCTTTAGTATCGGAAGACGCGAGCAAGTTCTATCACGAGATGAAAAAGTTACAGTTTAGGAATATGGCTATGCGCTTGGATCGCACGCCATCGCATCAGCGCATGGTATGTCAGCTTGGTGGAATGGTATGGAAAGTTTGTGATCGCACGAATGGGCTTCAGCTGAGATAGTTTCTAGTGTTTAATCACATACATCCAAATGATATCTGGAACGTGGCCCCTGCAAGAGTGAAGGAGCCCAGCCCATCCAGCCCGACTCGCTCAACCAAGATCCTGGAGTCGACCGTAGGTGTCCGCGAACACACCACAGTCTGCGCATAAATCGTGTACGTCAAAGCTGGTGGCGATCCTCTGGTCGAGCACTATCTCTTCCGGATTGCTAGTCTCCAGAGCTCTGACTCACACAAGACCAGTCAGTGATACCAAGGCAACAACCCTCCTCGATTCCATTGGATGCCGGTCGCTGTGGATGAAGAAGAAGACTCAAGAACAGAGAGCGATAGAACCAATCAGAGATGGAACGTCGTGAGGCGTCCCGTAGCTGACGAGCCCACTCCAGGCCGACTGAGCGAGACGCTGCGCCATCGTAGGCATCCATCTCTAATGGGAGGGATCGTTGCTATATATGAAGCAGTGTCTGTCATTACAGGCATCGGACTCACACGGGTGAGTTCGTTAGCCTCTACTCGAAACGTGCTACAGGCCTACGGGCAAAAGCAACAGCAAGTCAGCCAACTTTCGTGAGGAGGAAGCTGGGCGGCTTCCAACGTACCTGGATATGTCCCTCGCCTCATTCTTAGTGATCGACGGTCTTGCCTCTCATCTCGTCGAACATCGAAGTACGAATATCTGGAAGGCATGTAGCCTGTACCTTGTGTTACGGAACGCAGCTGCCCGTTCACGACTTCCCGCTGCACCGTGTCATCCTTGGTAGTGGCTACCCGACCGCTGTCTTGCGCGACGCACTTCCAGTCGCCCGAGACGTTGGTAGGTGGCCTTGTCTTGTTGGCCAGCGCAGCCGGCTACCAACATGGAGCTAGTCGCATCTCGTTGGCTACATCGGAAAGAAAGCCTGCTGGCTGTCGAAGATTCAAAGTTTGGGTGACGCCGGCTGCTCTCGGTCCCTTGAGTCACGACCTAGTGCGACGCGAAACTTGACCCCTTCGACTCCACTCCAGCATACTCAACCATCTCTGAACGACATCGTCGCCCTTTCGGAATGCGCATAGTCACCCGGAACTTCTTCTTTGTTCTCATGCACTATCGCGGCGAGGTAGCTGCCTGGAGGACGACACGTGGTCGGCCTAACCAAGCGATGGAGGATCACTCCACGGCTCCACTCCGCCGGCGCCGGTATGACGTTCCCAACGACAACTGATCAAGACATACAACAACACCAAGACTTTTCATCGCAAACGTATCCCAAACAAAAATAAGGCGATAGAACAAAAGACACGGGCTTATACAAGGAGCGGCTGTGCATGGTTGGTTTACAGATTGCGTTAACGTTATGGGCAACATAGGAAATGGCACTAACGAAGCGTGCCGAGCATGGTGTGGGTGTGACAGTTTACAACATAGGAGAAAAGCGTAGCGCTACATTTATTGAGGATAACCCTTACCCTTCGTCGAACCGATAACCAAAGGAGAGAAACCAGGTCATCACAATAAGGAAAAAGAGATGGTCTTGGTGTCTTTGTTGCTTGCAAGAATGTTTTGGGCCGGGGTCATGGTCCCTTCTTTCAAAGAGCCTTTCAGGTGGCCCAACCGGACATGTTGCTCAATTCGACTTCCTGGTGTCTGCGCGTGGGCCTAGAAGCGGACGAACGACGGACAAGCGGACTATCGGCAGCAAGCTCAGGATGATATTTCCTGTAATGCTTGAGTCGAGCATCCTGTCGCCTGAACTCCTTGGCACATGTGTCGTCCCCGCACACATACCGGCTGCCCGTTCCATGAACTAATCTCCTATGTCTTCCGAGGTTGCCTCTTGAATACAGACCGGTGAACGACTGCTTGCAGTCGACGACTTCGCAGTACATTACCTCCGGAGTGTGGGTCGGTGGAGGACCGGATGAGGACGCGTTGGACAGAGAAGAGCGCGTGGAATGAGATCTTTGCATTGGAATGTCCAGGCCTAAATCCCACTGAGAAGAGCCTTGCGTGGTCGAGGGGGTCTCGAAAGGAGTCGCAGATCTTTCGATATCAATTTGGATAGGGCGAGTGTAGTAGGGCAGATTGTAAGGTGGGATCTGGTCGGCATCGGCATATTGTGGGTAATTCGCGCCTGGACGCTCAGTGACGACGCTGTTCTCCATGTTTTCACTGACATAGTCCGTTGTCGAAAGCGCCATATATGGAGTCTCTTGCAAATCTGGCCCTGGTGCTCCTTCAAGAAAGACTGGCTCGTAGCACACATCGACTGGGTGGTAAAATGACCACGGCTCCTGTTGAAGGTCCGCGTTAGAGAGGGTCGTGTCGGACTGCCTAGGACCAAGCGGATGAGGGTTGTGGTGAACAGTACCACAGCTAGAATAGCTCGACAGTATCGTGTTCTGGAACGTCTGGCCGTCAACGACAGCCTTCGCTTGCTGGAGGTGATCAGAGTTCTGCGCGGACGAGCCCGCAAGAGAAGTGAAAGCGTTACTCGATATATTTCGATTCTCGGAGTGGTTGTTCACCGTAAGCACGGAGGCGCCGCCCTGTTCGAGAGGATATCTTTGATCGGCATGCCAATCACCCGGAGCACCAAATGCGTTGATCTGGTAGTTCGACGCATCTTGAACAATTGCCGAGTTTGGGTATCGTTCGTCCCACGACTGCCCCTGCTGCGGACTCCCTTCCGGGTGCGGCCACATGTGTGGCTGGTACTGTCCTAAGATACCAGGATCCATGGAGGATAAAGCCGGCTGGTAAGAGTGCTGCGGATTGTAGGACTGGAGAGGCTGGTCGGCGATGTTGTCTTGGGGTGCAAAATCATGACTACTAGCATGTAAATTCCAGGATCTCTCGCTATCATCGACGTCTGGGTGTCCATAATAAGGCCGCCTCGCATGTGGAGAGCGCCGATACTGCTCATGTGAACCCATCTTGTTTCAAACTTTTGTCAAGGTGGTGGAATCCAAGAGGAGGTTGCCACAGCACGTTTGCAGATCTGCCCAAGGGGTTGTTATCCGCCGGACTCACGCACGAGGGGTGAGTGGGTGTGTGGTGTTCGATTTCTACCGACAAGGATTGACGGGTTGTAATGCGAGTTGGGGGCCAGTGCAATTGTCAAGCCGCTTGCTTGATGTTGCAGGGCGCGAGAAGAAGACACTAGTCCGATGAGCAATTGGAGATGAAGAGATCAGGGTGTGACGAAGTACCGAACACGTCCAATGATGTCGATGTCGTAATGCCAGGTCCAGAGCCTCGTCCGCTTCACGTTGTGTGGTCGTTAGGTCTGTGCACGGCGGCGATGGGCACGGGTTCGAGTCGTTCAATAAAGAGGAGGTATAAGAGAAGGTGTGTGGTTGTTTGTTTTAGGCCTCGCTGTGTCGGAGCCGTCGTCGTCGAAGCTGATGAGCCTGAAGAAGGTGACGAGCAAGTAGAGGGGCAGCGGGAAAGCCCTTCGCAATACGGCCGGTCCCTCGGAGAGCTTTGCGTGTTGAGGTCTCTATTCCTCAAGCCCAAGACTCCGCTCAGCAACGGTATGGTTGCTCGTTGCTTGCAGCAACCTTTATCTCGGACCCCAGGATGATCGACAGGTATGGCAAGCGAAGCGCGTGGGCTTGCAGTTGAACGAAGGCTTGCAAGAGGAGGAGGGTGAAGAGGAGCTGTGGTATCTGGCGACAGTCGTATATGAAGGGGGCATATGGATGATATGTGCTTGGGTCTTGTGCCTGCTGGAGGACTACCGTACGACGATCGGACACGCTATGCAGTTAGCCCAAGATGTACATCAAGCCGAGTCATGAATGGGTAAGTCGCTGATATGGATAACGCAAAACGTCTCTAGCGGAACGAAACAGTCCTCCAGAGGCTTGATCTGGCTCTGCGACACCATGTATATGGCCAGAGTGTAAGATGTGGGTCCGACGTCCGTTGTCAATTGTATGCCTGTTTGCCTGTTCCGACAAGGAAGGATGGCGTGCGCTAGCTTCTGGTATACTGAGTAACTACCCCTGGAGCTTTCAGCGAGATCGTCCAATCCATTGCGACAAGTCGATCAACCACAGCGACGTGGTGATGAGTGGTCGTGAGGCCTGGAGCCTTGCCCTTCGTATCGGATTTGACCGGCGCCTTCCGCACCGGGGCGCCTTCAACAGTCATGTGTGCGAGGCACATGTACCAGATTGACGATGATAAAAGCAGCGACAGCAGGGCTGTTCACGTACACAAAGGCCCGCAGCGAGGCCGACTGCTAGGTTGAACCAGACGGCGCGAAAGACTGGATTCACAACGTCGGGCCCCTAGGCTTTTTGATCCGCGTAGATTTTCGGACGTCATCCAGCGCCGATATGGGGAAGGGTGCGAGGGTGCATACACGGCTTGCAGCAGCTCACCTTTGCGTCTATACGCACCCCTCGGTGCGGCACATGAACCCGCATATTGTACGGGCCCCTACCTGCCAGAGTACCGATTGCCGCTCTCAATGGAGACAAAAAAAAGGTCAACTGCGATGACTACACACGTTATTCTATGCTGGCGACCGAATACATTCAATATTGCCCGGGAAGCTGTCTTTTGAGCGGGTCGATTTGCCTACGAATCTCAAGATTGACTGTGGATACCAAGCGCTGTGGCGTTGGAGACCGTCGGTTCGGGGCTGGTCTGCCGCCAGGCCACCACACCCACCTCTCAGACTGGCACGCGTTGCGCGCAACGTGCAGAGCATGATTCCTACACACCATTGGACAGGAAAGCTTCTTCTGGTAGCAGATAGAGGGGGTGCAGGCTCAGTTGAGCAGTGCTATCACACCCAGCGTTCAATCTGTGAGATGTGAGCGTTGCCAAAACGAAAAACGACCGCCTGCCGCCTGTGCTCAGCTGCAGACGCACCCAACACTCATTGCTGGACAAACGGGCCAACAACGACTGCCATTCATTAACATAGAATGCCGTGTCACCATGTGAGCTGAGCATGCTAATGCAAGTAGGACTTGGCGCCTGGCAAATACAATGGAACAATAGCTAGCCAGCAAACATTGTGGTTGAGCTTTCCTGGACACATAGGGCGTCTCTACGATGCTTCCGCTCCCTGCGATGCTGCCCAAGTGACCTCGGAAGCTATATTTCCACTGCTTAGGCTATATCCACGAGAACTTGCTCCATGGCAGGTCATCGCTCCTGCGAACTGGGTGTTGAGTCCAACAAGCGAAAACGTCATGCAGTTGCCTCGGCCCCGCATGCAGCTACGAGTGTGCACACAGTGCGTTTCCATCGCGCCATCTTCAAAGTGGGAATTAAGCGTGGATAGCGCCCGGGCCTATCTCTGTGCCCCGTTTATCATCACGTGATGAGGCTCTGCGCGTACCAATAGGAAGACGGTATACTACCACCTCCGTGAAGAGCTCAGGCATCTCATTATAGCGTTGGATTTCTGTGGGCAGGCGGGCCGGTGCGACACGGCTTCGGCACAATTGGAAATAGACCACCCGGTGACTGTTACTTTGCCCCGCGCATTCCAAGGTTTGCAGCCCAGTAGTCCACCGCGCGAGACTGGGTGGACATTGCCACTCTAGCCACATCAACGGATGAGGCCTTGCCTTCGTCGTCAAGCCGCTGGCGCATAGCATCCGCGCCCCTGTGCAGCCCATCCTGTTGTGGCATGACGATCACAGCTCCGGAGAGATCACCATCATTGTCCTTCAATCTTTGGCGCGAGAACTTCCCAGATTCCTGACCAGCATACCAAAGCGCTCTACTGAACCCATCTGAGGAATTCATCTACAATGATTGGAGGAGTCAGGTTCCCAGTCTCCGAAACGCAGACTGCATAGCCTTCTACTGCTAACGTACGGCGCCTGTCCAGCTGGGAGGGCTGGCATAGGGCAGCACTACTACTGCTCAGGTGCTTTGGCGAGACTTTCCGTCACACTAACTCCAGGATCACTTGCCATATCTGTGGTAGCTTCTACTGCAAGGTGAAGGAATACGCCCCGTTGCAGGGATACTCCGCTCTAGAGGGCTGGCTATTTATCCGGTGCAAATCATGAGAATCCGCCCTCCTGCACATTCCATCCAATTTGAAGGGTACCATTCACTAGAAAGGGTGGTGATGCGGGATTCTACCTCGCCCTGCATGCGCGCAAAGTCGCTTGATACAGAACCACGGAATCGAGATCTCCGCAGCGTCCTTGCCAAATAGGATGACTCTACTTGTGTAGCTACTAGCTCCGAGATCTGTCAGCCGCGAAGCTTGGTAACAAGCCCAAACAGCCATCTTGCATATGCTATGATCGGCGTCCGCCCTCCCTCCTGGACGATCCATTACACATCACGCGTGTTCGAAGTATCGACTCTATGACTCCGCCTGCGCGGCGGTGAAAGCTTCACATGTGGCATGTGCGTATCATCCGCTATGGTGATCGCTGGTGATTTGGAAGCGGTGGATGCGTTGGCATCATCAGTACGAAGCGCGACGGTTATTTTAGTACTCATCCTTCTGACAGCTCCCCGTCCCATGGAATGGGGAATGTGTCAGCCTCAAGAGCCGGCTCAGGCTTGCCCATCAGCAGCCTATCGGACCAACTGTGTATACCATTAATCAAGTACGGGTACTTTGCCGGACCGACTGAACTCAAATCACTAGGGGGACTCGAAAGCATACCTATCGGAGCCCAGTGAGACGGTCTACAGTATACATGTGATCTGTCGTTTCCGCCCTCTTCAGCGTCCACGGCCACGGATACAACGGCACCGCAGCGCAAGTGGCCAATGGCAGTCATCCGATGCGCCCCTAGTACCGAAAGATGACAAAACGGCGAAGCTTTGTTGGTCTCACTGGCTTTGCTGGGATCATGGGGCTGGACGGGCGAGGGTCTGCAAGCGCCGCCACGTGGGACTGCCAGACGTTAGCAACATTGCTAGGTGCTACGCGGAGCTGCTTTAACACCTGCATCTGGTACCCGACATGGCAGATGGGGCGCCTAATCGAGCTCACGCCATTTTTCATTATGTTGGCTTTAACCGCACTGGTTGATATCTCCGCAGAGCCGCATGCCTCTTCAGTCGTCATCTCCGTAGTCTGACTTGGCCTGCCCCAGATCTTGGAATACTAGGTATGGGGCTCCTACCAGGCTCCTTCCGGGCAGGTCAGATTCTGATGTCATTGTGACCACATGATTGGTTAGGTACATCCTGAGTTACATCGTGATCATTACACTTCTAGTTATGAAGTCGAAGACGCGCTTTTGCGCTAGTATACATTGAGAGCGCTCCAGCGCAGTAAGAGAACAACTAGTGCGCCCCGAGGAGAGAAAAGAGAAGATGCCGCAAGCAGCTATTCATACCACCAGGGTGGGAGAGACCCCAGCTCTCGATCTGCACTGCAAGATATCCATCGTTGCAGTCGATCATTATCGCAGCGATTGGCGCCACTATTTCGCTCGCTTCTTGGGCATTGCGTCCAGCATACGGTGCTTCTTCCATTCGTGTTTACGGGTCGCATCCGCCCGCTTGTAAGCCCGTTTGCAAACGCGGCATGTGGACCTGACGGCGAGGGCGAGTGGGCCATGGAAGGCAATGTTATGCCGTCGCAGGTTGCCTTTCCGATACCTGTAGTCAAGTCAATACCTACGCATGAGCGAGTTCCGAGAGGGCAAAGCTTACCTGCCACGAAATGATTTGCCGCACTTATCACAGTGCGCTAGAGCAGAATCGTCCTCGTTTTGTTCCGGCGCCTCGCAAAATTGAGGGTCTTGATGGTCTTCCAGTTCAATGTAGTTGGTCGACGGTCTCTGAATTCTTCCGAAGCGATCGGCGTACTCTAGGGATCCCGGTTGGTCAGCCGCAGATTCCGGATGTTTGATGTCTTTATCCCTGGTAGTATGTCGTTCATATCCACCACAAAATTGCCATTCCTGGTCATCAGAGCGTTCGTAAGTACCGAAGCGAAGACCAGTTGCGTCATGCCGATGCGAACGAAGCTCTAGCAAGGAGTGGCCTGACAAAATTGGTGATGAGAAAACGGGAATATATGACTCAGTGTTCGTAAGATCGAACAATGTCGGAGATTGCAGATAATCATCCTGCCGAACTTCGAAGCGTTTTGCTTGTTGGTGTGCGTCATCGCGGAAAGACTCCACGGGACTTGCTACCAACAGCATAGGAAGACTGGCATGCGAATGATTACTCCAGTCTGTGTCCATCTGAATTGAATTTGGCCAATAGATATCGCTGGGCGGGCAACCTTCAAGTGGCGATACAATACTAGCCGTACGATCGGGATTTAAATGGAGCTGAGCGGTGCAAATGCCGTTGATGTTGGGTGTGACAGGCGATACGGGCGACGAAGACGACGACGACGACGACGACGACTTGTGAGATTGCCTCCCACTGGTCATACTGGGTGCTGGAGCAAAGTGGTACTGGGTGTTCAAGTTCCAGAGTAACATTGTCGCTTCGGCAATTAGGGGTGGCTGTGGCGCGGCGGCCGCACCGCACTCATCGCTCTCGCTCAAATCTGAGTATAACGCGTGACTCATTTCAAGGTCGAGAGAATCGTCGTTGATTTGCTCTTCGAGGCCTCCTAGCTCAGCAAACGCATGATCCCCTTCAAGCTCTGGGGCGAGCATAAGCCTGTCTGAAAGTTCGTGGAGCGGCGTTGCAGGAAGTTCATGTCCGTACGAATATCCATAAGGTGGAGGAGCCTCCTCTTGAACGACTTCCGCATCCTGTCGGGGATCCATCCGGCAAGTTCGTACCGAGAGCCGACGGAGCTTTCGTAAGAACGTTCGGCACCTGAAGACTGTGGTACTACTACGGGAAGGCGAGTAGTCCCCGCTAGGGTCCCTTGAATGACTAGGGATCGATGAGCCTTTGGCGTCGTTGACTGGCACAGCGGTGGTTGAGCGGGTGCAAGCACATGAACATGTGCTTGGCGTCGTCGTCTTGTCAGCCAAACTATGCCGAGATGTCGAGATGCTGGAACTCAATCAGTACAGCGCACCTCAGCTGGAACAATAGCCAATGAAGGGATCTCGGACTCACGTACGTAATGTTCCAGCGACGCTTCGTCTCGATGTGAATGAGCATATTCGGAACGCGGGGGCTTTCTCGAAATTATGTGGCAAAGAGCCTCCGCAGTACTGAAGGACTTTATCGACTCCAAGTGCATGCAGACGTCATGGCCAGGAGGAACTATGTAAGTTCCTTGAGGACTGCTGACTGCCAACAGGACCGCGCGTTATGAGCCGGCGGCGCGACGAATGCCTCCAACCCGGAAGCTCGATTCTAGCGGAGGGACCATTCGAGAGCCCGATACACCATGATGCTGGCAGCGGTCTCGATCTCGAAACATAAAAAGAAGGCGAGAAGTTCGGAGGACTCTGCGTCGCACTAAGAAACCCTGAACTGTACTGTATGTGCGCGAGCATGTGGACAACTCAAGCAAGGGCTGAGACTAGAGCGCGCTCTAGCTCCAATACTATCGGCATCGAGGTATTGGGTACAGATGAAACGTTCATCTATCCTTGTTGCCTGAGGTCTTTGGATGTCTCGGGCCGTCCAGCTGGCGGAGATCCATTGGCTACGTCGACGAGCCTACACATGGCAAGAAAAAGGGCGATGCCAATCATTGGTTCCGATGTGGAGGAATAGGATTGTCGGTCAAAGTCGAAAAGGGCTTTGCCTTCACCGTAATGCAAAACAAGAGGCGGGCAGCAAGCATGACGCTAAATCTCGGAAAGTGAAGCGGGGCTATCCCTGGACACCGGCGGCGGGCAATAGAGCATGCGTCTCGGAAGAAGTGTGCCAACTGCTTTGGCATGTTGTTCGCTGGCGAATTTGAGAGTCCAGGAGGAACATGCTGTGTTGTGAGCCCGTTTCCATGGCGGGCGTGGGGGTTGATTGGTCGTCGAAAGCGAGTCGGCAAAGATGCGGCTCTTGTCGGTAGAACAACGAAAGATACGATCGAGACTGTGGAAGTGCAAACTTCGTCAAGAAAGTTAGAGGCATAGCTTCAGATATATCCACCTGATGCTCGGCCTTCGAAACTATTCTCTTGCAACAGCACAGCCGCAGAGATGGGGCCGACGGAATGCCAACTCAAGAAAATATTACAGGGCAGGAACTCTCAGAATCTGCCTTGGGAATCTGCCTCGAGGGAGAGAGTCTGAGCCACATTGAGGGTGCTGTAGCGACCGCGGACCGGTGAGTTTACCGGCTTTGATAATCGCCAGGCAAGCCTGTAGTCTCAACAGATCTCAGACATCGGGGATACGTACTACACGCTCAGTCACCAGTCACGCCGACTCATCAGGCCCCCAGCGAACCAGCATCTTTCCAAATCGCGCACTTTGGGTATTGGTCGAGACGCCAATCATCGAAGCGGCGCTTCACGAAACTTCCGTGTGTGCTCCAAGCGCCACGTCGTGCTCAACACCAAGCATGAACGGCTGGGCCAAATGGCGAGGGCACGAGTCAGCTGGAAGGAGGCAGACGGCACGAGCGTACCCCCCCTCTAGTTGCAGCCCATGACAAGACCTAGAGCGATCAGTGCGGTATGCATCTAACTGCACGGTAGTGATTCCCCCGTCCGCATGCAGGAAAGCCAACCCGAATCGAGCTTCAGCCCTAACGCCATCTAGGCAATGCTCAGGTGGTATCTTACGCATGTTGTAGGCGGCCGCCAGATGTCCTCCATTGCTGCCCGACTGCACACTGTTAGCGCGCGAAGTCCTCCGAATCGAAGGGTGAAGCAAAGCTCGCAAAAGATGCCGAAACGAAGACGAGATCGCGAGGGCTCCTTTGCTACGACGTCCCAGCCCTGGCACGTCAAAAGCGGGGGAACACGCTTGACGCGCGCTAGTGCGATGCGTTCCGTGCCAATCGCTTGCCAAGCACGTCAAGATCACGTCACTACCCGCGCCCGTCTCATGTCGAGTCAGCCGAAGCCGACGCCAGCGCAACAATCTTGTTCAACAATGCTTTTGTGCGGATGCACTGCGCGATCATCATGCAGAGGTGTCGGAACTAGCCGACAGGCTTATCAGAGCTTGGAATCAACTATCACGACCAATCAGTGCAATCGCACCCTCAACCCGGATATTGGGCCGGCCCACCGTACACCGTACGACATCTGACGGTGATCTAATAGGCACGACCCTGCTTGCGCAGGTGTAACTCCAACTAGAGCCGCATGGAATGAGTCGTGGCCTGCAGCTTGCGCCTCGTTCTGGTGAACCGTCCTCCCACCGCAGGATCCACATCGCAGCATCCACCGTGCCCTTCGTGAGCCCTCCGTGCGCCCTCAATCACCCTCCCTTGGATGCCAATGACTGGTAATCTCCATCGCACGACGCATTCTCCGACTGGCATTAAGCGTCCATAGTATATGTGCCCTTCTCTCACTCGGGTCCCGTTGCCTTGTAGCCTCAGAGCCGCATGGAATCTTGATTGGGCTTACGGCCAAGTCCCCCACTTTGCTCACTGCGTGGCATGCCTCCATCTTGACAGCGACTGGCCCCGCTCTATTGCTTCTGATCGGTAAGAGCGATGCATGCAAAAAGTTGAGGCACTCACCTGCCGACAGATTAGAAGAATGCTCCGCAACTATAGCACGAAAGAACCCTGCGGTATGATCGTCGCAGTGCAGGACAACGACACGGATGTCTACGGACATAAACCTCCTTGGTCAATCGCAATAACTTCAAATGAAACGTGAGATGAGCTGGACGAGTCCTCAACTTCTGCACGCGCGTCACATCGACGCCTTCATGGAGGACTGTACTTCATTGCATAAGCGCCTGAGTCCTTCGACAATCAACTGGCTCTTGGAGCTCCAACACACGACAGTCCTCATCTCCTAATATTGAGACCAAGCCCAGATGGGCAATATGTTTCACTTCTCCATGCATGCGTTTCCGGTCACCGAGTCCTGCTCGGCGACTAAATTCCGGTGAGTGTAAGCGACGTTGTCAAGAGCTAGGTCGGCATTCCGGTGAGCAGCAAGCGTGTCAACCTCACGGACGGGCAACTTTGTGAGCAGTATGCGGCTCAACGGAAGCTCGGAAGTGGTTCAGGATGGAGATGGGAACGCAAGAACACCACCACATTCAAGGCGGGAAGAGGAGAAATCGAAGTTCACCTTGAGGGAATTTAAATCAAGAATGCATACCAAACTCCAAACTACCTGCTTGCTAATACGCTGCAAAAAACCGTGTATAGGGTATAACGAAACAACGACTGTGCCAGACAGTCTAGACGAAAAGATAGGCAGCAGCTGAAAGTAAGAAAGTGTAGCAGCCAACGAGGCTGGAGGGAAAATCCTCCAACATCATCATGCGTAAGAAGTAATACATCAAGCGCCAGCATAGTAGGCTGAGGTGAATCCAAAGATGACTGCCGAAAAGATAGACGCCTGGGGCTGGAACCTCAGCCGGCCCCCCAGTGCCCTCAACAACCATAGACATAAATATAAGGAAACCAGTTCTCTTCTCATCCCATATCATACCGTCGTGCTGTCATTTATTGCGATAGTCAGTTACTTTCGTAATATTGTTGCTGTCCACGTTGATGGGCATATGGCCTGTACTCCTCATATACTTCATCCTTATCGTACACCGCTCCGTCCCGTCTGATGTAGCCAATGGCTTCGTAGGGCCCGGAGCGCTGTTGCGCAGTCTGAATCGGATGAGCACCGCCACTGGGAGACTGGTACGGATACTGTCCCTGCTCCGGTTGCGTACGGTGACCTGTCGAGGAAGACGCGTGAGGCGGCGGCGACGAGTAAAAGTCGCTCTCGGATGATTGGTAAGGGAATACAGGCAAGTGAGAGGACGAGTGGCCCGTCTCAAACTGATGTGGGGTGGTATAGGCGCGAGCTTGCTGAACTTGGGGTCTTGGAGCAGGAGGTGCGGTGTACGCAGCGTAGTCGTTTGCCGCGCCGTTCGGGTACAATGGGCGAGACACTCGTGCGTAGACAGAATCGTTGTTTGGGTCGTAGCTATTGCTTTGTGTAGATGAGGTAGACGCGCCTCCTCTCCAAGTAGACTGCGTCTTGTCAGCGGCGAGCTTCAATAGACAGTCAAACTATCTTACGTTCGTGTGCGAGTGATTGCAAGAACTGCTGTTACCTCCACCGCCGCCATTGTAGCCTGATCCGCCAGAGCTACCGCCTGGGCGATACTGTGAGCCGCTCATCTTGTCTTGAGTAGACTAGTGAGATGTGAAGAGGCTGTGTGCAGCGAGTGACTCCTGAAAGCGGAGTCAAGGAAAGGAAGGGATAGCCTAGATCACAAGAAAGCGGCTGAAGAATGTGATTAGATACAAGGGCGTGTGATACGTCGATGGCTTTTGGCCTAGTCACTTGATGCGGGATCAGGTTGATGTTAAACGAAGACGGATGAAGAAAGGGCCTGATGGTCAGTTGAGGTGTGAGCATGGAAAGCGGAAGACAATGAATGATTGTGGGCGCAGAGGCGATTTAAGAAGAGAGGGACATATCCAGTAGTCCTTCCATCATTCACCTCAATCCTCGCGGACCCTGTTGTTGCCCCAGGCATCCAGGCACCATGCGCCCTGTGCCCCCGAAGCATGCGGGCCGCCTCCAGAAGGGGCGTGTGCCATACATTTTCTAGCTTTCGTTCTCTAGGACTTGTTCAATCGAACCACTGGCGGTCTGACTCACGATAGACAGCGGGTCTCGTCCCGCGGGAACGCTATAGTGGAGGCATGAGTTCTCCAGGAAGGGAGTCGGCCCTTTTGGTGTCGCGCCAGTCAGGGTAGATGCCGATATGTGGCAAATCGAATCGAGACAATTCTTTGCGCACATGAGTAGTCTGCGCATGCGGGAAGGGCGTAGGCAGACTTGTTGGCTAGGAGATTTATCTGATTGGTCAGGCGCCCATTGGCCCGCCTTCACTTGTAACACGCTTGCACAATAGGTAAATTTCATCCGTGATGCTTGCAAAGCTTTCTCGAAACTCGGCAGCGTGCTGATGGATGATGGTCCGAGCCGCGAGGGAGGCTCCGTGCAGGTTCCCAGCCGATTGGTAAACTAGGCTGCTTCTGCCGCGCTTCGTTGGCCCACCCGGAAATCTGCAAGGTTTTGTGGACCGACAAGGAGACCGTTGACAAGGCGGAGTATATCCAATCATTGTTGCGAGATGCAAGTTGATCGTGTCTCGTGACACCAAGGCTGAAAACGGGAAGAGCCAATGGAGGGCCAAAGACAGGTGATAGCAACTCTACCAATTGAGGATATGAACGTAGTGAGGAGCGCCGATGCCTCCATCCCGTGGGTGATGCAACTTGAGTCTAAATTGGAATTCGCGTGGGATGGCAGCGCCATGTGGCTCTCCACTATACGAGCTGACGGGGTCATAATAGGGTATATGGGGAGTAAAGCGGCCGTCTTTCTGCCCTACCATCGAAACTAGCCTAACCGACTCCTGTTCCCCAGCCGTTGAGCCACATTGACCAGACAGTAGGGCTTCGTACCCAGTACCTCGGGCTCGCTCGCTTGACTATAGTAAGCTGGAGGCATGCTCTCCGCCTACCTTTGCCGACGTGAGTGCCTGAGAAGGAGCTCCTTGCATGCAGCATCAGCAGCACAACGGCGCAAAGCCTTGATTGGATCCTCCATTCCTTCATGTAATCTTACTCGTCTTGATCCGAGCACTGGTACCAGCCAAGTTGACCATAGCGCGTTGTCGTTCTCATGATGCAGCTCAACGCCGCCTTGTCCCACAACGGTAGAATCAGTGGGTAGGGCTAATTATGAGCACGGTCAAACCCGCTAAGAGGTACGTCTATTCGAGCACACTCTCGTTATGTCCAGGCCCGTGGGTGGCACTAAATCTCTTGCGGGTGACCGTTGGATGGGCTGAGAGGGTATATGTGTGTGACATAATTAATCGTATCGAGCTGAAGTATCCGGCGGTATCTGGCATGAAGCTGTGTGAATTCCAGGTATGAGGGAGAGCTGGCAATGGACCTTACTGGCTTCGAAATCGTCTCCACTTATACAACAACAGTTCCTACATCTTCCTATGCCCTCAGCGGAACCCAATAGCCAGTCATCGCTGAGACAGTGATAGGCGACATTCAGGAGAGTCCGACCGTACTTCTGAAAGGTTCGCGCTCGGCCATGCTCGGTGCATCTTAGGCATGTTGACGTGGCAGATGGGCATGAATGGCCTACAAAAGGGCGAAGGTGATCGGCAATACATGCTGGATTGACGACTTCTTCCTCAAGCAACTCACGAATATCGACAGTCGTTGTGAGGTGATAGAAATGCGCTCGACGATGCGCATCATCGTGCGACACGACTAGCTTAACCCCGCCGCCTAAAGCCGCTGGGAGTGATGTCGTCGCAACACCAGAAACTCCCCAGATTGTCGCGCAACAACACCACCCAAGATGCCGGATCTCACCAGTCTCCCACCGGAGATTCTCTTCAGCATACTCTCCTACACCGAGCCAAACCTCAATCCCACCCTCTCCACCTACCCTCTCAACACGCTCGCCGCAACAAACAAACATCTCAACGCCATAGTCGAAGAATACGCGCGCAACCTTCTCAAACGCCATGCCGACATCGTCCTACCGAAGAACACGCGCATCTACACGTGCCGCCGAAAATGGCTAGGCGAAATATGTTACTTCTGCAAGAAGAAGACACAGCGGAAAGCGTGTCTATACAAGAGCATCGCGTGTTGCCTGAAATGCGATAAGCAAGAATTCGAGAAGATGGTACATCCCTCCCATGCATCGCCACCCCTACCTACACACAGTAATGCTAACACATCCAAGACAATGACGCAAGCCATGCAATCCACCCAACTCTCTAAACTTGACCTGTTCACCCCGTCACCGTTGCACCTCGATCTTCCTCCTTTGGTAACAGCACCGTACCCCATCATGGGCGCCGCATGTATCATGCTCTCCGCCCCCGATGTCCGCGCCCGCGCCGCGCAAATACGATTCCAGCTCGGCGATGCAGCGCAAGACGAAGCGTATATGCGCAACCGCCGCGCGAAACACGACCGCATTGTCAAACATTTGCGTATCCAGTACGAGCCCATAGTGGGATGGTACGTGTGTTCGGACCCGGCGCGCGGCGAGGAGGAGGTGCTGGGGAAGGAGAAGAAGAAAACGCCGGGTAGTATGCGCTCGGAAGAGAGTAGGATGGCGTATGCGGAGAAGGCGTTGGAGGGAGAGTGGAGGGCGATGGGCATGGGTGGGTTGGTAGCTGAGGATACGGAGTATATGGCGTGTGTAAGAGAGCGGCGCGCTGGAAGAAGGAGGAGAGAGAGCACAAGTCTAGACTAGCGAGTTGAGAGAGAGAATTGATGATAGAAGGTGCGATGCTTGCATTAGTTGCTTGGTACATATCTCCTGCTTTGCACATGCACGCGCTGTAGAAGTTTTACCTGCTGTGTAGCGCCTACACTCTTTCTTACAGAGAAGAATGCCACCTAAGGAAGGTTAAGAGAGATATAAGAGATTAAGTACATGCTGTGGCGCACGTCTTTGCCTAAGTTGTATATTAAATTATCTACTTTAGGCTTCAACAGCAAGGAATGCTAAGTTCTTCGAAGGTAGCACTAACAAAATCTGTAGAATGTGATAGAGACACCGGCGATGTAGAATGCATAAGGTAGGAGGTGTGAAGGCAAGAAGGCAAGAAATTAAGAACTTAAGGTGTTAAGGAGTTAGAAAGGTAATAATCTAAGAACTTGAGAAGCCAAACAAGTATGAAGTCGAGAAGTGAACAAGATGTAATGGCAACGTTGGTTGATTTGAGGACCCAAGGATGCCAGCTAAGCTTAACCAATACCACCGTTGAAACCCTGGAGTTGAAACCCATACAAGAAGTCCATGTTCCATCCAGCCAACCCAGAAGACATCCAAACACCACCAAGTCCTTGTACCATCCTACCACCCGTTGAGTCACCCAACCACCACCGCCACCAAATCCCATCAAGTCCAACCATCCACCAACCCAGGGCTCACCAGCAGTAATGTCAAGAATAGTGCTCGTCGAAATTGCCGACACCACACTATCATCCCCAGAATTGACCTGAACTTCTAAGAAGCCGCCATCCGGTTCAGATAAGATGATCAACCATCCTGGGGTCCGAAGACACTCAAGAGAACAACAAGAGGCCCAGTGTAGCGCAAGCGCCATTGACTGTCTATCCTCCAACCTTGTTGTCTCGAGGCACTCTCGAGATGGCTTCAATATCCGATGTGAACGTGTCCAACAGTGACAGTGGCTGAACCTAACACCACCGATCCTTCACTCTTGCCAGTCCTTCTGATCCAGACCGCTACCAACTCAAGGGCCAACCATGCAGCCTTGTCATGCATCCCTATGCCACAACTTGACTTTCGCGACGCGCATACGATCGGGAGTGGCGTCAGACTGTCGAAAGCCAAAGGGAAATCGAGCCGGTGCCAGAGAGGTTGATGCCTGTGCCGCGGTGCTGTCGGCGGTAGTGCATGTCGATGAGTAGAGGCAATGAGCCGATGTAGTAAGACGATGCTGGTTCGATGTGCTAATGGGGAAGACCGAAGATGACATGGGTATCAAGATAGATGAAGGTCGAATCGAAGTGAGGTAGGCAGTTTTGACCGAGGCGGGTAGGTGTGAGGCATGCGAGGAGGTGATGTTGAAGGCGAGGCTGAAAGATGGAAGTGAAGTGAAGTCATGTTGACTGTCGACGGACGAGTGAGAAAGGGTTGAAGTTGTTGTTACTCATGATGATTGTTGATAGATGATGTCATACACCATGAGTAAAGGCCAATGTCTAAAAGTGTCAGCCAAACCTGAAGTGAAGTGAAGGAAGGAGAGAGAAGAACTTACTTGAAGAATGCGACCACGATACTGAAATTTGCTGAGTATAGTAAACTTGAGTTGTCGGGAGAGTGAGCGAGTGGGGAGTAAGAGGGTGAGAGGCGGGGGGAAGGGGGTTTATATAGACAGAGGGTGAACCGGCAGATCACCGGCAGTCTGCGCTAGTGCGTCCAAATTTCAAGTGACTGGCGTGATCTGTGGGTAGTTTGCTGCCTGGAGAATGTTCCAGGCGTGTGATATGGCCTAATCTGGTGAGGTGAAGGCGCAGGTGAAGGCAGCTTTGGGAGCGCGAAAACACCAAGAAGCACAGACCAAGAGTGCGCTTTACGACGACGACGTCCTGATTGGCTTGCTAAGGCAGGCCGAAGGCGAGAAAGCTCCAGAGGATCGGTCGGTCACGCTGATTTGATGTGAGAGTACGTACGATCACGAATCTTGTGACGTGCGATCAGTGACACCGAATGCGAACAATAGAATAAGAAAGACTGTACACGTGCATAAAAATGGAAGTCTTGCGTTGATGAGCAAAGTAAGAGATGTGAAGTGAGTCACTGAGTGCACGAGAGAGCGGACAGACAGTGACATCTGGAGGCGGTAGATAGACACTGGAACAGACCACACGAAAGGTGCAACTGAGACGATACGTGAGGCGCTTGCTAGCTTGAAATTCCTCACCATGAAGTCTTGAGGCTAGGTAAAGACTTCGAACAACCATGGGGTATATAGACAGATCACATAGTCCGCAACTTTGTGTTATCAGGGCAACCTAGGTAATGTAGAATTTCTCGCCCACACAGCTCTACAGCGAATACGCATTCCCCCTTTGCGATCAAACTGTTCATTATTGCGACCAATCCTTCTTGCATCTAGCCATTCAGTATCTGCCAGACTTGTCATGACGTGCAGCAGCTATCTACCGGCTGAGGGTCTCGGTCTGGCTCTACGACCAGCGCCGCACCCCCGTTTAGCTCTTCCAAGTATGCAATAAGCTGTTCTTTCAACGCAGCCTCATCTTCCTGTGTAGCCATAACATCACCCAGCCTCCACCTTACCCTCCCAGCAAGCCTCTCCAGCGGCTTCAGTATCCATGCCTTCAGCTCCCAACCCACCGCACTCGACATCTCGCTGTATACACACAGCGTGACAACCTCCAACATCTCCGCCTCTCTCAGGAGCAAGTCGACTAGATCTGCAAGCCACCCGATCGTCTGATACGGCACTTTGTCTTTACGGATTATATTGCTTTCATGGAGGTGACTCCAATTCACCCTTATGCGGATCTTCCTCACGTTCTGGATGGCGCGGAGTATGATTGGGTCCATTGTTTCGTTCAGGGGGAAACTGCGCTCGCGGGACGTCGAATGGAAGGCCAAGGTGACTTTTGAATAGAAGTAGGAGCGGGTTTCGTCGCAGAGGAAGCGACATGTCATAGATAGATCTGTTGGTGGGGCTCTTTGGTCGATAAAGGAGATTAGCATCGATTGTGGGACTGGAAACGGGAAGCTTTTGGGTTCCTGGCGACAGAGGAGGTCGTAGATTTCATAACGCAGTTCTTTTGGTAGACGCAGGAGCGGGCTGGATGGAGTGGACGAAGCCATGATGAGCGGGTTATGTGGAGGCGGCAGAGGATGTGCAATGGATTGGGGTAGGAATAGCTACTAAGAGGTTAGGATATGAAGCCTCAAGGAAGAGGCAAGGCTGAGAATGGGCAGGTACTGTCAGAAGGTGACATGTGGTTTTGCGCTGTGGCAGTTGGCTCTCATGCACGATGACGTATAACCTGGTATGCTTCGGGTGATCAGGTCATGGACGAAGAGCTCGAGTTCGCAACATCCCTGAGCCTGACCTTCTCAGGCAGTACAACCAACAGTAGACCGTTGCATGCATCGTTGCCACTAGCAGGCCACAAGTAAACCAAAGAGCACAACATTGAGACAAAAGCATGGAACTGTTACATTTTCCGTAATCACTCCAACGCCATGCGAATGCAACATGATTTCTCAGAAAGCCGATGATTATCTAACTCCACAGCCTCAACGTTCCATCCGCACCAGCCGACACACACCACGGCTCTCTAGGATGCCAATCCAGACCCATAACACCCAGCCTGCTCTTGACCTTGTGTCCGCGCAGTACCTTCAAAGGAACGATCGTAGCGTTCTCCATGAGGTCACCCACGACCTTTCCGTGGAAAATCTGGATAGTACCGTCGTCGGAGGTATCGGCGAAGAGAGGGAGACCACCTTGGTGGAAGCGTACTGAACGAATGGCTTCCTTGTGGAAACGGAGGGTTTTGTAGGGTTTGTTGGAGAGGTCGAGGTCGTGCCAGAGGAGGCGCTGGATGGGAAGTTAGTATATGTTCTAGTATTGTTACGGTATGTGGAGAATTTACCTTGTCGTATGTTCCGACGATGATGTTGTCACCACCGGGATGCACGTCGATGGATGAGATCCATTTAGCACCTGGTTGCAGGATCTTGACGAGTTCCTGCTTGGCGAGATCGTAGCTGCGGATGGTGTTGCGGGTGGCGACGAAGAAGATGGCTTTGGAGGGGTGGAATTGTGCGGTTTGCGCGATTCCCTTGAGGCGGCGGAAGGGCAGTTGAGTGAGGTGTTTCGAGACGGTGTGAATGGCTACTGCTGTGCTTTGACCGCGGGGCGATACCGTGGCGAAGTAGTCTCCTCTCCGGTGCCAGTTGACGATTTTGACAGCTGCTCGAACTTCGATCTGGACGAGGACGCCCTTGTTCTCCAGACGAGCGCCGGGACGGCTCCACTTGCCTGGTGCTGCTTTGGGTGCTTCGCCAAATGCTGTTGTGGTGGGCTTCGAAGCTGCGTAACCCCAACCAGCGTCGAGGACCTCGCGACTGGCTTGCTCTACGTCCGGTGAAAGAAGCGTGAAGGGTACGATGAGGTAGACGTTCTCTCCACAAGCAGCAGCCACTACGGATGTCTCCTTGGTGGGTCTCCATTGTACTGCGTCCACAGCCTCCTCATCTGATAGCTTTGCGTTCCAGACCTGGCGACCTGTCAACAGCTCCCAGACCCTCACATAGCCGTCGTCACCTCCACTCGCAACAAAGATACCGTTGGGATCGACGGAAACGCAGCGAACGCGTCCTTCTTGTCCGCGGTATATCGCTGCGCAGGTAGTCGGGAAAGGCTTGAGCTCTTCTGGGTTCGGTAGCTTAGGTAGCAGTGATTCAGGGTCGATGTTGAGTCGATTTCTCCGGATACGAGGAGCCAAGTAAAGATCCAAACTTCGCTCAAATCGTTCCTTGACGAATGTCTCGTAACCAGGAACCTTGCGCAGCGCATCGTAGTTCTTGGGCAGGAAGTCCGTCTCCCGCTCCTCGTCGTCTTGCTCCAACCACTTCTGCTCCTCAACCTTATCCGGTAGGTACTCGGGCGGCGGGTGGTAACTCGCTTCATAGCCAGGCGGTGGTAGCTTTGGGGCGGGAATGTGCATCGTGTTGTCAGGCCGGGGCTTCTCGTCCGCCCATACGTCAAAGGTGAAAACGTCCTGCTCTTCTTCCTGCTCCTCGGGTGCCTTGTATGGCTTGATGCGGCCTTCTCTAATCGCCTTGACGATTTTCATGACGCGCTTCGCTTCGTGCTTGGAAGGAATGAATCGTCGCTTAGGCTCTGGTGCAGCGCTGAGCGGCATGATCTCCGTGTTGACGCCAGAGAAGTAGGCGACCATCTCTGGGTATGGGTCGTAACCATCTTCCACAATCTCGTTCCTTGTGAGCCTCTTGAGCACATCCAGCTCCTCGGGCGACAGATTTAGTGGCTTTCCTGTCTGGGGATCCGTCAAGCCTGTCCAGCCCTTGGGTATGTCGATACTGTCCAACAGCGCATCCAGCGCCTCTCCCTTCGCCGGGCGCATGATCTTCTTGCCGTTGATATCGTAGCCAATATGCGGGTATTCATCATAGTACTTTAGATCGATGTTGCCGATCGTGTTCGTAGCTTCGGCGTCAGAATCGTCGGATTCGTAGACCGGATCGATTTCCTTGTAGATGTAGCGGGTATTGCCGTGCGCATCGGTTGTGACAGTGTAGTTGGGCTTCAGGTCTTCATCGTCGTCCAGTTCCCCATTTGCGCCACCCACGTCCAGATCCATCTCGTGTGTAGGTACACCCTTCTTCTTGCGCAGTGGAACATCCGAGGTATTCAAGTTGCGCATTTCCTCACGAATCTGCTCTGCATCGCTATCTTCCTCCTCCTCTTCATCTTCGTCGGAAAGACCCTCAATCACACTGCTAGCATCGGTATCGGCGCCTTCATCTTGGCTGTCGTCCGAGTCGTCCTCGGAATGCGACAGGATGCCCTCGAGCAGTCCATCGGCCAATTCACCCTCAGAGTCACTGGGCTCGGGCGCCGGACGCGTCACTACCTTTCTCTTGCGCGGGTTGACTGACATTTTCGGCGTTTGATGTTTCCTCCTCACGTTCACCGCGGACTGTCGCAACTTCCCAAAAATTATCGCTAGCGTCCAAGATTTCGGTTTTAGCGCGTCGCACGTGCCAGGCTACCATCAGCCAAGGATATCCTCGGAGAACGTACAGCAACTTTGTCGCAAACTCCGCAATTCTCTGTTTACCCCACGCAATTGCAACCACCACCTGCATCTGCTACGCCAAGACACCATACCAGACTGATTGCAGCAGTAATTCCACCGACTCACGATGGCGACGCGCCACACTGATTACGATCGTAGGCGCCACTCCCCGCGCCGCGACCGTGACCGCGACCGCGGAGATCGTGGAGACCGCTATGGCGAAGGTCGCTTTAGAGACGACCGTGACCGACGGGACCGCCGTGACGACCGCCGAGAGCCAGACCGTCGCGATCGCGACCGCGGCGACACGTACCGACGACGTTCGCGCTCCCCGCCTCGCCGCCGCGACCGATCCCGTGACCGAGGAGACCGTGCCGACCGTGGAGACAGCTACAGGCGCGACCGCGACGGTGATAGAGATAGGCGTCGCCGCTCTACTTCCCGCCGGCCTGGTTCCCGTTCATCTGCTACACCTGCACCAGGCTCAGACAGCTGGAGGCGTGATGACGGCAGACGCGACGACAGCAGGCGCGATCGGCTAGATCATTCCTCGCGCGACGACAGGAAGAAAGACCCCGAGACACAAGCCAAGGACAAGCTGGCTGATCGCGCTGCGAAGCTGGCCGAGTGGAAGAAGCTCAATGCCGAGCGCCTGCTCAAAGAGAAGACCGACACGCCCGGCTCCGGTGCTTCGCCAGCTGCCACTGCACCTGCAACCCCGTCAGTTACTGCGACGCCCCCGCCAGCTCCGGCATCCGAGGCCAAGCTTGTTGATACCGCTAAGACCAAAGTCATTCCGCAGAAGAGTGCTACTGAGAAAGTCAAGCAGAAGCAGCCCGAGAAGTCGACCTTCAGGCTGGATGCTTCCGCCGCAGCCCGTCCTCTGGACATGGCCAAGCCTGCGGGCAAGACTGTCACCAACGCTAGCAGTATGTTCACCCCCAATCCTCTTCCTATGAACCACAAGCTTACACCTACAGACGTTCCCATTGTTAAGGGCAATGGTAACATTGGCTCGTTCGGTCTCAAGACCAAGACTGCTGCTGAGCAGGAGGAGGAAACTTCCAGAAAGGCATTGCTCGATGAGGAGGGCCCGACTCGGAAGCGCAAGCTACAGGCTCTCCCCGAATTCACCGCCAACGAGGCGCCCTCGCCCGAAGCTGACGGCGACGACGCGGACTCTCCAATGAGTGACATCGGCAGTGATGACGAGAACAACGCGGAGCTTCAAGCTCGCCTTGAGAAGCGTCGCGCTGAGATCGCCAACGAGAACCAAGAAGACACTGCCATGGAAGAGGCAACTGCTGTCGAAGCCCCTGCCGACGACAAGATGGAAGTTGACGAAAATGCAGGCGCCGAAGAAGATGACGTCGATCCTCTCGATGCCTTCATGGCCGATCTCACTGAGCCACAACCAAGCCGCGGAGCTCCTTCGGGCCAGACCATGTTTGCTGACGAGCTTGAGACTGTCGAGACCTCCGTCGAGCATGAGGACCTTAACGAACTTCGCGCTGCTAAGAAAAAGAAGAAGAAGGAAGTGCCTACTGTCAACCACGATAAAGTTGAGTACGAACCGTTCAGGAAAGACTTCTACACTGAGCCCTCCGAAGTTGCACAGATGACACCCGAGGAAGTCGCAGATCTTCGCCACGAGCTCGACGGCATCAAGGTCAAGCCTGACGACGTTCCCCGCCCTGTTACCAAGTGGGCGCAGATGGGCCTGCTGCAAGCTACCATGGATGTCTTTACCAAGATCGGCTACGAGAGGCCCACAGGTATCCAGTCTCAAGGTGTACCTGCAATCCTCTCTGGCAGAGATCTCATCGGAGTTGCCAAGACCGGTTCTGGAAAGACACTTGCATTCGGTATCCCTATGATTCGTCATGTCCTTGATCAACGCCCACTGAAGCCAACTGATGGGCCTATCGGACTGATTCTCGCCCCAACCCGAGAGCTAGCATTGCAGATCGTCAACGAGCTCAAGCCATTCCTTGCGGCATCGGGTGTTACCATCAAGTGTGCCTATGGTGGTCAGCCCATCTCTGAACAAATTGCTATGATCAAGCGTGGTGGCATCCACATCCTATGTGCAACTCCTGGCAGAATGATTGATCTGACCAACGTCAACCAAGGCCGAGTGCTTTCTTTCCGCCGCATCACTTACGTTGTCCTTGATGAAGCTGATCGAATGTTCGATATGGGCTTCGAGCCTCAAGTCATGAAGATTCTTGCGAATGTACGTCCTGATCGCCAAACTGTCCTCTTCTCAGCAACTATGCCCAAGAACATGCAATCTTTGGCTCGCAAAGCATTGCACAATCCAGCCGAAATCACCATCGGTGGTAAAAGCAAGGTAGCTCCCGAGATCACTCAGATCATCTCTGTTGTACCGAACAGTTATGAGAAGAAGATCAACAAGACTCTACTATATCTTGGTCAGTTGTTCTCTGAAGACGAGAATGCCCAGGTATTGATCTTCACTGAGCGGCAAGAGACAGCCGAAGATCTCCTGTCCAAGCTTTACAAGTCTAAGTATTTCTCTGTTAACACGATTCACGGAGCTAAAGATCAGACTGATCGTAACGAAGCGATCAATGACTTCAAGCAAGGTGTTCTTTCGATTCTCATTGCCACATCTGTAGCCGCCCGTGGTCTTGATGTCCCTGGACTGGCTATGGTCTTGAACTTTGATTCGCCAACCCATCTAGAAGATTACGTGCACCGCTGCGGACGTACCGGCCGTGCTGGCAACAAAGGTACAGCTGTTACGCTCATCGAGAACCCCGGTCAAGAGCGCTTTGCTCTTCACATCGTCAAGGCACTCAAGGAGAGCGGTACAGAGGTGCCTCCAGAGCTTCAGGAGATGGCTAACACATTCCACGAGAAGGCCAAAGCAGGTACTGAGAAGTACTATGGCGGTTTCGGTGGCAAGGGCCTCGACAAGCTTGATGCAGCGCGCGCTCTTGAGAAGAAGCGCGAGAAGCGTCAACTCAAGCTGGAAGGCGTGGACGAGAGCGAAGACGAGGAAGAGATCGCACCGCTCATCAAGAAGCCCGAGGTTGCTGGTCCAACTGGTGTCGTTAACGCTTCTGGTCCTGCTGCAGCTGCCGAGGAAGATCAACCACACTGGATGAAGCTACTGAACAGCAAAATCGTGGTCAGCAAGACTGAGCGCCCCGACGCTACCGCTTCTGGCAAGCCTATGACTGCCCGCGAGCGAGCCATGGCCGCTGCTTCCAAGGTTGACGGAAGGCTGAGCAAGAAGGGCATGATTCACGCGGGTCAGCCCATCGACAACAAGGGCCCCGACGCAGGTCTCTACCACTCAACCATCGAGATCAACGACTTTCCTCAGAAGGCTCGATGGGCTGTCACCAACCGCACCAACGTCGCCAAGATTTTGGAGCAGACTGGTGTATCCATCACGACCAAGGGCAACTTCTACCCCGCTGGCAAGCAGCCAGGTGAGAATGATCTGCCCAAATTGTACATTCTCGTCGAGGGAGACACCGAGAACATCGTCACTCAGGCTATGATGGAGCTCACTCGTCTTCTGCGCGAGGGAACCATTGCGGCTGAGGATGCCTCTGCGACTCGTGGTCCGACCGGTCGTTACAGCGTGGTATGAGAGGTTCACTTCAGTAAGATATGCTCGATTTACTCTCTGTCATTTCAGCGTTGTTTTCTCAGCGTTACTTTCTCATCCATGGCGTCAGTCTACTGCATTGAGAGGAATGGTCAAATGGATGGATGGATGGGAATGGCATGGGACGGAGTTAAAGGTTTCGACAAAAACACCATCGTGTCTGCTTCGACACATGCCTCTGGGCTGTACCAAAACGTAAGTTCTCACTTTATCCCCTCCTTTCAGAGTATTCGTTGATTTACACAACCCGTCACAGGTATCTACTCGGTCACTGAGCCTTTGTCAGGCAACGACATCATTGTATATTAATGGGCTCGGCCACATGGTTCGCTGATATGCGACATGCGGGGAGGGAACGGCGAGTCACGACTCTGGTACTTCTGGTTGTAACCTCATGTGGTATGAAGGAGGAGCTTCAGATAGTTTCCAGATGAACAGCAGTGCTGCCTACTACATGCGTCTCTTCACGTGTTTCTAACCACCTATATCTCGCGGTGTGTACTCCAACTTGCCTGACGGCACTGACCCCCGATCTCCGGAGACGTGATACTGCATCGCGACCTCATAGCGGGCCTATGCGCTGATCCTGTATACTCCATCAGTAAACCTCACCTCAACATCATGTTCTGTGTGACAATCAATACATGAAGACGCCAAGCGACATTCATTCATTCATTCCTCAAACCCAGATGCGTGGTACGATTACGCCGTATTGCCCTGAACACTGATGACGCAGCTTTACAGCACGCACATACGTCTCACCGCACCGATGACATATCGCCTTTAAAGCTGCAGCTGCATCATCTGAAAAACTCTCCTCGGGGTACATCCATCGGAATATGTATGTGTAGGTGTAATGGCGCCATTGCTGCATATCGCATATTGAATGATCCCATCCGACCGACAGTCTGCCGTGCAAAACCTCGGCAGCGTGCGTCTCCATCTATTTCCGGGCACGCAGGGGAGGCGCGGACCTTGACGAAGAAACATGTCTTAACGAGAGCGAAGCTGGACTGTTGACGATGCAGGTGTAAGGGGCGTGCATGCGTTGCTCGCAGAAAAGACGCACAGCACAGCCCTGCTGCCCCGTGGCCCTCACTTGCAAGCTGGATTGGGATATCCCTTGGTCTCGGATGCGGCTCGGCGAACCCAAGGTCAGGGCAGGTTTTACAGAACGGGGGTAAAGCGGTGTCGGCTGGATGGCGAAGGATGCACTGGGTGTGATGAGTCCCACGGAAGGACGTTCCGCATGGTTTGGTTGGTTGAGCGTGGTTGTTGCGGAAGTGGGGACCTGGTGAAGGTTAGGTGGGGTGAGGTTTGCGGTCAATCTTTCATGTATTGGACTGATCTTGGTCGCTGAAGAGGTTGAAGGAAGAGTAGCAAGTTTGATTAGCTGAGTCGTTGGAGGTATCCTTGCGCAATTAGGCGTTCGACGTCGCCTTGCCGGACGTAGAATTGCGAATTTTTGGTAAGGGTTATGGAGCTATGATCGGTTAGCTGGGAAGAAATAGTATACGGTTTATGGGTTTCAGACGGAAGGGTTGTAGCCTTCGGCATGCCGAGATGGCGGTCACGTACCCGTATTCTGTTTGTATCTCGCCTGCGTCTTTCAAGACGCGTACGTCGATGAAGAGATCGCGCGGCGGCTCCAGACTCCCCGTTAGATCGATATCGGTCCATTGCCCCTTGTACGCAGCGAGCAGGTCACTGTATTGCCTCACATATTCCTCCTCTTCGGGACTCAAACTGCTCTCTTCTTTTCCGCCTCCAGCGCCCATTCCGCTGCCCCTCCCCCCTTCTCCACTGTGGTCCTTGCTGCCTTGCTGTTCCAGCACGTCGACACCTTCCCAGCAGTATTCTTCTAGTTTGTCGCTCCGCACCCGGTGGTAGGCGAGTAGACACCGCTTGTTCCGGCGCATGCACAGGTGGTTTACGAGGAGGGCGCAGGCGGTTTCGGGGGATGCGCTCGGGTTGAAAGACCCGCTGTAGGGGGCAAGGATGGATGAAACGTCTTTATCAAGATCGCGCACTTCCCGCACTATGGAGCGCGTGAGCTCTGAGGCGTAGGGTGGGAGATGGGGGAGGGCGAGGGTGCGTTTTGCATTTTGGACCTGGGAGTGTTAGAGGGGCTGTATAGTATTGACGTATGGGTGAAATGATTTTACCAACTTATTGGCCGCTTCTCCATACATGGTTGTGTTCTGCTTTATGGGTTTTTTGAGTGTCTTCCCCTCGGTGGTACAGAAATGTGGTGAGCAAGCAAACGCGACGGTCACTGCAATTTGTAAGGTGCGCAGAAGTAGTAGACTCTTCTGTATATACAGATCGCAATAGATTCGACTGTGTAGTTTCTTACTTGAAGATACAACCAGGATGGAATAAGTCAAACAAGAGCAATTGGCGTATGCGATGTAACAGTAACATTGGCAGGACCCTCCGCGAAGGGCAGGCGCGTTCGTGACGCGGGGGCAGGTGGGGCGGGGACGGGTCTTGGCTTGTCGAGTCCAACTTCAAACATCTTCTGGCAATCCCTTTCACAATGCCAGCAATCCACGCAACCTCATTCGCCAACATCGCCAAACTCTCGGCTGGCATCGTACCTGCTACCACACACACGAAAAGATCAATCGGTGATACGCATGATGAACACGACATCACGTCAGCATCGCGTCGAGACAAGAGCAAAGGAAGATTGAACTAATATGTGCATCTCGATCTACGCATGCGATAACACCATGTCTAAATGCTCTAAGCCCCCGAGCTTTTGGTCCGATCAACGCCTTGAATGCTGCCCATCATGCAAGAGCTCATCAGAAATCTGCCAACGATGCTGGAAAGAACGGTGCAGTAATAGCCATGAACGACGTCGCACGTAAGCGTTCCAACAACACGACCACCCAGAACGCACTAGCTAACGTGATATAGATCACTACTCTCCCATCCATTTGTCGAACTCCGACTCTTGTTCGAGCGACACCATAGTCAAGTCTGACTGCCAAGCTTGGTACTCATCATGCGGAAGATCTAACAAGCCATCAAGATTGTGTTGCTCAAGCCTCTCTTCTTGCATGTCCGGATGAGGATTCCGGTACACGGCATTCTGCAGCGCTGAAGGGTCGATGTCTGAATGACTACCTCCGTCATAAGCCAACAACAATGGATCCAGCTGCCCATCGTCGAATGATGAACTCATATTCGGGTGTAGCTGTTGCAGAAGATCGTTCGCATTACCTCCAGGCAATCCCAGCATCGATGGATTCGAGTGGAACTGCATGGATGGTGTGTCTACTCTCCTCATGTGCATGTCGTCTGCGTAGGTTGGACTGATCTGCATATTCGGGTAGGCGGCAGTCTGGTAGTACTGATTATAGAGCTCGTTGTGGCTTATCGGCATCGGCATCGGTCGTCCTTCGTTCGTCATCTCCCATGAGGACCGGTTGATACCATTACCGTTCGGTCCGAACGACTGATCGAAGTACTCCACGGCAACACCATTTAAGGGATAACTGAATGATCGATCGATTCTCCTGGCCTGTCGGGGACGAGATCGACCACCACCGGGAGCCCATTCGGCATCGTCAAGGTCGCTAGGCTCTTCTTCATCAGACCACTCGCTTCTTCGCTTTCGGGCCGGGGCTGCTGTCTTACTAGGCGAGAACTTGTACGTCGGGTGTGCGTTTTGGTGGTTGATCCTCTCGATCTTTGCGTACTCGTTGTATAGCTCACGAATCTCCGGCGGCTCCAGCGGCCAACTCTCCCCCGCTACGGACGATACGATTTGGTGGTTGTTTTGAAGGCACCACGACTTGGCCCTTTCTGCGAACGCCGACCGGTACAGCATGAACGAGTTCATGGGACGAGTGATGTATCCATTTCTCTTCTCGACTTCGCGTCTCCTAACATCTGCTGGCCTGTTCACCCATTCCTCCATGTTCTTGACTGGGATATGATGTAGCTCTTTCGTCAGTATGCTCAACGGCGCAGTCAGCTTGGGCGTCTTGTGTTTCTCATTCTTCGGTGCCTTCGGCTTCTTCGCTCTCGGTGTCGCCTTCCGTCTAGGACTGGTCTCCTTCAGGCGTGGAGAGCTGGACGATGTCATTGCTCGTCCGCTACGAGTTGTCCTACGCCCAGAATCTTCATCGTTCGCCGATCTCGGTGTCGGCGGCGAGAATAAGGCCTGCTCTTTCTATCGTCCATTAGCAATCGGATCAGAGACAACCGGCGAGATTGCTTACCTGCATGCCGTTGTACGGTCCGTTCTGGTAATACTCCGCTGGTGGACCATATCCCTCCTGTACCTTGATTAGCATGGTTAAATGTGTGAAGACGCAGGGACTCTTACATATTGTATACCTGGTCCGAGCCCACGAGGATAGTTGTCGGCATGTGACGCATGTGAAGGGATCCCTTCGTGCGCCACCGAGCCTGGCGAGCCGTAACCTGTCTCACCGAACGAATAGCCGCGATCGACGCCATATTGCGCAACTGGGTGCAGCCTGGACTGATACTCTGACCCAGCATTCGGTGGGGTCGGAGGATGATGTTGGACGAGCGTATCACCCCTCATCATGGCGAGTGTTAACGCACAACTTAGTTGCTGCGACAGTGGAGATTGCGGCCTGCCGATTGGCCTTGTTTCTGGACTCAACGCAACGTTTAAGCGATGACGATCGATAATTGAACAGAGCAAGCGCGGCTGCAATGGATGAACAGACTCTTTTGTTGGTCAAAAGCCGCGCAACATCAAGACCGAAGGATGATGTTGCTTCTGGATACCGAGATGCGTTCGTTGGTCTCTCGACAAGATGCTGGATCAGGCTGTTCTGTTCCAGATATCGTCCTGGATATGTGTCAGTAAGTCTCGCGAATGTGTCGCTCTTTGCTGGGTTTGCTTCACCGCAATGATGCATAGCAGTTCGTAAAGTGTTCAGGGAACGAACCTGTTGCAGTTACCCGCTTCTCACCGGCGCCAAGGCTTTGGTGCAGAGACAATCAGCGTGGACGACTATGCGATACCAACTCACAAGTCAGACACCGCCGTACTGTTTGAGTTGTGTTGTTCCGGCCCGTGTCTCTTTGTGGCGAAGGCAGAGCTCGAGCAAAGTGTGAAGGACAAATCAACGGAGAAGGATTCTTTGTCCGGGATTCGTCGCCAGTAGGTATTTGTAGCGACTACACAACCTCGAGGTCGACTGCTCACGTATTGTGTATAGTGGACCTAGTCGTCTGAACATGGACAAAGGCACTACCGGATTGGTGCTGGCTGGGCGCGCTTGACACACTCAGACGTCGCGCTGCTTTTGGCCTGCGAACCTCTCAAGCGATGAACTACCTATGAAATTGCGCAAAACCTAGCCTTCTGGTCCGTTCACGTTTCGAAGTCGAAAATATCATGTCCGTCCTGTTGTGGGGTTGAAAGCGGCCCTCAGCCCCTCCATAGCGACATCTATAGACGGAAGCTACCCTCAATCTGGGCGCCCTTCCTCTCAAATCGCCTACCGTAAGAAGCTGTCTACCAATCTCAACAGGGGTGTACGATGGCTTGCAGCAGTCATGTGCACTGGGCGCTCGCTATAGCAAGCCACACGCTCACTGGTATCCTTAGCCTCTAGAACTACCCTTGGGTTTATGTTCCGCCAGAACATGGGCTGCATTCCTGCACCAATTGCATCACCAGGGGCTCGCGGTCCCCTTTTTCAGCAACCAATGACATAGATGGTACATGACCAGTGATTTTCCCAAGGCCGAAGTTGGTTGGTCGACCAAAACTTGGGTTATTTCGCTACGTAGTCAAGCCTAACGTGCTGTTCATGGATGGATGCAGCTCTTTATGTCAGAACACTGACAGCTGGTCATACTTGGCAGGGCTGACCACGACACCACGATTCTTAACCTTCAAACCGCACGTCAACATGCAACTACACAGTCAATCTACAGGCGGCATCAAACTAGGCACATCTCAAACACTCGATCTCAAACACATTATCATGATTTTGCGGTCGCCGGACAAAGGGTAGGGTCGGTACGGCAATCCCGACAGGCTGGTCACGATGCGCCCCCGCGGCGAGGTTCAGGTCTGTGTTGACCGCTCAAGCTCAGAATAATTCCGTCTATCTTGCCTCGCGGCTATTGAACCCAACATGCCGCAGCGACGACATTTGCGGTAAGCCCGTCACGGTCAACAGGCCCTCAAAGTCCTCCGGTGACAGGCCGCGGACACCTGGGCAAGGTCCTGCATATTGCATGCATACAGCAGAATTTCGGTTGCTTCCGGTCGATCGTGTTGACATGGGGACCTGCCTTTGGAATGCGTATTATCGCCATTTCGGCACCACGACCAAACAGTTACAGCCTTGTGCGACCAGGTTTGACCGAGCCTCAAAGACGACAGTGATTGGTTCGAGCAAGCACGAAACAAAAGTGGAGACCACAGTCTGGAGTATTGCTTTGAACCAAGAGGCTTGAACGAGTTCGTACTGTTTGAGCATGCTACTCTGACCGGTCTACCCAAAAATGAACGCAAACGGACTATCACCATGTCCAAGTGCTCTGGCAGCATCGCGAAGGTCCACACCAAAACACATGGTTAATATCCATGGTGGGTATAGCATTGTCGATTCGAGCTACTCGTATTCACAGGTGTCGAGAGCATCATCTGCGTACGTGTGTGTGATCGACACCGTGGTTGTCAATGTCTGCCTCCACTGACCCAACTTCTGTATTACCTAGATAGGCTATATCTCCGTCAACTTCACCAGCTATCGCAATTGCAAGAAACCGTTTCCGCAATTCGCCATACGTTCATCCCGTCCACGGGCTAGAGAGATAAGATCCGCTGGTTCTACCCGTCATCGACCCGGATGTTTTCGGTCACAGACCTCTCCGCGCCTCCTTCCACTTTTTACAACGACTATCTACACCTAAAACGCTCGGTACCTTGCAATAACTGCGAACCAAGAGATGTTGTGCTACCATTCTGCGGACGCTAAGAGCTACAGTCAGCCCCCATTGTGCTAGAAGGGTTTGGCGGTTGAGCGGTACCCCACTTCCCAGTATTGTTACCATGGGACGAGCTTCTGGCACGGAAATTCCGTCAATGGTGTGATTGAAACCACCAATATCATCGCGCTCGAAGTAATCTACACTCAAGCTTTGGCCCTTTTCTGCTCACGGCACGACAAGTGCCGCGCCACCGGCACACTCGCATTGAAGATGCAGTTGTATGACATCTTACACGCTTGAGTACCTAGTCGCCTCATGTATACACGCCTTCGGCACCAGGAAACTGGCGCTGGTACGCTAGTAGGCGCTCTTGCAGTAGGCTAACGGTCGCAGTTCGATCCAGAAACTATGCCGCGAGGTACCCATATACCGAGCGATGCTTGGTACGGCTGTCATGCAAGTATCGCACGATGTGCCTTGCATTCTTCAATGTACCTTGATGAAAACTTACCCGTTCCAGCACGATCAGAAGACACGGCACAGTGGCACAGCCGACGAAGCTCCCACCAAAAGCTTACGATATATCTATGGCGTCGAGGCAATACCCCAGCATGCCGCTCAGTAACTGGACGCCTCTGTCGCTTCTGGCGCGAAGGCGCTTATCTCGGATAGTTTTCCTGGCTAAAGTAGGTGTAGGTATGTGACGAGTAGCGCAACAGCGTCAGGGGCAGCACTTGTCACAACACGTGCAAGATCAGAGCCTCCGCTCGATCATCGCTTTCCAACGGTGGACTAAGGTCGTCGTAGACCCAGCGCCACTGTCAGCCTGGAGATACGCCTCTTGCTTTACCCCTCATTTCACGTCAAGCCCGAATCCTTCTCCATTCCATTCGGCTAAAACGTCAGCGCTGTTCACCACTCAACTCACCTTATCTCTTTGCTAAACCGATACGGCTTAAAGACGACATGGGTCTTTCTTCAACCAGCTAGCATTGTGTTACGCCACCCCATGGAGTCGGTACACGCTAGCACGTGATGTCACTAACGCTGCGCTCCTGTCGCTTACCCCAGTCTTTAGTCGACGCCCATCCGCAACGGCTGCCAATCTGAATGTGGGAAATGCTGATTCCTCTAGAAAGTGGCGAAAGTGCATGTTCGCATTAGCTTGCGTTTCTTGACAGACGTACACTTGTTGAGTTATCTGACTTCGCATCACACCGCACAAGTGCGCGCGATATGCGATGGCCGTTTCTAGTGCAGAAGGAGGCCAGGGTATCCTCGCAGTATAATGTACCAGTCATGCGGCGCACACTTCGTCCAGTGGTTGCTCGTTCGATTGCAGGTGTAAGTCGACAGCAAATACCTTGCGTCTTCGGTAATCAGAACTCTTGCAACTTTCACAGTAGCAGAGTCGACAAAGAGACCCCAATTTTCTCGTGCAATGGTAGAAACAGTGTCGAGTCAATTTTCACTATGTCGCTGAAATGATGCACTGCGTTCACGACGTCATTAAAACATGAGCTCGTCCATACGATATGAGCAACACTGTGCTATGCGAAAGATTTAAGGAGACAATGGATCGATCGAATAATGAGGCAAGACAAGCATGAGAGGTAAACATCCGTGTGGCTGAAGCTGGGTTTTGTTTGCGCAGATAAACTCCAATACAATATCATTAGTATCCCGCAAATCTACCTATAGACTACGTTTTCGTAAGATAGGACTTTGTTGGAGGCGAGTAATTGACAAGAAACCCAAGACATGACCGACCAAAATAGACCGATGTCGTCAGCAGACATCTCGCAGACTAGCGAGAATTATGAAGCTGCGTTGCCAAAGTCTTTGGATGAATCAGGCGCAATACACGAGACAGAACAGGAACAGCACGACGAGCCCGCCTACAAAGAGATGCAACAAACAATCAGACCCCCAACACGAACAAACGCTTCTTCTTTTGCTGCCCCAACAAGAGCATCCGAAGCGAAGAAGAATGAGAAGATTGAGCTGGCCCAGTATGTGAAGAGGTCGACGTCGACAAGAGAACCGTCTAGCCGGCCTGGTAGTGCTATGCGACAGCATTCGACTTCTGGGTTTGGTAGTAGACCACAGAGTCGTCAGTGGTGGGGGGTTAGTACGCCGATGGGGGATAGGGGTGGTGAAGATGAGGTGGATGATGATGATGAGGAGGAGGAGGAGGAGGAGGAGGTAAATGATGTTGATGAGAATGAGGTAGATGATGACGGGGCAGATGTCGACAATGATGACTCTAGTCAATTTGATAGCGATGTGGAAGATGAGGGAAGCGGAGAGGAAGAAGAAGAAAACCGGGCAGTGTCTATCCTGGAAGGAAAGCCGCTAGGGAAGAAGGACCTAGAGGGAAACAAGCTAGAAGAGGAAGAGCTAGAAAAGCAAGCACAAGAGAAAGTATCAGAGCCCGAAGAAGAGTTGACCACACAGGAAGAGGGGCAACCGTATGACTTGGAAGATCTCTTGGCCCAGGAAGAGCCACAGGAGCATCACGTTGAAGATTTCAATCCTGATGTTCAGGAACTACGGCAGCGGGAATTACCTTTGACGCAAGACGATACGGCTCCAGTGTCACAAGAAGATCATGTCGAGAATGTGGAAACACAGGTCGCGGCACCTCAAGATCAGATCGAGAGCACGTCGTCACTTGGTCATGACGAAGGTGGCAAGAATAGTGTGACAACCATCTCAGAGGACGTCAACAACGTCGCACCAGCCGAGATCGTCGCAAAAGTAGGGAGGCTGGAAGTCGAAATGCAAAAGGTGGAAGAACAGCGCGATGAGGCAATGAAGCAACGTGAGACAGTACAACAAGAACTAGTTACAGCCAAAGAACATGCTGAGAAGCTGAAGCAGGAGCGCGACGAGCTGTCAGATCAACTTCGTGAAACTGAAGCCAAAATTGCAGCGCGCAACGCTCGCGAGCCAGGATTACCTCCTCTTGAAGCGGTTGAAGCGGAGAACAAGACCCTTCGGATGGCAATCGATAAGACGAAATCGAAACTTAAAGAGAGCGAGATAGAGCTGCATGATGCGAGGGAGACTTGCAAGCAGCTTGATGACAACCTGACGGAGGCAGAAGAGAAGGTAAAAAACAATGAAGAGTCTATCCGAACATTATACGAAATCGTTGACAAGATAGCGGAAAATCTGCCCGAGGTTGCGAACTTTCCGGACTCTGAGCTTGACGGCATATTCCAGACCATGGGACAGGACACCGAGGTTGGAAGACTGCGAGCCAATTTTCTCAAATTGATCAAAAGAGTTAACGGAAACTCTAGAGAGCTGAAAGAACAGAAGGAGGATTTGAACCGTCAGCTAGTGGAGGAACGATTCGAGAACGCTAGGCTGGAGAAAGCCATGGATATCGAGAGGACGGGGCTACTGAGCCCCGGTTTGCAAAGCCCACGGGACATGCACATGGGTAAAAATGAATGTGAACAGTACTACAAGCGGGAGCGACATAGACGCCAAGGTGTAGAGCAGGAGCTCGCCAAAGCGAAGAAACAGCTGTCACAACTCCAGCCCGAGAATGAGAAACTACAGTCAGACCTCACTATGGCGGAAGAAGAGCTCGCAGAGCTGCGCCCCAAAAACGACAAATTGGAAATGGAGGCCAAGGGATGGAGGGAAGAACTTGAAGAAAACAAGGTACAATTTGAGCAACGCAGCCTCGCATTCGAAGCCAATATCTCCGAGCAACAGCGAGAGAACTTCCGGTATATCAGAGACTACTACAAAAAGGTCAAAGACCAAGCCCATTGGGAAGTCCGGGGCCTCCAACAAAAGCTCTCGGTAGCAGAGCGAGCAAGCGAAGCACTTAAACGAGACTACAAGCGCGAACAAGTCGTCAATATGCGCTTGGAAGATGCAATCATCAGACTGAGGAAGAGCGTCAAAGCCCGCGATATCCACATTGCAAAGACCGAACAAGCTTTCATGCATGAAGCACCATTTCCCATCCGTTCACCCAGCACATCCGGTAGCCGCACACATAATAGCGATACCTCATCGTCTACCTCACCTTCTTCGATCTCAGATTGGACTCATCCGCTCGACCGCATCAATAGACCCCCGTCTATCCCACGCTGCCACCTCCCCGCCGCAATTCAAGCGCGGGAAGCCAGAATGAAAACCTACAAACAAGAACTGGAAGAGGCGCGAGAGGCAGAGGTCTTCATGCTCAATGTGAGACCACACGAATCGACAGCGAAGGATGGAAGCAGTGCTATCGCTATCATGGAACAAGTGCGGAAACGGAAGATGGGGCCTTTGTATCCGGCTGGAAAGACGGGGTGGGCGGATGAGAGGTGGAACGCTGCGTGGGAGAGGTGGGATGGGAACAATTGGGCGAGGGAGTACGCGAAAGGGAAGGAGGTCGATTTCTTGAGGAAGGTGGGGCTTTGGCGGGAGGATTGGGATTAGTAGTACGATGTCACTAGCAGCGATATATAATAGAATGCTGTGTTAGTTCGTTCATGTCTCTCAGTAATCTCAACAAAAATGAAGTGCTGTAAGAGTCCAAAGTAACAATTTGGTTCGTTCCAAGCAAGCCAGATATGGCATTATTGGTGATATGTATGCTGACAACCGCACATTCCAGACCACTTAGACCGCCTCCGTTGTCTCAGTCTCACCTTTATCCTTCTTTGCGATGTTATTGATAGTGGCAAGAGCGTCTCCTTTGGCTTGCGCAGCAGCAACGTTCTCCAGGTCGCGTGCGAGGTTAGAGCTGCCCTTCTTGGTGTGCCAAGCGTGTGGGCCCTCTTTGCTGAACAGGAATTCGACCTCCTCAAGGGTTTTACCGCAAGTCTGTCCGAAGAATTAGCTGAAATCATCACAAAAATCTCAGATTTCCTTACCTCAGGGTAGGTGAAGAAGAATTGGACGGCAGCCATAAAACAGAGTATTCCGAAGACGACGAAAAGACCCCATCTGATGTTGACAAACGCGGGTGGAATGAACAAACCAATTGCGAAGTTGAAAAGCCAGTTCCCAATCGCCGCGATACCCATTCCGGAAGCACGTGTCTCCAATGACCAGACCTCAGCGGCATAGACCCAGCAGATAGGCGCCAGGGTAAGTGCATAGAACTAAAAAGCGTCGAATCAGTGTATGGTTCGTATGTGATATGCGGAGAGGAGGTACTGACGATAATCAAAAGGTACGAGAATGCGATGACGGTGTACGCGGGCGACCCTCTAACCTCCATGGTAACGTTCTTGTCGCCGCCGACACCGTCAGGAACATATGTGTAAAATCCGCCGAGCATACCAGCTACGACCAGATGGCAGATTCCCATCGCAATTGCTCCCCAGACCAGCAGCGTCCGCCGTCCGATTTTGTCGACGAAGAAGAACATGATGGATGAGAAAATTATGAACAGAGCGTACTGTACACCAGCGGAAACAAGCTTGGTATTGCCAGAAAGACCAGCCATGGCGAAAATGTACACGACGTAATAAGTCATGACCTGTAAAGTTGTTAGACGACGGTGTTGCGCGAGGTGTGTTCAACATACATTAGCACCGGAAAGTTGCTGCCAGGCCTGGACGGAGAAACCAGCCAGAGTCCGCTTCCACATGCCATTCACAACAAATTTCCGCCATCCTTGGGGAGCTAGGCGTTCCGCCGTGAGAGCAGTCACGATCTCCTCATATTCGGCCAGAACGTAGTGATCCTCGATGTTGCCGTCGGCTTGGATGGACGCCAGTATGTGGATTGCCTCTTCTGTACGGTCGACCTTTGCGAGCCATCGTGGAGACTCTGGGAGGAATGGAAGGCCGATCATGAACATGACGCAGGGGACAAACTGAATTCCCCAGGCAGTGCGGAATGAAGCTGATTCGCCAGGAATGAAAGTACATCCGTAGCCGATGAAGTACCTGCGATCTATTAGCTTGGGCTTGTTCAGTGTGTTCAGTGTGTTCAGTGTACTTACATGATAAGGATACCCCACTCAATAGCCAGCTGTTGAATAATAATGATGGCACCACGCTGCGAGTGCTTGGAAATCTCGGCGAGGTAGACTGGGACCTGAGACGAAGTGATGCCAACAGTAACACCGTTCAGGACGCGACCAGCAATGAGCATGCCGCGACCAGTGACAGCGACCTGCAGAGCAGTACCGACGAGCCACCAGAGACAGGCGAAAAGAAGGGCATCGCGACGACCAAACTTGTCGGAGATGGGACCAGCAATAGCACTGCCAACGACTGAACCCGCAGCAAGGGCCGCGCCAATAGCTCCCTGAACGACGCCGGTTGGGTTGTCGAAGTAGGTGCTGTTTGTTGTTAGGGATCAATAAGTGAGGTGTTTGATGTCACTGCAACTTACAGATATTGCTCGCTTGGAATGATGGCACTCATCGAAGAGATATCAAACCCGAAGAGCATGCCTCCCATCGTGGCAACAATTGCCAAGAAGTAGACATTGTAAATCTTAGGAAACCTTTCGAACATCTTGACCGGGGCTTGTCCAAAGTCTTGGGTTGATGCAGAGATGGCAGTCGTTCGACCTGGCGATCCACAGACGTGGGGAGGGTCGAATATAAGGGTTGAGGAAGTCGGCACTACACGCCGCTGTGCTCGACGTGACAATCACAGCGCTTGAAGCAGCCGTCTCCACTCGAGTCCTGGGTCCGCATGGGGCACTCCATTCTTACATTCGTTGGCAGGTAAAATGGTTAAAATGAATTTACCAACCCCAGTATAGCGGCCGCATGCCGAGAAGCCTGCCGTCTTGACCATCGGAGAGAAACGAGATCGAGTCAGCGTCGGAGCTCGTGTGATTTGTGGAAAAAACGATTCTGGGGTTAGGCTGGAGGTGGAGAAAGACGCGTTCAGGCCCGGAGAGTTGTGGAGATCGCCTCACCCGCGTTGTGCATGTGTGGATGTCGTCAGTGGCACCTTAACCGAACCGGCGGCTCTTTTTGCAGCACTGCCGGGATCCGACTAAGGTGGTTGCTTTGAGGGGATGATGCATGTGACTGGAGATGTTTCCTGAGGTGGTGTTGCTTCCGCCTGTTATGGTGGGTGATTGGGCAGGAATGCGCTTGAGGGTGGTCAGAACATACGAGGAAGCGCGATCGTTGCTCTGCTTGGCAACGTTGGCTCTCTCGACTTTTACCTTGCCATCGCGATGGCATCAACAGCGACGCATCGCAGTCGCATCGCGTTGGAATGGCTGAAGTGACCTGCAACAAAGGACACGTTATGCGGGAAGTGAAGCTGATGAGAACTATCGTTTATCGAATGCGCATTCGATATCAGCGCAAGTTCAAGATGCCTTCTCATGATCGGAGTCGTGACGAACATCGGAATTGCTCATCGATGATCGGGCTTTCTTCCTTCAGATGTTCGCGTTTGGGCTAACCTATTGCGTCGCCTTGCGCGTCGACCAGGATCCTCACAACATGGGAATGTTGAAGCGGGACGACTCAGAAAGTCAGGCCATTCGCCATGAGACGCGTACAAATCTTGCTTCGATCTCAGCGCCGTGATTGCAGATTTGGCTTAGTAACTCACATATCTAGCCATTTTACAGTATATGCGTAAAAAAGACAAGCTTTGGATGCGTACTGACAAAGAACTTGACACTATGAGCATCGTGGCCGTTATAGAGCCCGCAGCAATCCTGAGTCGGTGAAAAGATCTGAAGAAATGGTCGCGACAGTGGCTGGCCTTCTTGCGGCATACAACACCTATGTGTGTGATGCAGGATATACTTCCCGAAGGTGTGGTGCATACATGAGAAGACGTGCGAGCCGTGCGAAGGCGTAATGTTGGATATGGACTGCGTCATCAATTTTTTGGTTTTGACCATGTACTGCATAGACGCGTTGTCGCTCACAAAAGACTATTGCAATCAGACTCCAGATCTTGTCGCTGCTTTGAGTAGAGCTTAGCTGTGCCCAAGTGCTCCGTACGAACAAAGAATCGCGAGCATCACGAACAGCGTGTCGAAAGGACATGGTCGCGCTGAGTCTGGCTCCCTACCCTCCAACTTCATCAAATCACTCACTAATACCTATTATACCAATAATGCTTCACGTCCGTATCACTACGCCGTTGCGCGGGAGTCTCGAATACACATGCGAAGGTTTGGTGTTCGAGCAGCTATCTGCCGCCCCTGGTCCGCCCAAGCCAGCGGCTAAGTTCGGCCACGTCAACCATCACTGGCATCAATTTCAAACTTCCAACGGTCAGAACCCCACAAATTTTTGTGGGAAGCACAAGGCACATGCTACGAACGAGCTGGCAGTGCGTTTGAAGTTCCAGAACCTGTAAATTTTTCGAAAACCTCAATTTTCAAAATTTACTTCATATACGCTGTTTTTTGCTCCCATTCCATCAACAAGAACAACAGCTTCACAGCTGTTGCCTCTTCTGGTCTTATGGTCTAGTGGTATGATTCTCGCTTAGGGAGAGCGTCTTAGGACGTTCGCAAACCCAAGCATAGCTTGCGAGAGGCCCCGCGTTCGAGTCGCGGTAAGACCCATGTTTTTACACTTCCTACAGTCACAGCACGTCCACCAAACTCAGTATGCATTCCAAAGGCTCGGAGGACCATTTCTAGAGCTTTAGGAACAGACTGCTATGCGTATGTGCAAGATATGCTTTTTTCCCCAGTCTGCTCAAGTCTGTCGTACAAGAACTCTACGAAGCAACTCTGCAAGACACAGGGCGGGCTAAAAGTACTTCAAAAGATCTTTCTTGATCCTGTTACTACGTTGCTAGCTGTGTACGCGTGTGCGGAGAAGAGTGGTCATTCTGTTCCTCTATCTGGGCCCGCAGGACCTGAAAACATCGCAGACTAAGTCTGCAAGACATAGTATGGACTCATAGCATCCTCAAATGCAGCTTTCTGTTCTTATTTAACTACTACAAAGTATGCTGCACCTGTAGGTACAAGATTACTTTTATTTTTGTATAACCAATGGTCTACGCCCGGGCGGTACTTTGGGACCCCGTAGACGAAATTTCGCTTATAAGTAGCAGCCTGGAATATCAATTCCCACTCTCAAAGAGTTACTATTGCTTCCGTGTTCGTCAATTTGCTTTTCCACGCGTCTTCGTATAGTCTCTTCGTAGCGTGCAAAGTGGACCGCGATCAGGGGTCAAAGCGCAAACCCTCCTGCTCCAAGTAGAAAACCACAAAACCTTGGAAACAACAACGTCACCTCATACCCCAGAACATCAAAAATAACACCAACTCTCCGGCTCACGGCCTTCGCAATTGAACATGCAGTGGCGATGGGACTACCCCAACCCCAACGAATACATCGTCGGGGCTTGGGAGCCAAAGACGTCGAATCACAAGTGAGTTTGCATGCGGTACCTGCATATCAAATTGGGGGTTAGCTGACTTGAAGTAGTTTCTGTGAAGAAGTACGCAAGATGAACCAAAGAGATGTGTATCCGGAAGACTGATTGTAGTCCAGGACTACATAATAACACCCTACATCGGCGAATTCATAAACACCCTCACAAACATAACCTACGGTCCGCCCTTCCCCATTCTCACCCCATTCCCAAACTCACTCTCCCCCCAGTAATCTACGGCCTCCACGGCCTCCGCCGCGTCGCCCCAAAACCCTCTGGCGGTCTCATCTCCACGCTCGCCTTCCCCTACTGGGGTCTGATCAGCGTGGGCGTCCTCTCAGCCTGGTTCCACGCAACGCTAAAATACCATTCGCAAATGGGCGACGACCTATCCATGTTTCTGGCCGTCGGCGCCATCTTGCACCAATTACTTTGTTTCAAGGCTACGCTGAGTGAGAGGAGGAAGTACACGGCGTACATCCTCGGAAGTCTGATTCCAGTATCCGTGTACCACGTCTGGGCCGATGAAATCATTCTACATGAGATTGCGTTTGCAGTCATGATCTTCCTGGTAAGTAAATACACGCGCGCCCTCATTAAAGTGCAAGTCACGTCCGAGGAAGCACGCAAGAAACTTGGAAAGATGGCAACGTTTGGTATCTCAACCGGCCTCTTCGGGTATTTTCTATGGAACATTGATTTCCATGCGTGTTACTATGTGACAGTGTGGAAGAGGTGGGTGGGTTTGCCCTGGGGTTTCTTGTTCGAATTGCATGGGTGGTGGCATATCTTTACGGCGATTGGCGCGTATGTGGGTATGGCGCTTGTGGAGTATCTTGTTACGATTGAGGAGGGGAAGACGAGAGGAGTGGAGGAGGGGTTTGTGTGGCCGGTGAGGGGGGCGTTGAGGGATTTGGATGGAGTGGAGAGGAAGAAGATGAAGTGAGAGAATGCTGGGATGAGGGTGGGTGTCTTCGAGGGATGAAGGGGGAGGGGTTAAGTTGGCTTTGTACTGTACTTGTGTTATTGCATAGCGCTGTAGAAAAAATTGGGTAATGCGATGAAGCTCGGTCTTTGTAAGCTGTATCTAACGGGCAAAAATTCTGCTCGAGAAATCACAATCTACATTATACCTGCGAATGTCTTGCTGATTGTCATTATGAACGCTTTTCGCGTCCTTCAACTGTACTCAATCACTTACCCATCAAAAATACCTCGCAGCCCACCCACCCTCCGTCCCGATGCCATCTCGCCATCCCAGCTTACCAACCCAACCTCATATGCATCCTCAAACCACTCCATGTCGCATACATCGCGCAAACATTCCGCTGGAGCTATCATAGTAAAGTCCATCTTCTTCCGCCCCATCCGAGCCTGATTGGCCGAACGGAGTTAAGATCTCAATGGAGCCGGCAGATGCAGGTCGCATGTGGAGCCCGCGTCATCAACATCCAGTTACATAAAAATGACTTCGGGCCCGAGAAGACCGCCGTTACAATATAAGAACTCGGTGGCAGAGCGGTGGATAGGAAATTACACGCCATCAACAGCGACACGATCAATTGAGGCACCAGAGCGATAAATTTGCAGGATTTCTATCTACCCCACTATCAACTTCAGAAAAGCACTGAAGATGCCTGAACTCGTCGGAAAGACTGTAGGCCCAGTTGGCTACGGCCTCATGGGTATGCATCATCACTTCCCACGCGATCGCTTCACTAACACATCGCAGGTCTGACATGGCGCAAGAACCCACCACCAGCCGAACAGAGCTACGCAGCTATGCGCACAGCACTTGCACTCGGCGCGAACAACTGGAACGGCGGCGAGCTCTATGGTCCCCCGGAGCGCAACTCTCTACACCTGCTTAATGAGTACTTCACCAAGTACCCCGGCGACGCAGAAAAGGTCGTTTTGTCTATCAAAGGTGGTCTCAAGAAGGGTGAGCTGGCGCCGGATGGCAGTCGGGAGAACGTAAGGCGCAGCATCGACGAGTGCTTGAAGGTGCTGGATGGCAAGAAGACTCTCGATCTGTTCGAGTGTGCTAGGGTCGACCCCAAGACACCCATCGCAGACACCGTTGGCTACATCGCAGAGTATGTCAAGGAAGGCAAGCTCGGCGGTATCAGCTTGTCAGAGGTTGGTGCGCAGTCTATCCGCAAGGCGCATGCTGTGCACCCCATTTCGGCCGTCGAGGTGGAATTCTCGCTCTGGGTGACCGACATTCTTGAAAATGGTGTCGCGGCAACGTGCGCAGAGCTGGGTATCCCTATCATCGCGTACTCTCCCCTTGGACGCGGATTCCTGGTAAGCGCATCTCTTCTCACCCAATGACTTACCACTAATGTATACAGACTGGCAGGTACAAGAAGTACAGTGACATCGAGCCCGACTCGATGCTTCAGCACATGCCCAGGTTCCAGCCCGACGTATTTGACGAGAACATCAAATTGCTCCACGCCGTCGAGGACATGGCCAAGGCCAAGGGAGTCACACCAGCTCAGATTGCCATCGGCTGGGTACTCGCGCAGAGCGGTGCCAAGGGTATGCCTACTATCATCCCAATTCCTGGTGCTACGACGTCGGAGAGGATCGAGGAGAATATGAAGCCGGCGAAGCTCAACGACGAGGACATGAAGGCGCTGGACGAGATGCTGAAGAAGTTCCCGCCGATTGGAGGAAGATACCACGAGTCGCAGTCAGCACTGCTGTTCGCATAGACAACTATAGTTCTAGTCTAAAGCTTGTTAGTACTGTAGCTGTAATATAGCAAGCTTGAGTTTGTAAAAGAATGGCAGGTCAGAAATAATTGTAGTGTAGAGCTAATCCGCATGTGAGCCGCCGTGAAGCGACTCTTTGGAATTGCAGAACTCTGGAATAGATCATCATGTAGATGAGATGGTAGAAAATGGAGAAAAACTCACCTGAAGACGTTCGCGTGTTGTTGGAGGAGGACTGGAAGAAAGAGGAAGGAAGTAAGCTGCCCAAAAATATCGAGCTAAACGGGTGGTCCCTGCACCTCGGGCTAGACGTCCAACGCGCCGGACAGCCATCGTCACGCTCTCTCAAACGCGCCCCCATACATTCACATCCACATCAATCGCCGACATGGATTCGCCTTCCGAGCTCTCCGAGTACGGCAGCGACGATTTCCCCGAGGACATCAAAGGACGCCGCCATGCCAGCTACGAAGCCACTCCTGACCACGACCAGCGCCCGAACAAGCGACCACGCCTGAATATCCGCGCGCCATCCTCACCACCCCATATCAATACCATGCCACCTGAGGAAGAGGACGAGCTGTCGGAAGATACCGATGGCTCTGTTCCTGCGTCGCCACACCACCACCCGGGCATGTCGCAAGATGATGACTATGGTCAGGAACAGGTCACTGTCTGCAAGTGGGACGGTTGCACGGCGGGTGACCTGCAGAATATGGATAATCTAGTCGAGCATCTTCACGAAGACCATATCGGTACACGACAGAAGAAGTATAGCTGCGAGTGGAGCGACTGCACAAGGAAGGGTATACCACATGCCAGTGGCTATGCGCTTAGGGCACATATGCGCTCACATACAAGGGAGAAGCCATTCTACTGCACACTTCCAGGTATGTCGCCAAGACCATCTCCATCACATTACCCCTACTAAGTCATCCAGAATGCGACCGTTCCTTCACCCGCTCCGACGCGTTAGCGAAGCACATGAGAACCGTCCACGAGACCGAAGCATTGCGCCCCTCGGACCCAGTACCCAAGCACCACTCATCCAACCCTACAAACAACAAGCAGCGCCTCAAGCTCGTCCTCAACAACGAAGCCAAGAAGCTGCCCCACGACAAAGGCTCTACACCCGGGTCCCCCTCCTCACACTCGCACCCCCCGAATAGCGCAACAATCCCGCCCAACGCACCCGCCTCAGACGCCGACTACGCCCACAACAACGTCGTCTACCTGCAAGACCTCGCCAACCCATCCGGCCCAACACTCGTCCAATTCCCACCTGACATCGAATTCAGCCCCGAAGAGCTCCAGCGTCCTGCACCCGAACTCTTCCAACTCCTGCGCCGCCAACTCCTCTGGGCAACGCAACAAGGCGAACAACTGCGCGCCGAAGCCGAGGAGCTCGAACGCGTGCGCCAGGAAGAATGGCAGGCCAAAGAACTCCTCTTCGAGAACTACATGGAAGCCCAAGCCGCAACGGAGCGACGACGCCGCGTCGAAGAAGGCATGCCCGACGACATGGAAGGTTGGCAATCCGTTGAGAACGACATCCAGCCCGCGAAGGCTCTGCCTATACAACCCAAAGAAGGGAAGTTGCCGTGGTGGCGGGATGACACTCAGCAACAGACTCGGATCAAAGAGGAAGTTATCCAACCGCCCAGGCCGCCTCCCGCGCACATCCAACAAGTGGAGGAGCGCCAGCCTCAGGTTTCTGTTTCGTAGCCTGGGCTGGAGTATCTGGATCTGGCGGAGGGGGATATGGCTCTAGATCTGCAGCAGCGTGCATACTATCGCTGGATGGAAGCGCGGCGCCTGCGTCAGCTTCCTTTGTCGCAGGCTGGGCTGGAATATCCGGGTCTAGCGGATCGTCTTGCGATTCTGGATGCGCGCTGTCGTAGTCTGGAAGAGCTGTTGAATTACAGGGTACCGGCCAGGAGGCGATGTGCACATGGTGAGTGGTGGAGGTGTTGGCATGGGAGAGGTGGGCTGCTACAATACGGCGAACAAGCACGAAGCTTTATTGTTGAAGGGGATGTCGGCACCAGGTCCTCCTTTTTCTCAGCAGTACTTGTTTGTGTATTACTATGGGTTAGACACTGGGGTTTATGGTCTTTGGGTACATTCAAGGTTAAAGATACCAATTTATTTGATGCTCTCATAGTATACAGCCTTCATCCCAGTAATCCGTGTCTGGCAATTTCCCAATGCCAGTTCTCAATGCTTACTCCCGCATAACTCCTATTGTATGCCTATTCGCCGTTGCCTTCCATGCCATGCACGCTTCTGTCCACCACAGTACACCTCCTCCCTTCCACACCCTCCCAACTCCCACAGACGTATAGTAAGCATTTACCTACCCTTCTTCTTCTCCGCCTCGGCGTTCTTGAACGGGAACCCACTCGTCCTCTTATCCGCCCCAGTCTTCCTGCTAATCCGTCCATTGCTGCTCGCAAACAAAATGCACCACAGCGCCACCATGGCCAGGAAACCAGAGCCCAGCGTGCCTAGACTGAAGGCCATGACGCCGGTGCGCGTCCACATGGCGTAGCCGTAGAAGGCAAGGGCGGAGTGGAACATGGCGGTTACGGTGAGCGTGGGGAGAGCGTAGGGCGCTTTGGGATCTTCGGCGTTGGTTGTGGCGCCTGTGGTGGGTTAGTATGGCGTTGATGGAGGAAATGGGGATATGGGGATATGGGAAGGGAAATTACCTTCGGAGAGTCGACTAGACAATGGAACGGAGCCCGTGAGGAGGACAGTCAGGACGCCCAGGGCGATGAGCGAGAGGCCCAGAGTGCGGGAGAAGTAGACTTCGAGAGCTGATCATCCCCGTTAGCACATCATCGTACACCATGTTTCCTGGCCTTCAATGTATACGTACTGGAAGCTTCGCGGACTTCGGGGGACAACAATGCTACTATCATTGTTGGGGACGCGATCAGAGGCGCGGCTTGGGTCGCTGTCTTTCTGTTAGCAAGCTGTACGATATCCTCGCGGGAAGATATAGAGCTTACCCAGCCATGCGGCAGTGCCGTAGGAGTAGAAGTAGTAGACCTAATCCCCATCATCAGCATTCGTCCATTACGCAAACACCCATCAACCCTTCTCGTGGCAGCTCTACACATACATCCATGTTGAAAGAGGTCTTGTGATGTCAATTGGGGTGTTGTGTCGTTCCTGGTGTATTTTGAAGAGGAGTGCAAGCAAAGATGTTGTTTCGTGAAAGGACTGAGAGGAAGGGTTGAGACGTGGGTCGCGGTGATGCAATAGCGATGTTCCTGGCGGGATTTGCGCAAGCATCCGCGCAGTCGCTACGTCATTGTCAAGCTAACATGGATACCGCGGCACATGGCTGCACGCTTATTTGGGAAATCGGGTTTACTTGTTTCCCATGCTTGTTACTGCTTTCGTGGCATCGGGGAAAGTGGTCATGTTCTACTGGTGATGTTTCGGTAGGGCAGGTGAGATTGTGTACGAGTGCGACGGCGTTCGAGGCTGATGAGCTGGGTATATGGAAAATGTTACCTCCAGCTTTCATGCCGCCTCTCCGCGCACTGGGAGAAATTTAGGGTGCTGCGGAGATGGAGGTATAGCTACCTTTGCTCTCCAGTCGCTCACAACACCACCATGCTTGCGCATCGTGCTTCGGCACCCCACGGAACACAGTCATGAAGCATCTGCAGCACGTTGAAGTACAAGCATATGTCGACGATTCGTGTGGCGGGACTTCCATCATATACACCCTAACCCCATCTCCGGTCGTATACCTCGTATCGCTCAATCTACCAACTACCGCTCATCCAGCCCTTCAACTCCCGCACACTTCCCAAACAGGAAACCCCCAGCAAAACCATCGATTCTGGTCAACGGCTGCCAGACTCCGGCCCGTGGTACCCTCTATCCGACCATTCCTCAAATTGCCTAGCCACCGCCCATCCAACGGTCAATATCTACCGCAAGAGGAAAGGAATCTAGAAAACCATTGATCACAGTAGATCCCGCTATCGGGAAAAGATCCACGAAACAGAAGAGGATGGGGTTGTGATCGGGAAACTGGGTCGAGAACATCGAGAGTCTGGTCAAGGGGCTGAAGGAGTTTGGTAGCGAGGCAGTCATAAATGCCGAGATGGGAAAGAATAAAGGAAGCTTGGAAGGGTGTGGATGACGGCGGGCGACTGGACACGTCGCCGAAAAAGCAAAAGGGGGTCTGGAAGCGTCGGGAGTCTGGATCGAAGATGTCACGCGACGATTACGAATGCTGAATCCAAGAGCAGGAAATATCTGGATTGACGACAATGTATGCAGGCCATGCTACAAACCTTCATACAAACACAATGGAATAATGGAATCGCGGTCGCGCATCCATGTCCAGGACCTTCCAGCATACAGAACAGGCAGATGATGTACATCACACGTCTTGTTCTACTTGCACAAACTTCAGCCTCCGTCCCATCCCGCGCAAACACTCCGAACCGCCTCCCAGCTCCTAATCCCAAATACATCGATCCCCACGCCCCTACCAGACTTCAAACTACCGTAACAGGAAATTCCTCACTCACCATTGATTGCAGAAGGCTTGAGGAGAATTACTCGCCTCGGCACTAAGACAAGGCTGAAGACTGTTCCAGACGTTGCAAGCACCACCAAGCTTTGAAGCACCGGCTCCGTAAACATAAAACAGCCCAATTAGGCAATACCACTTTTCACGTGTGGAATGTAGTTCAGGCGTCCCACTGGAGAGAGTTTGGTGCTTGCAACATTAATTTGTTTTGAGTTTGCTTTTCGGGGTCAGATCATGGACCGGTGTGCGAATGTGGTAGTACCGAAGTATAACTCTGGCGATGTGCCGGAAAGGGCAATTCGGAGTCGAAGTGTTGATTCCAGATGCGGATTGTGGCTTGATGTGTGAACAAGCAAGATGGTGGGTGAGCTGTTTGATAGGGCTGTGGTTTCTTTTCCACAGCGGATGGTGGATGTGCTGGGCGTTGGTATACCTGAATAGGAAGGAGTAGGGAAAGTATTGAATCCAGTCATGAATCGCATGTGGTTTCTCCGGAAGCCTGGAACGAGTGTGAGCTTATGGTAAGGATGTGCTCGGGCTATCTTGGAAGGTAGGTGTGAAGTTTTCAAGCGTGGCGCGAACATGGTCCACGCGATAGAGTTGGTGCGCGAAACGTAAGCGCGGAGACGTGATTGTTACGAGGAATTAGATTTGAGGCTCTAAATCCGGACAGTGCGCGCTTGCTAGTATTGTGGAATACGAACAATAAAAAAGACAGACCTGTTGCAAATTGTCGTAGCGACTAGCAGCCTGGACAACTGATTAGTAAATTGCTCACGCATACGCTTTTGCTCCCCCTTGCGCAATCTCTTTCTTTGACCGCAGGTCTTGACTTGATGTTGATGACGAGTGTCTAGCAAGGAAGTGAGGTGTTCAATTTTCTAAAGAGTTACCAGCAGTGGTTCGCTGTATTACCCCCGTAATCGCGATGCTGCTTTATTCACAATACAGGGTTCCATTTGAATGAGCGATTGTGACGTGATTCCAATATCAAGGAAACATGACTTATACGATCGTTTGTATACGACTACCACTTCTGTTCCCACAGACTCAGCGCTCATCAGCCTAAGCGTGTCAACTTTCAGCCATATTTGGGTCGCCGACCGTTTGCGTCAACTGAGCCAGCTTGTTTCCAACACGAATAGGAGTACTTCAGCCCAGCCCCGGAGTATCTCGAACTACCCTCTCCAGCACGTCGCAGATCTCGCAGGTTGATACAGATCGCCCCCAGGGAAGGGTAATCCTTCAACCCCACCAATCCGTCCTTTGCAGTTGTCCTCACTATTATATAATGGATTAGTACATAATCTAGAACGAACGAGCTTTGTGTCTTGTGAAGATAGAGTGGCCGAGCATGTAACAACGTACCGGAAAAAGCGACATCTGTATCCCTCGAATATGAGGACAATTTTGACCGTTTTACCAAAATTTGGCGAACATCCGCCGTTGACGAAGAGACCGCCCCATTGAGCGCCGTTTGCATAGACTCCTGCTGTGTTATCACCCCCGGGCATTATATGTACAGGTAGGTCTTGGTTGGTTGGTAGGCTGTTGGATATCATTGGGAGGGCGATGAGGGAGAGGAGGGCGGATAGATGCATGGCTGGTTTGTGTATGATGAGGATATCGAGAAGGGGAAGATGCGTGGAAGTAGACTGAGGGTGTTGAGTATAAATGTCACTGTGTGTGATAAGATGAAGAAGTATGTGACGAGGGAGAGAAGACGGATTTATATAGAGAAAAGAAAGGAAGCAGAAGCTACGCAACGACGGAGGTATGGATAGGAAGAATGGACAAGGAGCTTACTCTCATGTATGAGTACGGCACAGTCTGCTCCATTTTATATGGACTATCGAGCCGGCGCATGCGTGCATATATTAGTCGTAAGGATTATTGACGTGCCGCGTTCTTCGGACGGGTCGGATCTATCTGGTTGATCTGACTAGAGATCGCAGTGTTGTCTGCAACGCAACCAGGTGAATTGCAGGGAGGGAAAGAACATAATTGAACTATAGATGCAAATATCATAAGCTATTCAACACCGCTTGAGTACTCATAGGGTAGTCTTTTGCATGCATAGCAGAGAGTTGAAGTGCAGGAATGTAGCACCTGCAGCTGCCTCTACCTCACATATTAACGGCCTTCTTTGGCAGAGCGTCCGGTGAAAAGCGGGTCTGAAAGCTTCAATCAGGTAGTACGGGCGGACTTCGTGTGGATATGGATATCGGGTGTCGCTTGGTGTGCTCGAAGGATTGCATACTCGTCGTTTGAGCATGCGGGTGTCGAACACTAGGTAGGACAGTGGCGGTTAATTTATTCGTCTCCAAAGATGTAGGTGGAAAGAACGACTTCCACTTAACATATACAGAACCTGAAATCTGGTCAAGATTAACCAAGCTCTGTCAAGGAGCTTTGAAATGGACCGCGAAGTGAATGTGTGATTCTGGTGAGCTCGTTCATAAATCCACGGTTGTTGTGCGTACATAGCTACCTAGGTAGGATAGCGGGGTTACGTTCCTGCCCCACCCAACTGCGCTTGCACCCTGGAGGGGTTCAACGGTGCCTCCTTCCTACATGTTCGAGATGACGTGCATATGTGCTCTTACGTAGGTATATTGGCCTTCGAGTGCTTTGGACTTGTCTCTCATCTCAGCACTGCTTCCCGATCTGGAAGGTAGGTGCGTATCTACGTTATCGCGATAGTTGGGTTCCTGCATTGTGCTGTGGTGAGACTGTATGTTACTGGACGCCTTCAGTCGTATCGATGCTCTGAGTCATCCATTGCGACGTCCAGGGAATGATAAGATACTCTTCCGTAGAGTGTGTCGCGTTCCATGTGAACCCTCTGTGACTGAACTCAGCCGATACTGATCGTACTACTTCTAGACAACAACTCCATCACGACTATGCCACTCCAACTCCATCCAATGACTGAGGAAGATACGTTGTCCTGGACACGCGTGCGCGCACTCGCCTACTACGGTCCGACGCACGACCTCCTGCACACCGGCCCTATCAGCGAAACATCCATGCATGGCGTGGCTGAAGACCGTAAACGAGAGATCAAGAAGCCAAATGCGTGGCACTGGAAAGTCATAGACACAGGCCTCGAGCCTAGTTCTGACGACCCACCTGATAATGGCGGACGCACAATCGCCGTATCAGTATGGAGTATGCACAACATCTCAGCGATCAAAGAAGATGAGAACAACGAAGCACCTCCCATTCTGGTCGAGAAAGCAGACAGTACGCCTGGTTTCCTGCCGCCAGAACTGCGTCTCAAGGCTCTGGGTTCGTTGCTCGGTCCTCTACGAGCCGCCCAGGCTGCCATCATGGGCACGTCGAGGCCGTACTTTATGCTGAATTCACTGGCTACGCATCCGGATCACCAGGGTCGGGGGGCGGCCAAGATGATGCTGGACTGGGGGATGCAGAAGGCGGATGAAGAGGGGCTGGTCACGTATTTGGATTCCACGATGACTGGGAGGCCCGTGTATGAGAGGAGGGGGTTTGCGCTGGTAAAGACACTTGAGTGGGATCGGGTGCCTTGGGGAGGAGCAGGTAAGGACTGGCACGGATGCATGGTTCGACCAGCGAAAAGCGTAGAGACGTAGTTGTGTGTTGTGGAAATCCATAGTAGAGATGATAATGCAGGGCCTCCAGGGCTACCACGTCGGTGGATAGCCGGCTAGCCGCCCGAAGAGCCGTCGAGCGAATGCGAACGCCCGGCTCGTGGGCTGTCAAACCCCGCAGCCTGCGCCCACGTTGCCGGGAAGCCAGCTGGTACGGTAGAGCCTGCAGATGTCTTTACAGCTGGCCGTTGAATTTCTCCAGTAGTCAGACCCTCGCATAGAATTCATCGTGAGCCCGGCGGTGACGTATTCACCTTCTCTCCAGAAAGCAGCGGGCGCGGCTGGGAACGAGCGCGCGCACTTGCAGCCTTCTCCGCGCCGCAATGGCCCAGCCCTGGTAAGAATCCCGGGCGGCGCGGGCTGCAGTGGTCGACTATGATGCACCGGGCAGGGGACCTGGGGACCTGGAGCCCGCCTGGAATCCTCCTACCAAGCCGCCCTCAACCCCATAACATCATAACATAACCCCCGTAGAAGGTACACAGGCCCTCTCTCCACCAATACAATTATTCACCGCCCGCATGTCCGCGCAGGGCTAATCTTGGGGCATGGGACGCAACGCGCGGAAGCGTATCTCGTACGGTAAGTGTCGGCTGCTGCATGCGCCGTCGCGACAAGCTGGAGCTGGAGCTGGAGCTGACCTGGGCGCGCAGTGCTGCCACTGGCCAACTCGGCGGGCGGACACAGGCTGGGAGTCAATGGCTTGGCCGTCGACCCCCAGAACTCGATCCTCTACTCGGGCGGCCGTGATGGCGTAATCTGCGCCTGGGACCTGCATCTCGACCTCGACACGACCGCCGCCGACGACGACGACGACCCGTTTGCCGACTCCAACGCCGCCGACTTCAAGCCCCCGCCCACGCAGTTCCGCAACCAGGTCCAGGCGCACACGCACTGGATCAACGACATCGTCCTCGCCCAGAACAACGACGCCCTCGTCTCCGCCTCCTCCGACATCACCGTCAAGGTATGGCGACCCGCTGCCACCGACAAGCTCCCCCCGCAAACGATTGGCCTGCACACCGACTATGTCAAGCGCGTCGCATCGCCGGGCGGAAATGAGAACTGGATAGCTTCGGGCGGCCTCGACCGCAAAATCAGCCTGTGGGACCTCAATGGCGCAGGCAAGAAGCTGGAGATTGCAGTCGGCGAGGATGAGAACACCGCCAAGGGCTCTGTATACGCCCTGGCAGCAACACCCAACCTCATTGCAAGTGGCGGGCCAGAGAGCATCGTCCGCGTGTGGGACGCGAGGTCGGGCAAGCGCATCACCAAGTTCGTCGGACACACCGACAATGTGCGCGATATCCTCCTCGCGCAGGACGGCGACATGATCCTGACGGGCTCGTCCGATCAGACAGTCAAGGTGTGGTCCATGACGGCAGGTCGCTGCATGTACACCCTCACCATGCATAACGACAGCGTCTGGTCTCTGCACTCCGACTCGCCCGAGCTCGACGTCTTTTACTCCTCAGACCGCTCCGGCATAGTCGCCAAGAGCGATGTACGCAACTGCGCGGAGATGGACGAGGGACTCTCGCTAGCAGTCTGTCAGGAGCACGAGGGTGTGAACAAGATTGTCGCAGCTGGCGACTATATCTGGACTGCAACCTCCAGCTCGAGCATCAACCGATGGAACGACGTCGAGACCGCCGCAGAGGTGGAACTTCCGGAATCCTACAAGTGGCACAGGAACAGCGTGTCGACTATGCGATCGCGAATTCCCTCGCCTCCTGCTGGCAGCCCTCCGAGAACCGAAGAGACGTCCAAGATACCGCTCAAGTCTCTACTGCGCATGTCCAACACCGCGCCATTCCCGCAAGCGATTGCGACCAAAGACGCCGATGCCTCAACCCTAGCTAGCACGCGAAAGCCCTCTGAGGTACTAACGGCTCCAGAACACAGCGCTGTTGGAACTGTCCGTGCGCTGCCAGACTTTACAATCGAAGGCCAGAATGGTCTTATCAAGCACCATCTGCTCAACGATCGGCGAAGAGTCCTCACCCTGGACACGGCAGGAGAGGTGGTTCTGTGGGATCTACTGCAATGCGCACCGATCAAGTCATACGGCAAGAAGCACATGGAGGACGTTGTGCCAGAAGTCAACACCATCGACACCGTCGCTCACTGGTGCGCTGTCGATACGAGGATAGGCACCTTGACGTGCATGCTGGAAGAGAACTACTGCTTCGATGCCGAGACATATGCAGACGAGCTGGAGCTAGAGGAGCAGATTGACTTCCGGGAAGACCATCGCATAAACCTTGGCAAATGGATATTACGATACCTTTTCTCCAACCTCATCGACGAGGAAATCAAGCGCGATGAGGTCCTGCGGGCAGAGCTGCTCAAACAGAAGGAAGAGCAACCACAGCCGGGTCGACCCACGAACATCGAGCTACCGAACATGAACATCAGCGGATGGACAGATGCGACTTCAGGACCTGCTTCAGGCTCGACCATCAGAGCCGACGGAATGCGTCTACCACATACACCAGGTCTGGCTATCGGTCTAGCCACGCCAATGGCAGCACCTATGAGTGCAGGACGCAACTCTACCACCAACCCCTTGACTCCTACCAAGGAAGAGGGCGCACAGCTGGAGAAGACGCAAACCCAACGGAGCTCGACTCAAGAAGGCGGTGACTACTTTGGTTCTGCCTCTGCTGCTAACGGCAACGGAAGTGGAAAAGCCACCGAGGCTTCGAAAGAAGGCTCTACCGACTCAAAAGAGGAAACTGTTCAATCACCTGCAGAGGCCGACACGCCAGCTAAGAAGGGCAAAGGCATGTTTGGTAAGAAGTTTAACATGGGCTTTAGCATGAAGAAGTTCAGCACCGGCACAGCCGCCCCTGAGCCAGCCAAACCCGCCGTTGACGAAAAGGCCGAAGATAGCGATACACACTCCAACAAGACGGATGAAAAGACCATTGAAGATAGCTTCTTCGGCGCTCTCCAACGGATACGGCAGGGTTACGAGGAACAGCTTGCGGCCGGCGCGACCAAGTTGGACACACAGATTGCACCAAGTCTGCCCAACGAAACACCTGTACTAAAACCACCTGCTTTAACCACCATCCTAATCCAAGAGGACCGTCCCGATTCCGGCGGTGTAGCCGATCTGTTCGAGGGCAAAGTCGGAACCCTAGGAACCCAAGCCGACCTCATCGAAAAAGCCGCACCCATGTGGCTAGCAGAAGTCCTACTACGAGTTCGTCACCCCATACAACCAAAACCCCCCTCTTTACTAACTATCTCCCACAGAATCAACTCCCGCCCAAAGACATAGTCAAAGTTTCCTTCGTACTCGAACCTTTTAACAACACGCTTCCCTCCATCTCATCCGACGGGTACATTCCCTTTGCCCTCCCCTTCGAAACCGCCGCCAGCGCTAACGCGACTCTCAGTAACAACCGCCTCAACGCAAATAGAATGTTGCGCGCACGCAAGATACTGGGTTACGTGGCTGAGCGCATTGAACCCGCGCCCACCAAGGAGGATCTCGAGAAGTTGGCGGAGAGTGGCGGCGTGCTTAAGCCGGACGAGTATTTGGAGTTGTATTGTAACGGACAGGTAAGTCTTCGGCTTGTTTTTTTGTGAAAAGCTGGTTGAGGGAATATGCTAATTCTTATATCAACAGTTAATCCCGCCAACCATGACACTAGCCAGTATCCGTGCACACATCTGGCGTGGCGGCGGCGACGTTCTTCTGTTGTACAAAGCCAATGGCCGCAAGGAAATCAGACATGCGCCTTACCCTGGTCCGCAGTCTGGTGCACCTCCTGGTCCTATGCATGGATTGAAGGTGGGTGCGGGGTTGAACTCGCAGCCCGGAAGTAGTAATGCGAGTGAGGGGAAGCAGAGCAGTGAGGCGGATAGGAGTACCAAGGATTCTGCGGTTTTTGGACCGTAGGTCGTGTTTGGGTGGGTTTGGAGTAGTATGGTTCGGGAGATTTGGATATGAAAGGGGACAAGGAGGGGGCTGCGTGCAGCTCAGTCGGGGGACGTTGGTATTGTTCTTTGGATAAAGATCAGGGATTTTGAATAGTGTATATAGCATACCCGCTTGCCAGTAGACTCTTCTATGAGTCCGTGGCCTCGGCCTCATGTGGCTGAGTAGGATAGAGTTAATCATATACTCTCATTGACATTCCCTTCTCCACCCTTTCTCCATGATCTCTCCATGATCTGCCATGCCACCCACGCTCACTCCTCAACCACACCCCCTAACGCATTACTCGCCCACTGATAACTCCCCAAGAAAATCGCACCCCCAACACTAATCCAGCCCACCCGTGGCCCCATCCCCGCAAAAAACGCCCTCGGCCCGCTCTCCCTCATGATCCTCCCCAACATCTGCACCATGGGCTGTTTCTCCCTCGCAAGCATCATCCGCGTCTTGAGCACATCCAACGGCGTCGTTACGCCCGCCGCGACCGCCCCCGCTACACTCCCCAACAAACCTCCCTCCAAGCCCGTCACTTCATTCCGGCCTGTCCGGCTCATGCGCCACTTCTTCAGCGCCTCCCAGAGCGGGAATTGGATGACTGTGAATGGGACTTCGCGGATGATGGTTATTGACCACCCTCTATACAATTCCATCCAGACGTGCGCTAACCCGCGTGTATGCCGCTGCTGGAGGACAAACGTAAGAGCAGAAAGTGAACTCGGATGCTGACTTGCTTGTGCCCGTTGTTTTATAACCTCCGTGGGTACACGCACCGCACATGCCGCGACTTCTCCTGCGCTGGCTGCTGCCATGTGGATGAGTGCTTGGGTACCGCTGTCTTGGACATCTTGTTTGTACGGTTTTCCTTCTGCGTTGTATTCGATTTTCGTGGTAGGGAGACTTTGGCTCTGGGCGAAGGATCGTTTTATCGTGTCGTATGTTATGAAGAAGAGGGCGGCTCCCGGTGCGGATCCTACGATTGCGCTACCGACGCCCCGGTAGATGCCGTTGAAGCCGCCGCTGGCGGCGAAGCCTGAGGCGGATTGGAGACGCGTTTTTAGGGTGTCGAGGGGGTAGAGGGAGAGGTCGACTGTTGTGCCTGCTAGGCCGCCTGCCTGGGTGGGGGTGTTAGTTCGTGTGTGGATGTATGTGTGCTTGTTTGGGTGGAGGATATAGACGAGACGAAGGACATGTAGAGATGCAAATTAACTGGGATTGTTGTACAGAGCTTCTCGACGACGTCTGCACCAGTAGCTTCGCAATGGCAACAAAAGATGTGGATGATGCGCCTTGAGCCGACATCGGGAGAAGGAGAGCAATTGCAAGGCAATTTTCTGACAGCTGAAAGATCTCATTACTCACTATAAGCGACCGTAGGTATGGCGACTCAACCCATGCTTGTGGTGGTTGTGCGCGCGGGGAGTCGAGCATTGTGGGAAAGTAATTCGGCGGGCTATGACGATGGGAGTAAAGACATGCGTTGGAGAACGAAGGGTCTGTGCATAAGCTAGTGGACTATGCGCGGGCAGGCTTCTTTCGTTCCTAATCACTTTTCTCACACTTCAATGTTGTCCTGATACACAACATACGGACAGGCCCAGTTGTTGTTTTTTCGCATCAGGAGTGGTAGCCTACCTAAAGAAGATGGCGCGTTGAAGAATGTCTGCTTCGGGGCTTAGTGTAAGGTGTTTGGCTAGCACAAGGATTCCGAGATGCGATGCGCGAGAGAAGGGACAAGATGAGGCCAGGGATGAAGATCGGGATCGTGCTGAGTCAAACGAGGTGGGCGAGGCGGAGACGGTGATGGCTAGCAGCGATGATGTACCACAGCAGTCCATGGAAGACGAACCGGAAGACAAGAACAACAATCACCCTTCGGATAGTCAATCCTCTTCGAGATCATCGATTTCATCTTCCAACTCGGAATCGGAACCAGAATATGGCAGCGAGTCTGTCAGTTCAGATCACGAATCCGATACCAAACCGTACACGAGCTGCATACAAGAAGCCCAGCTTTCACCGGATGGTAGCTGCGTCTTCACATCGGACTACAGCCGTCAATTCTCCGTGTATCCCATCTCCAACGAGATTTTGAATCAGACCGACCCTCAGCCTCTCACCCCTTACGCATCTCTACGCTCTGCCAATCCGATTTGGGCTTTTGCGGTTAATCCGCTCTTTAATCTACAAGATGCCAGCAGCACGACTGTACTGATCAGTCGACGGGATACCTACATCAGTCTGCACAACGCATTATGGCCTACCTCGCAGAAACACAGCGAAGATACTCAGAACCGAGGACCAGTAGATATATCCACCCCTCTAGCATCCTACAAACTCATCAACAACCTAACTGAAGCGGTCATCGCACCTCTCAGCCTCGCCTACTCCACCACCGCCACGCATTTTTTTGCGGGCTCGAAAGACGAAATCGCCATCTTCGACCTCCTCGAAACCGATAAACCAATCCACACAATCCGCACCATCCCCGCCAAACGCAACAAGCTCAAAGGCGGAGGCCGCGGCTTCAAGGGCGATATTTCCGCCCTGTCCCTCTCGCCACCCACTCCCACATCCCACGATGGCCTCCTAGCAGCCGGCTCCCGCACCCGTTATATTGGCATCTACGACCCCATCGGCGGCAGCGAAGTGACACATTTTTCGCTTCCAGGAACAATAAACGGCATCAAATTCCGCAACGAAACCCTCCAAAACGTCATGGGCGATGGCGTCACGTCACTCAAATGGAGTCCCTGCGGGAAATACCTCTACGTCGCTGAACGCAGCTCAGACGTCTTGCTCATCTATGACGTCCGCAATTTCTCGCTCACGCTGGGTTACTGTGCTGGTAGGCAAGCGCTCACTCGTCAGAAATTGGGCTTCGATGTTTGGAATGCAGGACAGAGTCCGTATGATGTAGAGGGGATTTCGCATGAGGTTTGGGCAGGTGGGATGGATGGGAAAGTAAGGGTTTGGAGGGACCCGTACAGGAGGGAGGGGGCTGTACAGGCTGATGAGGTGGTGGAAGTGGGTGATGGGAAGGCGCCTGTTGTGGGAAGTCTTGTTCATGCTTCGGGCAGTTTGGCGGTTGCGGCTTGTGGGAGGGTTGGGTTAGGAAGTGAGATGGAAGAGGGGGCGAGGATGGGTGGGGGTGTGAGGCCCGTGGTGAGGGAGTGGGGGAGTTTGGATATTTTGGGTCTGGGCTGAGATGTTGTTCCCAGGGGTGCTGCGACGTTGGAGGCGTGTGAGCCACAAAAGTCCATTGGCTAAAAGACATGTTTTTCAAACGTCCGCGGAGCTTCAGCGGCAGATCTGAAGCACAAAGACGCGCCACTGGTCAACATGCACGTCCTTACTGGTATTCTAGTATACATGGCGTGTTCGCAGACTACGCCACACGATTACATGACGAAAGTTGCATCGCTCCTCGCTTCTTATTCAGAAGTCCAACGCCACTCTATTCGAGCCCCGATTGCCTTTGTTACTCTTTCGCAAGCTGTGCTCGTCTCCAAGGGCGTCGATAACGGTTTGGAAGATCATGGTTTTATCCGCAGAATCCCTCGCCACACGCACTCTTGGTTACCAGGCTGCCGGTCTAGCTACACTCAACTCAGGGTCTGGAAGATATAGTAGGATACCTTCGTTCTAGCACGATGTCTTTTCGAGAGCTGTGAGCCAACGGTAGCTGTGAGCCAAACTTTCCAGGACAGGCCGATTACGCAACAGTATACGCAGGTTATAGATGCCGATTCTTCCGGTAAGTTATCATCGTGCTCTGTAACATGTCACGCAGTTGGGTTCTCTTTTGTACTGTGGTCTATATACGACCAAGGTCCTTGAAGCTGGTTACTAGCGAGATGCGTGATAGGGACAACAACTGCCAAGAGCGAATTGGTGAGGTCCAAGGGCTACCTTCTCCTGGAGGAAAGCTCTATCAAAAAGCCAGGTCCACCACTTGCTGGCGTGGGTAGAGTGGTCGCAGCCAAGAGGAGAGTTATCACAATGTATTCTTTGCATGAGAGGTCTCTCAAACGTACTTTGGGGAGCATAAGTCGCTGGAACGGAATATATGGACGGTCATTTTACTAGTGAATACGGAACAGCATCGGAACGAACTACTTGCCGCAGTCTACTTTACCATCACCCCTTGACACATCTACCCTTCAATGCTGACGGAGGAAGATTCGTCCCATTCAAACGCCTCATCCAGCTACTTCGCCTTCGAACTGTTACCCAAACCAGCAATCATACTGAAAATACGTGACACGCCCCTTAGTATAAAAGTCCATCTCATACCTCCAATGCGCCCCCAAGTTCGGAACGATCTTGACCTGCACATCAACACTACTCCCCCCCTTCTTGCTCTTCTCAACAAAATTCTCAGCCCAATTCTGAGCAGCATCGATCAAACCAGTCCAAGCCGGACTGCGATTCGGCTTCACACCGCTGTCGTACTCGTCGAGATCGGCGCAATAGTACACATTGCCATCGACGCACACCAGATCCAACTTCTGCAGCCCCATAGAACCCACCATGTCCACAAGGTCCGCCATATCCCCAAATGTCGCTTCATTAACTAAACGCGATGTTCTCGCGCCCTGCAAGCCCTCGTCTTTGGTCTGCTTCTTCAATAACATACTTCCCGGAACACCAACAGTAAGAGTTTTCAGGCCGGGACATCTCGCAACAACATCGATAATACTTCTAGCGCGGTACCAAACAGGGCTCAGCCGTGGTACAAGCGCAGTCTCCCGAATAGTCCCTATCTCGAGGTGCTGGATGCAGTTCCATGCGCTATCTGACATGCAGGCCATCCATAGTTCCAGGTTGACTACGTCGTTTACAGCGATGGTGGTGTGGTGTAGGTATGCCTCGGTAGCTTCTTGGTTGATTTGACGGTTTAGGCGTAGGCAGGGCGGGAGGCGCGAACTGAGGGGTGGTAAAGGGGATTGAGAGCTGGGTTGGGCATATTTGAGCTTTGGTGGTAGGTCGGCGAGGAGATGGGTGTAGATCTCGTCGCGGATTTCGCGAGGGAAGAGTGTGAGAAAGGAGCGGGTGCTAGATCTGTGTTGTGTCTCCATTTTGGGGACGGTCGGGATGTAGGGGTCAGCGCGTGAGCGATGGCCGTCTTGAAAGATCTCTGGATCGATCTTCTGACCTGTCGGTGAAAAAGCTACCGGCTTGAGTGTTTGGATGTAGAAAGAGTTATATGGTTATGGCCTTGGTTGCTGTAGGATGTTGTCACGTTGGTTTAATGTGGCAGTGCAATTTCCATCTACCGGTGAGCACCATTTGACTGACCTTAAACAGGCATCTGCACAGCGCATCAGCTTCGCTCATTTTGCTCGTAGATGTTTCATTGGAAAAGGCCCGATGTGATTGATGTTGGAAGGAAGGTTCCGTCAACAAGTGCAACTGCCTGAACCCTGACTGCGCCACATCTCACCGCCACAAAGCTGCTGCCTGCTGACCCAAGTCAACTTCCGTAATTGATCAAAACTGTCTCAAAACTCCATTGTCGAAAAAACGCGCCCAAAAAAATGGCCATGGGAAACACCTCCACCAAGCCCCCCAAAACGCTCAACCTAGCAACTCGCCGCCGCATCTGCGAAGACACAATAACCCGCTCCCCCTCCATCGCAGCCTCCATCCCTAACGGCTCCCTAACCAGCTACTTCATCCCCACCCAACTTCCTTCTTTATCAAAAACACTACCTACATACCCATCCCACCCACCAGCAACCCCAGTCAGAATCCACAACAGCGACGCCTTCGCCCTCGCGCGCTCCCTGCCCGGCACCTCCAAACTCGGCGTCTTGAACCTAGCATCCGATACCGAACCCGGGGGCGGGTGGCGCTACACGTTGTCTTTAACGCAAGAAGAAGCTCTGTGTTATTCATCCACGTTGTACGCGACGTTAAAGCTGGAATGGTATCCTTGGGCTAATACAGGGTCGGGATGTGTTGCTGGTGTCATGTCACCCGGCGTCGTTGTATTCAGGGACACTCTGGACAATAATCTCGTCGAGTTACCTGCGGATCAGCGGTATGTGGTTGCTGTTATGACAGTTGCGGCGCCGAGGTTCCCTGCTCTTAAGACTACAGCGGAGGGGGAGAAGGTGTTTGCAGAGGAAAGCGTCGTCGAGGAGTTACGGGAGAAGGTTAGGTTGGTGTTGAGGATGGCGGCGGGGGAGGGTGTGGGGAGGTTGGTACTTGGTGCTATGGGCTGTGGGGCTTATGGGTGTCCGCCGAGGGTGGTGGCGAGCGTGATGAAAAGGGTGTTGGGAGAAGAGGAATTCGAGGGGTGGTTTGAGAGTGTGGACTTTGCGGTTTATGCGAAGGGGCCGGAAGGGATGAGGAATTTGGAGGCTTTTAGGGAGATTTTCGGGTAGGAGTAAGAGTGGAGGTTGCAACTAGCTGTCGCGTTGTAGGATGTATGTACGAATTTTGATAAAGGTAAACTATATACAGAGAAGATAATCATGCCGCCTTTCAACTCGCAAGGGCGTCAGGCTTTGCACGCACCTCCAACCCACCCCAGCCCTTCGTACCCCACTCTAGATCTTACCAACACCAGCAGTGTTAGCAACATTCGAGCTTGCGGCCGAAGCGCCCGCAACATTCTTCCCCTGGAAGTTGACCAAGAAATCCGTCTGAGTACCACTGAAACTTCCACTACTTCCAAAAGCGTTAAGTTGGCAAGTATGGCCAAGGTAAGTCTGGCACACACCATTTGCGCCCGTTGAAGGCGCAGAAAACAACTGCCCCTTATTGTTAAGCAGCGGCGTGTTGACATTCTGAAAAACATTCCCCTCCGCAACAACCATACCACCAGCTTCAATATCAAACGCATGGCCCGTGTTGCTGTAGAAGTAGTTGTTTACTGCGTGGAGCAGCGTGTTGCCCTGTCCACCTACTTTGGGGCTGCGGCCGGAAGTGTGGTGGATGTAGTTCCCCTTCATGGTGATGAGGTCGCTGCCGCCGAGGAGGAGGATGGTCCAGTAGTGGCGGCCGTCGCAAGAGGCGGACCAGGAGGTCGACCCGTCGAATTCTGTGTTGCTGATTGTTACGCGGCCGGAGGCGCCATAGCCGGCTACGAACATCTGGCGGCCGATGAGGGAGATTTTGACGTGGTCTGGAAGAGTTGTTAGGATTGTTGGGGATAGGGGAGGGAGGGGTAGACGTACCGATCCAGACGAGGTCGGACTTGTCGAGGGTGATGGCGTCGCCGCCCCAGATGTATTGTGGGTTGAGCTCGGTAATGTGGATGTTTTGGATAATGATGTTCTGTGCTCCGTTGGCGATGCGGAGACCTTTGCCGCGAATAACACCCTTGTTACCAACACCGATGAGGGACTTGTTGGAGCCTAGGTTGATGGCAGTCACACCGGCATTGTCGTACTTGACCTGGACAGACGTGGCGCCTGCTCCAGCGTTTCCGTTGGTACACCAGTTGGCGGAGTTAATGGCATCTTGACCTCCATTACCAGGGCATTTGTTGGATGCGGGACGGCAGCCGGTGGCTGTTGTAGTTCCCTCGGTACCCTTGAAGTTGAACTCTCGGTCGAGTACAATACAGCGGGCAGTGCTGTCGCTGAGCCAGGTCTTCAGTTGGGCTACCGAAGAAGGTACAACACAAGCTGCATTGCCACCTCCCGTGGTACCTCTTCCAAAGCCTTCAGGTGTGCCCTTGACTCCGTACGATTGCCTCTCTCCAAGAACGGCGGCGCTGGCTGTGTATGCGCTTGCGAGCGCAAGAATAGAGAACTTCATGGTGAAGAATGAATGAACGCTGCCTTCCTGAAGCAAGACCAAGGCTTATTAAGTAGAAATGAGTGGCTTGATACTTCAGATAGTTCTCTACCGGTGGGATATCTGCTCTTTAAAGGCCATTCCCATGCTAGCTAAAAGAGTACCCCTCTGGAAAAATGCTCGGCAACCATGCCGGCATCGAGATACCTCTGATGTTGAGGAGAGTAGTTTCTGCGTCTTAGTGTTGATTTCCTCCATTAGCAGGGCGGATGGACCAGCGCTTGGTGATGATAGGGGCATGGTAAAGCACCAGCTCATGGCGCTAACGCACGCTCCAAATGACAGCGGCGCGCAGTCAAGAACGCCACAGGGACTGTAAGTATTCTGACAGCTATCCAGATCCCTGCAATCTCGTTCTCTTCAGGTACTGTCGCCGGTCCGCTATCGTTGTGTCAGGGACCGTGAACATGTTTGCTCTGCTTCTGGACATTGCATCATTTCGGCTGTCGCGCTCGAGCCCTGATGAATCCTGAACTTGGAAATCGGTGTGGGTATCTTGGACCGGAGGTTCCTAATCGCGCGACTTAGGTCTTGACCGTGTCTGCCCAGGTATTCGCACGTGTAGTCGATGAACGTCTATTCCACGTCGGACCGAATGACTACACCACACTGCTGTTAGATCGTACCCTAGTCGCTCATCTTTTCGCGACCAGCCTTGAGCTAATCGCTGGTCAGTTGATCTGGCTTCATATAGAGATAGCGCTTGAGCGGTGGAAGAATAATGCAGACCTCGGCGTTCTCTTCGGAACGGGTAGGGCGGATGGAAGACCCTGGGCTAGCACGTTTCGTCTCTCCGCACTTTGGTAGACCTGCGCTAGCGTAGCATATGCCGGCACTACAAGCACACCAAGCACATCTCGGCAATGTTTTGCCCGGCCATAGACATGTCGGTGTTTGAAATGCCAGCATTCAAGCTATGTTTCTCCATCCAGTAGAAACCGCAATCATCCTCATCAAGATGGTGCTGCAAACGATTCAAGCTTGTCCCAGAAGCAGCAAAATCAGGCGTACCCGCTTGCTTTGCGACTATTATGCACGGAAGCTGCTATCCGCATCATTCAAATCTCGGAATAATATTCACGCGCGTAGCTCAATCGACTCTTAAATCCACTTCGCAATGTCCTTCCATCGCGTCCTGTCGTTTAAATGTCCGGGCTCCACCTACACATGGCTACCGAGTGTGGGAACGACGATGTGAGTAATCACGACTGACCAAATGTGACTCTTCGTTTATCCAACCTTTCATAAAACCGTAATGACTTGTATTGCATGTACGCATGACCACCCATACTCCGCTCCAATGCATCAACCTCGTCCAGGCTCGTTACTGGATTCGAAAACGCCTCTTAAGAGCTCGGCGGACATGCTTATACGTACTCTCTGTCCGCACAGCTCTGGATCATACCCTTGTTAGTCGCATCGTACTCAATCAAGTCGATCTTGCCGTCTTTCTCGACAGTGTTTGCCTGGACAAACACCTTCCTGGGTGTCTTCTTCTTGAGAACGGCCGGCCTGACCATGTTCTCGTAGAAGGGCTCAACAGTGGTGATCTCATCGTACATCCTCTTGCCGGCTGCGTAGTCCGCAGTGGCCTTGTAGATGTGCAGTTTCTGGAGGTAGTCGTTTACAGCAGGACGGCCTAGATCCAGAATGCGATCACGCTCAAGGCGGATGGTCAAGTCGGAGAGATCGTCCTTTTCCCATTCCAGTTGGCAGAACTCGACACCAGCATTGAGGAATGTGCGTAAGATAGAGAAGCGAGCTTGCATGTGGGCTTGACCCCACTTCCTGCTTTTAGGGTCCCAGAACTCTAGGGCTGCGATACCCGCGCGGGCCATCTGAAGGTATGCAGTGAAGAGAACGTCACCTGCCTCACTGTTCATGTCGGCTTTACCATCACCGAAACCGAACAGCTGCAATATTGGAAACTCGCAAGAAAGTGCCATGGCGACGCACTCGGCACGGCACTCCTCATAGGAAGCGGCAATCGTACCGAAAGTTGATCCCCAAGTCTGTCCAGGTTTATACCAGGACTTTATTGGCTGGCCACTGAGTGGTGAAATTGGAGGGTTCTCTTTGTCGAAGTTGAAGACGCCTGGCTCCGTCTCTTGGAGGAGCTTACCACAGCCATGGCCGAGCAGCTCGTGAAGTCCGACTTGAACTTCGAAGGCAGGATCACGGTACTTCTGGTATGTGGCCAGGTCTTTGTCCTTGATGAAAGGAACAGCCTCGTTCGGTGCTTTTGCAGAGAGGATGTTGCCAAGAGACACGTTCTTGAAGCCGAAGTTCTGGCGGATGTCATCGTAGTTGGGGATGTTGATTCCTGCAGGGATACTGTTGATGTTAGATGAGATCACAAAACAGCCTCGAAGGTTTTCTTGACTTACCCGCTACCCGCAAACGTCAGCACCTCGAGCGAGGTGAAGTCAGGGCTGAGGAACTTGTCCTTTTCGAATGATTTGTCCCACGGTAGCAGGGGAATGTACTGTGGCGCTGTCTCGACCAACTTTCCAAAGGCGCGTGTCCGCTCCTTATTGACCATGGCAACGAAACCTTCCCACTCGCCGCGGATGCCGTGTGGGTCGCGGTATGTCTCGATAAAGCCGATGTCCGATTCGACCTGAGGTCCCTTGTCCTGTACCCAGGCCTTCTGGCTCTCCTTGAAGGCCTGGAGTGACCCTGTCCTGAAGCTCTTGGAATATTCTTCCATCATCTTGATCTCGTGGTCATTGGCTGCGTATTTCTTCGCCTGCTCAATGTGGTGCGCGATGGTGTCCATCTCCTTGGAGTAGTCACCAAAGACTAGCTTCACCTTGCTACCATCGTCCATTGTCCACTCACTTTCTTTCAGATCGCGTTGTTCTGCCGATGGGTTGTCCGAGGCTGAAGCAATGAGAACCTCATATCCATCCTTCGCCTTCTTGATCCTTGTGTTCTCCGGAAGTAGACCTTTGCCTTCGAGGAAATCGCTCACGCTAGAGATCTGTTCGCTGGTGATGTCAGGGCTGTCGGGGTAGTAGGTCGAGATGTGTCCCGCACCGGGGTAGCCCAGGTGCAGCTTTCCCACATCGTTGCCCGCATATATGGCGTCCTTGAACTTTTCGTATATGGCCAGTGTGTCTTTGGAGGCGGTTGCGAGTGCCTTCAGCTGTCGCGGTTCGAGGCGGGGTACGAACTTGCTGTCTCCGAACGACTTGAAGTTGCCTAGGTTGCCTAAGAACTGCGCGGAGTAATCGAGGTATGCATCAATTTCTTCCTGCGAGAGACCGGTGTCTTTGGCGAGGGAAGCATAGTCGCCCTTGGCGTGCTTGTGGAGGGCGACGATGAAGTCATAGATGTGCTCCGATTCGGGGGAGACTTGGCGGAGGACGACGCGTGTTCCGGCGAAGCAGGCTCTGTAGCATGTGTCAATTACTATGCCATATACTGCTGAGGCATATGCATGTCCTACACTGAGAGATGGTGGGCGTAGAGCTTCTCCTTGTCGCTTAGCGCATCAAAGTGAGGCTTGATGGTTAAAGGCACGACAGTGGGCGGACTGTCGGCCAAGTACTGCTTCAGGGTCTCGGAGTCTATAGTGGCGGTCATGCTGTTGGTGGTAGTTAAGGTTGAGAGTCGTCTGGTGAGCTCCAAGGGCAGTGGCGGGGAGCTGATGCGGGCCCAGTAGCGTGGGCGTGGGGTAGCTGCACGTGTCTCACCTGAGGTCGTGGCAGGTTCGCGCCTCACTGCCGCGCACCATGAGCCAATTCGCCCACTTGTGAGCCTCCCTCCAAGAGGCTGCAACAAACGCGGCTTAGCAAGCATCATTGTCAGATGTCTTCGCTCTACGATCGTACTAGAGTAAAGATTCCTCTTTTCACTCGCTTAGCTCGCGCGAATTCCCGCCGAGGTGTTTCCTTCCTGACGCGTCACAGTCGTGCCTTCTCCACTACCCGTCAACGTCACCGTTCATCCCACCAACACTCTCGTCGTCGACAAACTCGCCAACACTATTCATCCGGTGAAAGATCATCTTCACCATGGACGACATTCCTAACGAATTGCTCATCCACGTTGTTGACCAACTAAGAGGCCCAACGACCTGGTCAGAACCAGCAGACTACAGCCGAATGCACGCCCTTGCGGCTCTTTGCTCCGTCTCAAAGAAGCTGTACCACATTGCCCAACCCCTGCTTTACGAATCGATAGATCTACCTTCGAATGAAGTTATTCATTCACAGTCTCAAAGGCTCTGGCGTCATCTGCAAGAGCAGCCAAGCCTCCGCTTCAAGGTCAAAGCCCTTCGGCAGAAGACGCGCCCTAGGCTGAAGAAGGACGGCCAGGACCATATACGTGTTCGCGATGAGTACGTAAAAGACATTTTGAGAGACTTGAAAGTCATTGGACTAGGCACCGAAGACGCCTCAAGACTTGTGGGCCGCTGGCTTGGGTTCGAGGACTTATACTTCGCTCTAGTGGCATTTCGGACACCGCACTTGGAAAATTTATGGCTGCGGCCGGCCATGACCGACCAAGGGCCGTATGACGATTGTCACTGTACCCTTCTTGAGGGCATAGGTCGTATGGCTATGGGCGTACGCTGGCTCGACACTCACCATTTTGACAATCTCAAGACTTTATACATCGATTTCTCTTCATCGCCAGAAATGCCCGTACGGTATGCTCTACCGCTGTTGCTTCTTCCCAACTTGGACGAGCTTACTCTTGTCGCATGGGGTGGCAATTACGACATTCCAGCGAACGAACATGAAGTCGGTTTTGAATACGACGACGTAGCCGGCTTCACCATTTTCGACCGTAAGTGGTGGTGGCCGTACCGCTCATCGCCTATTACCAAGCTGTCGCTGTTCAAACCAGTTGTCTCTGAGATTATGGTCCAAAACATGATATTTGCGTGCAAGGCTCTGGAGCGATTCAAATGCTTTCACCCAGTACGCTCCACCCCGGACGATCGGTGGTTTGGGGGTCTTGTTGATACACTGACTGATCACAAGGAGAGTCTTGAAGACTTATCGTTGCTGTGCAGGCAGCATGGCCCTTCATTAGAGAATACCGGCTTGGCTCAGCTTGCTCCTCTTTCTGAATTTACCAACCTCAACTCGGCCAGGGTATCTCTGTATTTGGTTTCTGATCCGGGGTCAACCCTGAAAGCTCAGTCTTTGCCTGCTTTTTTCCCGCCAACCATCAGATCGCTGCATATCCACTATCCCCGTGAGCCAAACGACCAAGTTGATCAACAACTCCTCGACATTCTCATATGGTACAAGGACGGTACCTTGCCGTCGCTCCAAGATGTATACATCACATGGGTATACTATCAGCGCGGAAAGGGAGAATACGATCTCCAAGAACGACTTCAGTCGCTGGTACAAATCAAAAGGCAATTCGAGATGGCGTCGATTACGTTTGACATTATGTTGACGATTAGAGACGACAAAAGTGAGTAGCCGTTGGCTATTGGATCGTCAAACAGCACTGATATCCACCAGGGACCAGCATAAATTGGCCTAAGCTAGCCAGTTTAGGACTGGTGATGGACGGGACGCACCTGAGCACTGACCCCTATGATGAACCTGATCAGAAAAGTGTCTTTGTTGATTTTACGACCTCTCCTAGTCGCTACACGGCGCAGGAACTACGGGATGATCGAGATCATTGGCCTTTCTGGTGAACGTGCGGTTCGTATACGAGGGGCCCCAGGCCGTATTTAACACCCTTATCAGCTTTGTTTGCCGGTGCTGAAACATGCCTACCTGGCCCGATATATACCGACACACAATCACAATGTTTTCAAACCGTAGGTCTCCAGGAAGTCGAGATCCAGCGTCGCGTGTATAAACGTCGTTTGCGCAACTGTTGCCATCGTCCATATTTCTCGATACATCTTGACCCTGACCCCCAGCTCTAACAGGACTGCGCGATATCAAGATAGCCTCATCAGCGAGTCCGACTTCTACAACATGTGCGGATATGCAGCTTCCGACGCTTCCTACAACCACTTCACCAGCCAACGCGCCATGCCTTCATGTCCCTCCTCTCATCAATAATACAACATTAGAAACCTGGACCACTGAAGCCTCATCTTGGCTGTTAGCAGAGTCATCGGCGCCGACTGCGTGTGGTACGCTACTTGGGACGCAATCATGATGCCGACAGCTTCCGCACCAGGCATGGCGCCTGATGGTGGAGCTAGTACCGTAAATCGAGACACAACTCCCTCCGCCAACCAAGAGGGTCACGCGCAGCAATCGAAGGAACTCTCCGCATTATACAAAGACGGAGCAGATTGCGTTGTAGCGTAAAGCTGTATTTTGTGGCTCCGCGACATGGACGTTACCATCGAGTCTGCCCAACGCGAGGGGCTCGTTCCAGAACTACTAATCGACTCAGAGAAACGGAAGTCGATTGCGTTTTACTCGATGCACCTATCTCGGAACATACGAAGACGAACGCCCATGATATCCTTCGTGAATCGACCCAGTCGTAGCGAAGATAGTCCTTGCTTAAGTGTCGTCGGCTGTCTCTTTTTCTGCAGGAGAAGTATATTTAGTTCTTGCTAGCTGGACACGCTGCAACTACAGGCCATACAACCGGTCAAAGACCCGCTTTCTCCTCGCCAGCTATGCCGATCGGATGCACTGGAGTCCACATGGCGTTTATCGCTGGACAACAACAAATTTAATAGTGCATGTTCCTCTTGTGGTAACAATGCGCGTGCCTTCTGCACCAGGTTATTTTGAGCAGCGGGAGTCCACCGGCTTTGTTGCAATACTTCTGGTGACCTATACTGCAGTTGCCGAACAAGTGTCCAGTGGTGGTATATTAATCAAGACGGCTTGAATGCTCTGCTCACTGCGTGTGGCGTTGTGGTATGCCTTCTCATCATCGCCGGATGCGTCCATGCTACATAGGTACAGTCGCTTTCTCAGCCTTATACCTTCCTTACATGGCTTAGCGCTGACTGTTGAGCACCGAAAAGACATCTCGAATAGTGAGCTATTGCTGTCACATCGGTCTGAGTTGATGTTGCGGCTCACAAGGCTGAGGCCGCAGTTGCTACCGACTATACTTGGCTCGGGCTAGTCAGTTGTGAAAGATGCCAAACGCTAAGGCACCTGCTAGGCTAAATGCTAGGTGTAGCATAAATACGACGCACTTTGCTCTTTTCAGTTCTACTTCCTGAAATGAGTGGGGGCGGTGTAAGCCATTTTCCCTTGGCGCAACGAGCACCGCACAGCAAGGCTGAGAATCGAGGTATGCCTCTATGCTACACCACGGAATTCTAAAGGCTCCAAGACCAATGGCAGTAAGCGCAATTGCGATCGTGGAAGTATCTGGGGCCATACAAGTTGTCGAGTTGAACACATCAGCCAGCTCAAGTACTCTGAAAGGACAGATCTGAGAAAAGTTTTGACTGCTCTGAGCTCTCAAGATCACAGTCGAGAATCTGCGCTTGGCATCTGTGCATGATCACTCGGCCCCAAAGCCACGGCGTCGAAGTCGACATGAGCTTTGATCATCTTTACAATTCCGGCGATGTCTCTCCATCACACCACGAGAGCACTATGCTGTGTCATATTGGGGGGCCAGCGTCGTTGATTGGCAAAGATGCATGCACATTGCCTCTTAATCGCCGCAAGAGGCTGTATCAATCCTCATATTCGCTTTCCCTTGGTCTTCAACGGAAATGCGGTCGGCAAACCCAACTCCCATGAGACTGAGCCTTGACATGCACACCCTTTGGGTCAGGCTGGACACACGAATATAAGTAGAGCATGATGCTCGTAGCAATGTAGCTGGATCAGCCTGAGACCATCCCCGCCTCCTGAAATCTATCTACATCAGCCGGAGTTTTCCAGTCAAGTTTCCTCCAACGCCTACGCTTCATTTCTCTTGGAATTGATACCCTCTTGCCTTCGCCACTATGTCTTCGTTCACTTTACAGAAAGTACTGCTATCCCTACTGCTCCTAGCAAACGTTGCTATTGCTGTCCGCTTCAGTTTCACCATCCAGGAAGTACACGTTGGGGTCACCCGTGACGTCTCCGAAGACGACTTGCTTTTAGCCATCGCCTCAACGGCAGACAACACCACCACCAAGAACTCCTGGCTTGTTGGCGAGGTTCACGCCGACGATATCATTGCGGCAAACGACACCGTCAAATACGTGCAGGAAGTCGACGTTCCGGACTCTGCCTCGAACCTGTCCGTAGCCATTGGCGGCCTGAACACAGATGACGAAGACGAGGAATTGGCTTTCAGTAAGCACTTCATCGATACATATCCTATCACTACTAACTCGTCAACAGATTTTGTGGAAGGCATAGCCGCCGTCGCTGCCGCAATCCCAGGACCGCAAGCCATACCGGCCAGACTCCTCAGCACCGTGCTTGGATTCATCGGAAACCCACTGAACTGCACTGGTCCCGTTATAGTCGGTAATGCCCTGTATACCAAAGACCAGATGGACAAGCTCGAGCAAAACAAGCCCTCATGCGAGACAAAGTCGTACGGATACGAAAGTCCATTCGCTTGTGCCCCTACCGGTCAAAATTCGAGCTACAGTGTTACTTACTGCCTTGAGCGACTTGACGCTAAATCCGCAGCAGCAGCCAGCTCACCGAGTCTGTTTGCGCTGGTAGCGAGCCTTGTGGTTGCTATCGTCTACAGTGGTTTGTGAAAGTGCAGTCGAGGTGTTGAATCGAACACTGCAAAGGAAGCTCGCTGAGATAGACTCAGGCTCATTGAGGATACTTGCGTTTCACGAAAAGGCGGAGGAAGGCTCGGCAGGTGCGAAGTCACTCAGAATGTCACAACCTCTTCCTTTGGCTCCTTTATTCTCCTTCGTAGATATTGGCCTCGTGATTGACAGATACACCGTCGCTATAGCAAAATACTAGAACTCTTTTTTTGTCGAACAGGTCGTAGAAATATCAGAGTTGAGCATCCCAGAAGTCTATATTGCCTTGAGGATCCATCAAAATTTGTTTCTACACTAATGTAGATTGCAGAGCACATGTTTAGTCTCTTCTCTGTATGAGATAAAGTGGAGCTACGGAAGGTAGGCCTGCGTCGGAATTATCACCTTCCCGTTCATGACTGTCTCGATATCTTGTATAACGTATTCAATTGGCGCCATGTAAGCGACCGAGCTGTGCTCATGTCCAAATAGTAGGCCGATGCATGAGACGCATACGAAGGGGTCTGTCTTTGTAGATTATGTTATACACACTGGCTTGAAATATACATACCCTTGTGACTTGTTCACGTATAACACTGTATCTCTGTGAATACCTCCAGGGCGGGTTTCATGCGACAAGACACATTTCATCCCCAGATAGAGCCGCCACGGAAAGACAGTCTTGCCTACTTCGTAGGTCACTGCATCATCCGTTCTTGCTCTCAACTCACATTGTAGAATGCAAGCCCTGAGTAGGTTCCCAGAGGGAATTGAAGGTCTAGGCCAATTGAGCAAAGTCTTGGTGAACAGGAGATCACAGAGCTTCGAACAACGGAAGAAACTAGTTAGTAGTCACGGTAGTAGATGTCTCCCAGAACTTACAGGGTCAAAGTAATGCCAACTTCAGCAAGGAAGACTAGGGTATCAATTTACTATCTATTCGTCATAAGCACATCGCGCCAGGCTCTCAAATCCCTAAGCATCGATCTCTGCCCTGAGGTTACCCCGTCCGCGAGCAATCGCATCGCTCAAGTCCATGTTGGAGGCTTGCCCGCGCACACTCGAAATGAAACGGCGTCCTCCATCCATGTTCTTCTTGTGTTTCTCCTCCTCCTCTGCATCCTTTATCTCTTGTTGTCGAACACGCTCAGCACGCTGCTCCTCTAGCGATGTCGCCTCTGCTTGCATGGCAGCGAGACGATCGGCCGCGCTCTGACGGGTTTCCATATCATCGATTTGTTTTTCGGCTTGTTTTTCGACATGTTTCCTTGGTGGTGTACGATCCCGTCGTCGGTATGTGTCGCGGTCGCGAAGATCGCCACGATCCTCCCTCCTGCGCGGCGATCTAGAGCGGTCGCGTCGGCTGCCGTGTTTGCGGTATGGTGATCGGGAGCGGGATCTTGACCGTCTATGATGGCTGTCACGATCGCGACGATCTTCGCGGTCTTCTCTCCTACGTGGCGACCGCGATCGATGGCGCCGGCTGCTGTGCTTGTGTTCCCGCTCTCTGCTCCGCTCCCTATCCCGGTGCTTGTGTTTCTTCTCTCTCTCCTTCTCTTTCTCGCGCTTTTCGGCGTACTTAGCCTCTTTCTGCGCGTCCTTCATGGCCTTCAACTGCATCTCCATCTTTTGTTTCTGAATCATGAGGAGCGGGTCTTGGAGGACTTTCTTTTGTGTGTCGCGAGCGGTGTTCGCGTTCGTATCGGCAGTGGCGGCGTCGATGCCGACTGCAGCGCCCTTTTGAAGGCTTTGTGTATCGTTCGACTTCAGCAGGTTGTCGATCCTGCGTTTGCCCAGGAGGTAGCCCTCGCGCTCCTCGGTGACACCAGCGTCGCCACTGGGGCCTGAGTACATCCAGTCAACCCGTCGCTGTACGACCTTGCCGCCATTCTCGGCTTGCAGTCTCTGCAGCTGCTCGATTGCTGCTTCTTCTTCACGTTCTTTGCGCAGTTTCTCGATCAGCTTGCGCTCCTCGAGCGCAGACTTCTCCTCCTTCCACACTCTTTCTTGGTTCTTGCGTAGATGGGGATGCCATGACTTCTTCAAGTTGAGATCTCCACCCATGGCTGCGAGAGGGGTGTGATGCGCGGTTAGGTGAGTTCGTTGGTGGGTTGTAGATGGACGTGGGTGGGTGTAGACGTGGAAAGGCAATGGAAGGCTGGCAGAGGAGTTGCGCGACAATGTGCCAAGGCGCTAAGACAGGCCCCACCCAAAAGTTGACCTCCGCGACTTCTCCGCAAAAGTTTCGAGTGAACGAATGCGCCCGTATACAGCCCGAATATCAACGTCACGCCAGACGTGCCCCGACCAAACGAGGGCTCTGCAAATTGAGAAGAGTCTAGTTTCCATACACCCGCGGGATAATCACTCCTACACAGCAATGGCGACGCGCAAACGAAACGAATACCTCGACGTTGAGGAAAGCGAAGACGAGGAGAGGGGCTATGATTCTGAGGAGGAGAGCAGGGCGCGCATGCTACCATCGTCCAAGCGGCAAAAAGTAGATCACGTCTCCGACTCCGAAGGCGATGTGGAGGAAGTAGAAGAAGATGAAGAACAAGACTTCGACGAAGATGATGCCGAAGAAGGAGACGACGACGAGCAGCACGCACCGAAGCGCTTCGCCTCCAAGAGCGCCGAACTAGCACACCTCGAGAAGCTTGCTGCATCCCTTCCCTCTGAAATGAGGCTACAGACTACGAAACTCGGAAAGGCTCTACCACCCTCATCACTCAAGAAAGACAAGTCCGGCGTTATATACCTCTCGCGCGTCCCGCCCTTCATGAAGCCAGCCGTGATGCGCTCCCTCTTGACACCCTACGGCGCCGTAGGCCGCATATTTCTCACACCAGAGGACAGTACATCGCGCACCCAGCGTCTGCGCAATGGAGGCACGCGTCGCAAGCTCTTCCTCGACGGCTGGGTCGAATTCCTACACAAACGCGACGCCAAGTTCGTTGCCGAGAACCTAAATGCGCAAACAATGGGCGGAAAGAAGAGGGGCAGGTGGCATGACGAAGTGTGGAATATCCGATACTTGAGTGGAGTCAAGTGGCACAACCTGGTCGAGCAGATCCAGAATGAGAACGCAGAGCGCGCGGCAAGACTCAGATTTGAGATATCACAGGGCAAGAAGGAGAACAAGGCTTTCTTGGAGAACGTGGAGAGAGGCAAGATGGCTAGTGGTATTGAAGCTACAAGGCGGAGGAGAGGGGAGGATGTAGATGGTGATAATGCAGCAGTGGAGGCAACAACTGGCGCAGTGCAAGAAGGAGGAAAGCAAAAGAGGCGGAAGGGAAGGCTTGAGTTCTCGCAACACACGACTACAAGCAAGGCGATGAAGAAGCCCGAGCCGGGTCAGGACGTGAACAGGGTGTTGAGTAGTATGATGTAAAGCGATGCGCATGATATCCAGGAATACGAGTATATTTCAGACTTCAGCCTATGTCAGCAGCCGTATCTATGATGAAAGTTTGTGCCGTAATGGAATAGTAATAACGCCAAATCCCTCATGCCTGTTCGCATGAGACAACGCCGGCCCCTAAGAGCAAAATGCCAGGGTATAAAATACAATATCGTTTTCTCGCTCCGATCATATCGCGGTGCCTCGCTCGAAGCTGTCCCGTATCTCGCTTGTGTATTTGTTGTAGAAGCGCGAGAGTTTGTCGTTGAACTGCTTATTCTTCTGGTTGATGTACGTGACATCGCCCATATCCTCGGAGTCGCGTATGCCCCTCGCAGCCCTGGCCTTCAGCCTAGCGCGCTCGCCCTTCTCCAAGTCTTCCACTAGTCTGTCCACGGCTTCCTTGGATGGCTTGTGATCGTGACTATATGCTTCGTCGACTGGTGTGTTTATGCGCCCTTGGTTGTCGACGGTGTAGATTTCTCCGGCATCCGTTTCAACGAGTTGGAGAAGTCCGGAGGATACTTGCGACTGCAGTTTCCTTGCCTTCTCTTCGGCATACGCCTCCAGATCGACCTTGCTCATCTGACCGATTTGCCTTTTGTACACCTTGTTCGCCTCGTTTCTGTAGTCCGCAAACGCGACTCCCTCCCGGTTCTTTGACTTCTTCTTCAGTCGCTTATCCCAACTCTCGCTCTCTTCAACTGTGTAGTCCCAATTCCTCTTGCGCTCGAAATCAGGGTCTTCGGATTTGAGAAGTTTGTACGAGGCTTTCTCGTTCAGGGCGCCTAGTTTGGAGATTTGTGCAAGGCGAGAGCTGCGGTCTTCGGCATCGCGAACCTCGCGCTCTGTCTCTTTGCGGCCGTTTACTTTTGCGGCTTGGAGCGCTTTGAAGCGAGCCATCCGCGCGGCGAGCGCAGCTTTCGGGTCGGGATTGGTATTCGCAGTAAGGGAGCTGTCTTCCGTCGAAGCGGCTTCGCTGACTGTAATTGCATCTTGTGCTGGCGCTTCATTCGCGCTCACGGTGTCTGAGGCTTCGGCTTTCTCGACTTTCGGCGGTACGGACACGGTAGTGACCTCTTCTTCGACGTTTTGAAGGGTTCCGGGAGCGTGCGCCGCGTCGTCTACTTTTACTGGGTCGGCCATGGTGGGTTGTTGTTGCTGCGAGGGCAGTCGCTCCTCCGCGAAATGTTGGATTGACGACTGCCAAGACACTAGCGTGACTGGCATGCGACCGCCTCGACCCTGGATGAGACCTCATCACTTCTCAATATTACGAAGGCTGAGCACCTTTTTGCAGGGTCGGTAACACAATCAGAGACGCACCTATTGGTGTGCTCGATGGTAGGTCCGTCGTATCCCGAAGTGTTCTAAAATGTATTCCCGCGTTTCGCCTACCTTTCCGGTCACATATTGTGTATGAACGATAAGTGAGAGACCGTAGAGACTAACGACATGTCGCTCTCATATCGAGTAAAAATAGCGTGGTCATTGATCTCAGCAGTTTCCAGATACAGCGACGCAATCAACTCTGGGCCCATGCCCTTTGTAATATTCAGAAAGACATGGTTCCCACGAAAATCTGACATGGGTACTGACCTGGAGTAGACATTGTGGGGGTCGTACTACTCAGAAATCTGCTCAATTTATCGTGGTCGCTTTTCGGAGATTTATATATGATAGCTATAGTGCTTTACTGAGGTAAGCACCGGATAATTCCACCACTCACAGCGACAGAGCCGCCCGTTTGACCCCAATGGGGGGAATAGCTTACAGACGATCTTTGTGTACGGAATGAGCAGCAAGCAGATCTTGAAAGCGGTTGTGGGGCTCTTGGGTAGTAGCATCCTTGCGGCGTTC